AACTAAGCAGAAAAAGTTATCAAACAAAAGGATCCACATCATGGTTATGGTTAGCTAACTTTTGTCTAGTAACTTTGTTGATTATAACTGGAATGTAGTAACGATTAGTGCCTTGGTTTAAGAGGTGCAAGAGTGATGGAAGAGGGTGGAGATAGTGGGAGAGAGAGAGAGGAGGGAGATGAAGAGATTAGGGAATATAAAAAGGATAAGGAAATAGTGTGACCTTTACATCAAAATCAAAGGACTAGAGTGAGTGAGTGAGTCTTCGTAATGATAATCGATAGGGATAAGTCACATTGTTACAAGTGTCTCACCATATCGATCGTTGCTCTTCATCAGTAAACAGAGTGAAAAGGAGAGAGAGAGAGATGATGGTGATGGTGATGATAAAGAGGATGGAAAATGATGACGAAGAGAAAGATGAACAAGTTAACAGAAGCAAAAGATGGATAGAGAAAATTGTCAAGAAGGAATATTATTACATGGAAAATGCATGAGAAAATATCGCTCTTTTTTCCATAGCTGCATCATTGAGCCTTTTCAAGATTATCATGATAATCATTAAGCATCATCTTCTTATCTTCATTATTATTATCATCGTCATCAAGATGCTATTATATTATATTAACAAGGCCACATATATATAAGAAAAGGCCAAGGTTAATATTATTATCTTTAACTAATATATTTATGTGTGTTATTGATTATCATTTGTTGTTACTCTTACAATCGTCAATTCATTTTAAGATTAACTTCATCCCAAACGATAATATTAATTCAATAAATGTGAGATATTCATTGGGAGGAATCACAATTAAATTAATCGTATATTATATTAGTGAATCAATGTCAAGACCACATGATTTACCAAAGGGATGACTGATGGAACTTGTAACGATATCTTTCCTATGGAATCTCAATGATAATAACTAAGAGGAAAAAAACTGAATGAATAACAAACTAGATGAATACCATGTATCCATTAACCGATGGATTTATAGTCTAGTGAATTTTTTGCTTCCTCATTTTACCATAGATTTGATTGTTTTTGTACTTCAATTTTTTCTTCTCTATGTAATTCCAATCTCTTCATCTTGATTTATCTTCATTTTTTTCTCTTCATCATCATCATGCACATTTTGATGCTTTTTTTTACTTTTTTTTCGTCTTCGCATTTTCATTTTATTCTGATTAACATCTAACTTGTTTATTTCGTGTAGGTTTTGGGTTGATCAAATCTCCAATTCGATGGAAGATTTTTCTCTTTGTTGATTTTTTTTAACCAAATTGGTGAAAACAATTGTAATTAACTGATCAATTACAATTGACTTAAAACAGATTATTCTGGTGTGCAATAATTATAAAAGAGTCATGAGATTAGCCTCTGTAATTGTATTAGTTGAGCTACTTGCATAATTAATTGAAACAATGTAATGGTTACTATGGGACAGAGAGAGAGAGAGAGATTAGAGTCTCTGTGTTAATCTTTGCCTATCATTTTCACATACATATTGATAATTTATTTGTGTCTTTCTGGCCATGGAGCTTTAATGATGAGGATGAGGATGCGAAAAGCAGAAAATGAAAAAGGAAGATAAAAAGAGGCTAAAATTAGCAGTAACAGCGGATGAGGTTATTTTTTTCAATGTTATTGCCTTTGGTTGAAGGCATGGACTTAGCAAAAATCTGAGGATAATCAGGGCTAAAATGACGTAGACAAAATGATAATTATCATTTTGTAACTGTTTCTGGTTCTGCTTTATTTTCACCCAAACTAATAGATGAAAATAATTACTTTGATTATCTAGTAAATTTTACGGACTTTCCGTACATCTATTTGATGATTATTTTTTCTTGTTTCTCTTCACTAAACTTTTCATATAATCTCAATCTCGAGTCTTTAATCTTCTTTTTATCCTCATCCTTATCCTCCTCTTAGTTTACTTTGATTCTTGTTTTTTTTCACTCTTATCGTTTTCTCAATGGAATCTGATTCTGTTGGTTTCATCTCTGAAGATTTCAGATCAAATATGAAACTCGAACAGAGAGAGAGAGAGAAAGTACATAATTTTAACTGGAAAAGAAAAAGATAAAACCAAGATAGAACAAAACAAGTGGATGATTCTGGTGGTGGTGAAGAAGATGATAATGAAGTGGATGATAAGAAAAAGGAGGAGGGAAAAATATCAAGAAGAAAAAAGTTGTATTTTTCGAAAAAAGAAAGAAACAAGAATAGAATAAATAAGGTGTTAAGATTCATCGATTTGGTGCTGAAAAAAGAGGAAGAAGAGTAAGTTCTGAGGTAAGAAAAGAAAAAAAATCAGTGATGGAATAGTTAGAGAAACAACAAGATTGATGACTCTTTCAGTGATTCTGTATCAGTGTATCATGTCAGAGAATTCTGAATTCATTGAGTGTAGGATAAAGATGAGAAAAAAAGTGTTAGAAATGAGAGAAGATGAAATCGAGTATAAAGAGTGAAAATGAAGTAATATTCAAAAGTATTGAAAGGTAGAGAATTGATAAAGGTAAGAAGATGAAAACATGATGATGATGATAAAAAGGTAGTTACATGTAAATGGGTAAATATCGTTTTACAATAAGATTAACATGTATAATCTGAAGGGTAAACTACAGTTAAAATGATAAACAACAACAACAACAACAACAACATGAAATTATGATTTACATGATGAGTTAAAAATGATTGAATATTAAACCCAATTCATGGTGTTGAAGTAAATCAGCAAAATGATTGCTATTGATTGGAGATAATATTAGTTAATTGATTAACCATCTGGATTATATTGATAATTTAAATAAACAGAATTAATTAATAAAACAAAACACATTCAACAAATAATATACATTATTGAAAAGCTTAGGTGATAGCTAATTAACACACTAAAGGTGAAGTAATTTATTATTATTCATGATGAAATTTATCAAAGGAAATGATAAAAATCGTCATTAGCTAAGTTAATTATTTTCCATCAATTTTTACACTAAGATTGTAATATCCTGAATAATGATAATTAAAATAATAATTATCAATATCAATATAATATCGTTATGTATTTTTATCATAATTTTTCAGTCCTTGAGATGCAAATATAAACAATATATGTAACATGTTAAGTTCAGTGTAATATTTATGTATCATGAGATGACAAGTTCAGAATCAGAGATGAACATTTATCATGAAAAATGACGTAAACATGATTACTAATGTTGAATGTTATTATTATTATTATTTTTGAATATTTCTTATGATTTTAAGTAAAAATAACTGATACAATCTGATTAGGATGATATTATTTTTCAATCGTTCAACCAAATCGGTAAATCATTATGATATTTCAAGTGAGTATTCAAAATACTCAGGCAAAGTATATTATCATGGTGAAAGTTTTTTTTTTCTTTTCTCAAATAGAAATAGTATTTCCATTGAGAATTTGTGAAAATGTTACATGATAATGATGAACAAAGTGAAAAGTAAATTTCAATCTCTCTCGGTATGAAAAGTGGATTTTCAAAAAGTAAAGGGCATGGAAAAGTTCAGTTATTCAAAAATTGATCTACTCATTGAATGAAATTAATTCTTGAAAAGTTATAGCAAAAGTTTCATCACTATTTTCATTAAATGAAATCTATTAACCTTAAGGATATTTACTCTGAATTGAGTCATCATTAAAGTCACTATCATCAGATTGATCATCAGTAACATGAGTTACATCCTGATTATAATAATAATCATTAAATTATCATAGACTCTGGAAATTAGGTTCAAAGTTAAATCATTTTATTTAATGATAATTTTATCAACCGGACGGAAATCAATTGTGTACTTTGATAATGATAATGATGAAAATGGTGATAGTTATTAACGATAATGATGTTATTGATTAAACAAGAGTAAATAGGACACACAACACACATGAGACAAGTAACAAACTTGAGACAATTTAATGTCATCAACATTAAATCAATGTATAGATGGTTAATCATTTCAAGTTTCATTATCAAAGACAAATGAGTGAGATTAACTCAATCCGAATCCACTATTATCAAGTAAACAAAAAGGACTCAACCATTTGGATTATACAACCTTTTTCCACCTAACATCAGATTTGGCTTTAATGTTTAGAACTTTTTTCTCGATCAGAATTATATGATTCATAGAATCATGAAAAGAGGAACATGTATATGCATCTGAATTGCATTAAAGTGAAAGTTCATAAGTTGATGTTTCTTCATGCATTAATGTTATAAGAAGAAAATGTAAAAATTATCAGCGAAATTGTTATTTTCTTTGGAAATCTTATTTCCATGTTAGATCTTCTTATAAGAAAATTTTCATTCGAATAACAATTTTCTCGTATTTCTTTTTTTTTCTCACTTTCATTCTAATTTCTTTCTAACTCTGTAACTTTAGAATCAAGTTAATCCAAATCAGAAGATTTTCTCAGCCTCCCTTAACATATTATTATATATTAACATCCTCTTTATTTATCATCATCATCATCATCATCGTCATCATCATCAACTACTTTGCAGCCATTTAGATTTGCTGAATTTTTAAGGATCAGGTAAAACCTTTTCTCTCCTTCAATCTCACAAGTTTCAGAATGAATATAAATCCTACTCTGAAAACAGGGAACTGTCTCTTCATTTTCAAGATGAATTCCTGTTGTTCATTTGTACGTATATTTATATTTGCAATTTATTATTACCTTCAACCCCATCTCCTGAAAATCCACCCCCATTTCATGCATCCATGATTTTGGCAACCAAAGGACTGGAAGAAAAGGATTTACAAAATATACTCTCTTACAAACGTTCTCATCCTTTTCCTCTTTTCCCTCCCACTTTTCTTTCCTAAATCATTAATAACTTTCCTTTCTTTTGAAAACTAGGTAACATTTGAATGCGTGTTATTTGTACATAAATGTATGCGTATAAAAACTGGGCAAATGGTGACAATTAAATGGTAGACTTACCTGGGGAGGATGACAACTTGAACAGCGGTTAACATGATGAGAATTGCAAGTGCACATGATAGTGACATCCCGAATCCATGGTCTTTGTTTTCATGATATTGTCTCTCTTTTATTCTGTCTTTGAAACATAATGTAAACCAATTGACGTTTGTTGACTTTTCTCGGTCTACACTTCGAGCTTCGATTGCTTGAGATAGATATTTGTTAACACGATTGGTTGCCTGATGATGAGTTGCTGAGTGACGCTTTTTAAATGGTTTCCGGAGTTTATCTGTCATTTTTTGCTGTGCACAGGCAAAAAAGAAAAGAAAATTACAAGAAATTAGAAAGTTTTCGTTTCATGCTCATGATAATTTCTGACGAAGGTTGAATGATGATTTATTGTCTCTCTCTCTCTTTCATAACAGAAAATGAAAACAAATTGATACCTTTTTGTTGGATAATTGATCATCCAGAGTTGATTCATTTTGCATATTTCCTGATGATACCATAGCCATGTTTGAAAAGGGAACGTCAACATTGAATTTGATTGAATGAAGTAACTGAACAAGAACACTGGAAACATTTTTGAAAGACAACTTCCGACGGCTCGCAGTTCCAGCAAGATGGCGAACTTGAAGAGTGTTGAAAAGTAATGGTTTACGCCGTTGTTGCGATGGTACAATGAAATAAGTGACGACATTGTGTTTCCTTAAAGTTGGATTTCTATCTGATCCAGCAGCAGGTTCTACTTCATATTCATTGTGTAGACAATCATAAGTTGATTGGGTGATGTGAACTCTACCTGGTTCACCGGCGGCTTCCATTGCATTAGCTAGGGTAACATCGTTAGACCAAACATCGTATTGCCACTTTCTCAGGCCAATAACACCGCACAAAACTCTACCTGTGTGAATACCAACCCTCATGTTTAATTGTACGTCAGTTGCTTCAACAACCGATGCAATTGCATCGATCATATCTAGTCCCATTTCAACGGCACAATGAGCATGATCTGACCTTGGATCAGGTAAACCAGAAACACAATAATAACAATCTCCAAGAATTTTAATTCTTAAACAATGATTATCATTTGCTAGTTGATCGAAGCGTCCAAATAACTCGTTCAATAAACGGACAAGATCAGACGCATTACAATGTGATGCTAGAACAGTAAAACCAACAATATCAGCAAATAAAATGCTAACATTTTCATGCTTTTGAATGTAAATTTTATGAAATTGTCCAGATTCTTTGGGGGCCAAAATATCGGCTTTCATTTCCATGGCTACATGTTGAGGTAAAACACTAAGAAGTAACCTTTCCAATTTTTCATTCTCATCTTCCATCTCCAAACGAGCACTGATACAATTACGAGTGTTAAGAAAAGCCTTTCGTCCAGCATGTTCCATCAGGTGATTAACAAACAATCCAACCATATTAACACAGGTAAATATTAAACCATTAGCCCAAAGAGCTTGAATTTTATACTCGATAAATGTATTGGCCATCAGAATTACAATGACCATATGAACAGAAGGCAGTAAAATCCCAATTAGAACTGCGTATCGGGTTTTAATGGGTAACAAAGTGTAAACAATGAAAACAACTAGAACTATTTGCCAAACGCCTTCGGCAGCATTATGACCTCGATCCCACCAAGAATTACCTAACCAGGGATGTCGTAGTTTAATATCTATGGGTGCATAGAGAAGACAGAAGAGTAAACAAGCGGTGATAATTGTATAACAAACACTAATCAGATGATCATCTTCCATGGCTTTGGTGTGACTTAAAATGAACAAACCAACAAAGGTAATACACTGAAGAGCACAAAAGAAACCGATAACGGTAATTTTCTTGTAAAAGTAAAATTCAAGGATGGATAAAGTAAAGGTTAATAAAGAGAATAAAAGTAGAACACTTAGAATTGATGATTGATTGAGCTTAAAAATGTATCTCTGATAAAGTGATTCAAGTTCAGAGTTTTCAAAACGATCACGATTCAATAATCGGGAAAAGGCAACTTTACGGTGATTATTTGTCATTGCTTTCACTGAATGATCCATGGTGATTTATTGTCGATCCTGGATGAATCCTTTACTTTTCCTTTTATTCTTATTCCTTTGTCTTTTTTATGCTTGACTTTTTGATGAGTAGATCTTTATATACAATTTATATACTCCTTTTGTATGGTGTGTGTGTGTTTATTGCAGATTAAGATAGAAGAGTAATTATTATTATTGCGAAGTGTTGCAAGTAGATAATTTACCGAATAATTGATGCTTTTGTTCCAAGTTCCAACAATTAAACAGTAGTAAAAAGAATAACAGGGAAAAGAGGCAAAAATCACGATGAAAGATGATGAAGATTATGATGAAGGGCAGAATAAAGTGATTGGAAATTATTTCTTCTTGGTGGTGAATTGAAATTTCTTTGTTTTGGTTTTTTGTTTGTCTGTTCTCTTCACCTTCTTCTTTCTTATGGTAGAGATGAGGAAGATTCAAAATAAAGAGAAAAATAATAATACAACAGAAAATAATCAACACTTCACTTGAAGAATAATAATGTAATTTTGCCAATTAAAGTTGACAATGGAAAACAAGAGGGAAAAGGCTTTGGTTCACTTTCCATTAAATTGTAAACTTGTAACATTGTTTCTACTCCTTGGATTTGATTCTCAATAAGTAATTGAGAAGTTTAAATTGACCAGCATGTTAATTATTCGAGTGAAAAATTAGATTAGAAATTTGTTATCACCAAGATGAGGGTAAATTGAAGATGAAGAAAAGATCACAAGAAATTGAGGTACACAAAGAGAGCAGGATGAAAGAGAAGAGAAGAGAGAGAAAGTGACTGTGTGAGTGAGTGAGTGAGAGAGGGAAGAGAAAACCCAAATTGAGATGATGGGCTAACCTTAACCAAAAAAGGAGAAACTACAAGAGATGATAGACAGACAGGCAGACACAGAGAAAGAGACACAAAGTAAGAAGCAGAGAGAGAGAAAAGGATGATGATGATGAGAAGGAGAAAAGAGATGAAGAGAAAGAAGATAAAATGTGAGCGTTGATAAGAAACGAAAATTAAAGTTCACACCAAGGTAGAAGAATGTAAATTGTAACAATCAAAAAGAGTAGAAAAATAATTGTTCATGTTGATTTATGTTGAGAGAGAATTTCATTGAGAGAGAGAACATGTTTCATTAGAATTGGAAGTTGAGAGAGAAAGTAAAAGAAAACTGATCACTTGTTATGTTGTTGTTGTTCTGATGAAGAAAAAGATGATTTTGTTTTGATAAAAGAAAAGGAAAAGATGATAAGTTGATGATAGAAATTCAAGTTTATCTTCTTGCGCATTTTTCGTATCTCAATTTTGTTCTATTCTTTTTCCATTCGTAATTAGTTAACTTTCCCTTAGAATTTTCGGTTGCTAGGCAACGAAGAGAATTTAATTCAATTGAATTAAATTAATTCTATTGATTGTTTTTCGAAGATCAAATTGATCGTTGGTTAACTTTTTCGCAATTAAATTCTGAACAATTTGATGAAATTTCGATCGTATTTTGTGTTTTCATAAATTTTGTGAGAATTTTGATTTAGTTTTTGTTTGTTTTTTGTTGTTCGTTTATTGGAAAATGTTTGGAGTCAATTTTGTTTTTCTTGGTCTTTTCGTGGTTAATTTTATTTTGAATAACGAAATTGTTTTGTTTGGAAAAAGAGAAAAGAGGGAGACAAGATCTTTTGGTAATTTAATTGTGATTGAAATTACAAGTAACATGGTTTCCGATTAATATGAATCGAGGTCCGATTGAAATCGCTTTTTGTTAGTTTGTTTGTTTTTTTTTTGATTGATTGATTGATTGATTGAAATATTTAACCCATTGGTTGGTTACAACAGGAGTAACAAGTTAATCTTCAAGGGTAACATTTCGGAATAAGTATGACATTGATTCCTTATTGTGAATTCTTCTAATGGCTTCAGCAAGAAGAGCTGAAATGTCAACAGTCTTAATCTTACGACATTGCATCTTTTGTATCTCATGTGGAACTGTGTTTGTGACAACAACCTCATCAATGGGCGAATCTTCAATTAATTTTGGTGCATCACTTGATAGAATACCATGTGAGGCTAGAACATATATTCTAGTTGCTCCCTTTTCTCTTAAACATTCAGCAGCAGCAACATAAGAGACAACATCATCAATCATATCTTCAACCATGATAGCGATTCGTCCAGAAACATCACCAACTACGGTCATCGGTGGTTTCTCTTTAGAAGCCAAAGCCGGCATAATATCGAGACCAGGATCTAATGGTTTGGGTGCAGGTTCCACAGTGGGTGGTGAATATCTTCCATCAACTTCATCGGATTCAGCGGTTTTCTGTGGTTCACCATGAAGAACAGCAATTCCCAGACGAAGACGTTCAGCATATGATGTAGCCTTTTTGGCTGATCCTGGATCTTTAGCCACTATCACAGCATTTTTATAATCAGGAATAGAATCTTGAATGTATTGTAAAAGAAAGGGTGAAGCTCGTAAATTATCAACAGGAATATCAAAGAAACCCTGAACCTCTTTCTGATGAAGATCAATTGTTATCAATTGGGTGAATCCTGCTTTACATATCATTTTGGCTAACAATTTGGTAACAATACAACCACGTTTCTTCATTTTACTCTGTTTAGAATAAGGTAAATAAGGAATTACACCAACAATATTCTTAGCTGATGATGTTTTACACGCATAGGCCATGATAAGAAGCTCCATTATATTATTGTTTACATCTTTGGTACCTATGGATTTAAACACAAGGAGGGAAAAATGTGAGATGAAAAAAGTGAAAATGGCAAATCCCAAATCGAATAGAAAAAGGTAATTTAATCTATTTATCATAATCAACCATTAATATTAATCATTTTTTACCTGTTTGAATAATGTAAATATCACGACCTCGGACACTATCAGTGATATCAACTAAAGTCTCTCTATTTGATGTATGGTAAACAGAACAATTATTTAATTTAACATTCAATCTGGCAGCAATTTTCTGAGAAAAATCTGGATGACTATTACCAGAAAGTAGAACAAAATCAGGATTTGATCGAGACATAATTAATAATTTAAATTGTAAGTAAATAAAAACACTAATATTTTCCTCTCACTTTTTAATCATCAAAAAGACAAGAAAACAACAAACCCACAAGAAGAGCAACAGTGGCGACCACCTTGACTTTTCCTTCAATTGTTTACATAATTTAAATTGCCCAAAGGAAAATAACAATTCACTTCTCACTGTTAATCTATTGAGAAGAAGTAAAAAGATTAAATCAACAGAAATTAATCTAATTGTTCGTAAGTTAAACAAAAAGTGATCCAAGGAAAAATAATTGTTCCGATCAAATTGTGATAACAATTTAAGTTTCAATTTTCTTGCGCTTTTTTTAAATCTTTTTCTCCGTAATTAGTTGATCTTCCCTTTTTTTGCTTAGCAACTGAGTCGCTATGTGGACGTTGCATAAGTTTAATTTGCTTTTCTTTTTAATTCTCATGTTGTGATCACAATTAACTAATCCACATCATTAATGAATTAGTGAACTAATTGACAAATCATATTCTTTTCTTTCGGAGTCTTTTTCTTTTAACTGTCTCTGTGTCTTTTGTGTCTTTTGTTTCATTTTTTTCTTCTTTTGTTTCTTCTCAGTATTTTTGGTTCATTTTCCCTTTCTAATCTCCCTTTTTCTCTTTTTTTTTAGTACAACATATTTATTCAACTTTTTGGTCAACTAATCAATCATGGATTATCTTAGTAGTTATTATAAAGATTTCATCATTTCACAAGCTTCCAATGATTCGGTAACTGGTGCTGGTTCTGCTGCTAGTAAATTCAAAGCTACAACTGAGGGAAGAACCGTTGCTTATGTGTCACTTGTTGTAATGGCTGTTTTACCCATTTTCTATGGTTCTTTTCGATCAATTAAATTCCACCAGAAGCAGAAAAAAGCTTATGAAGAAACGGGTATCCGACCGGATATTATGTCCAAAAAAGACGCTATGACTTTTCCAATTATTGCCTCTGGTACTCTTGGTGGTCTCTATTTGGTTATAACCATTTTCTCAAAGGAATATGTTAACTATCTTCTCAGTATTTATTTCTTTTCTCTTGGAATTATTGCTTTGACAACCTTACTGATGCCCATTTTTAACAAAATTCTCGATGGTCCAGTAGGAAAGATTGATTATCATCTTACTTTCACAAAGAAGGAAAAAACTGACAAGAAACCGTTAGATTTAATTGACTTCCAATTTAACACTCTCGACATTTTTGCTTTCATTGTTTCCAGTATTATCGGTGTCTGGTATTTCATGAAAAAGGTAACTAACACACTTTTCCAATTCAACAATTAATAGTTTGATCATTAATCTTTCTTTTTTTTCCTCTATCAGCATTGGCTTGCAAACAATTTGTTCGGAATTGCTTTTGCTTGCAGTGGAATTGAGCTTCTCTCATTGAACAAAATCGGAAACGGTTGCATCCTATTGATTGGTCTTTTCTTCTATGACGTTTTCTGGGTCTTTGGAACTGATGTTATGGTCACCGTAGCTCAATCTTTCGAAGCTCCAATCAAACTCATGTTCCCTCAAGATTTTATTGAGGCCGGTTTTCTTGGAAAACATTTCGCAATGCTTGGTCTCGGTGATATCGTTGTTCCCGGTATCTTTATTGCTCTTCTGTTGCGATTTGATGTCAGGTTAGAAAAATCATTCATCCCTCTCAATCAATTGTCTTCTTGATTTGATAATCATGATTCAAATCTTATTGTTCATTTTTTTCTGTCTACAGTCTTAAAAGAAAAGGTTCAAAGCTTTACTTCTGGACAGCCTTCATCGCCTACATTTTAGGTTTGATCTTGACCATCGTCGTGATGACAGTTTACAATCATGCCCAGCCCGCTCTTCTGTACCTCGTACCCGCCTGTGTCCTCAGTCCATTAGCGGTTGCCCTAATCAAGGGAGATCTCAAATCAATGTTCACCTATCAAGATCACGCTGAAGAGGAGGAAAAGAAAGTCAAAGAGAGCGGAAAAAAATCCTCAAAAACCAATTCTAAAGACAAAAAGGACAGTTAATCAACTAAACAAAGAATTATTATTTTTACCATTGGATTTATGGGTTACGTCTATTTAATTAAATTAACATCTACCATCAAAAAAATGTTAATTTATTGATGTATGATCTTTGAACAAATAATTTCATGAGAATTATTTTTTCCCCGGGTAAATTACACATAAATCTACTCAAACTATCCAAACAATCAAATTGTCTCTTGTTTGTGGTTTAAAAATGTAAAATCATTTTCTTTTTCAATCAGTATTTATTAGCAACAATCATTTATTAATGATTGTTAAAAATATTGATACAATTGTTCAAAATAATATAAATTGTTTAGGGTGAATTGGGAACTAATTATGGATAACAGGTAACAAATTAGTAGTTAATTCAGCAAACAGTCTTTAAAATATCAATAGATTAACGATAATTTAATCTGCTAATTGTTGCCCAATTTTCACATCATTGAAATTCCGTTGATTTGATCTGAATTTATTGATCAGATAGAAAGGAGGATAGAAAAAAAGAAAAATCAATAATTAGCTTTAATGGAAAAATAGATCAATATGATGGAATAATTTCGCAACAATTAACTAATTTACCTTCTTTTCTTTCCACTCTAATTGATTGTAATCTAAATGGACGCCTTGGTAATTCACCAGCACTTAAAGATCCACCATTGGAAAAATCGTCTTCTTTGCCATTACGAGTGGACGGAAGTGATTTACTTAATTGTCGAATCGGCGGATTAATATTAACATTTGTACTCACCACAGAAGAAACCGTTTTCTTAATTGTTGCATGATTATTTAATGGTGATGATGTTAATATCGTCGGTGGTGATAACATGGGAGAGTTCAGAAATGTTACTGGTGATTGTTGATCGTTAATCGTGACGGGTGATGAAGATAAAGGCGAAGATGATTGTTGATGATTAAATGAAGTAGTAACTGATTTACCAAAATTACCAATCGGTTTTAAACCATTTGATAAATTTTCTTGACTATTGCTAATCAAGTTTCCATTTGATAGATTGTTAACTGAATTCGATTGTGATAGTAAACCAGTTAATCGATTTGGCCTGATTCCATTGAGAACTCCGGTGACTGTGAAACTAATATTTGTAAGAAAAAATTTCTATCCCAAGACAACAAAGCGAAAGTGAATACGAACAAAACAAAATAACGAAAAAAAGAAGCAAAATCCATGCAATTAAAAGCCAATTAAACGACAAATTGTGACTAATTAAAGAGAAACAAAGACAATTGAAGCGAAAGAAAAGAGAAAATGAAAAAGCGAAAATTAGAAAAGAAACTGAAACTTACGATTTGTCGCTTTTCGAACATTATTCAACAATTCTTCTCTTCGTTTGGGCTTAAAATAATTCGCGGCGATATTTTCTTCAGCTCCTTGTTCGAGTTTTTGTAACAATCGAAAATCTGAAAGAGATTCTTTCTCTTCGTCGATTATATCGTCAACATTATTCGAAGAGAAACTTCGACCTGGTGAAGTTGACCGAGAGAAAAGCGGCTTCTCTCGACCGCCTGGCTGAATTCTCCCGGACCTAATGTACCACCGATAAGTCCTGGCGTCGATCCCGGTGGCGGGGGAAGTTTAGTTCGAACGATATAACAATCGGGTAACCGCCATTTCTGAAGATCTTCATCCCAAACACTTTCGCTTTTTACTTTCTCGATGTTGGCATAGTTACAGTCCTTTCGAACGGCGGGTTGAATTTTATCCAACAATTGAGAAAACAATTTGATCTGCTGATCCTGTCGGCGAATTGTCTCCAAATAGTCTGTCCGTTCCGTTTCGAATTCACCTTGTAAATCTTTTACTTCACTTTCGAGCGTTGAAATTTTCCTCTTCGCCCGTTTCAGTAGAGCGGTTCGAGCTCTAAGCTCTTCCGTTATATCACCATAAGCTTTGAGCAACAGTTGATCATCGTCGTCGACCTTTTTAAGAGCGTCCGAAATGGCCATCATTCGTCTTTCGGCTATCTTTTTCCTCTTCGTTCGTTTCTCTTTCAATTCCGGATCATTGGCCTTCTCACCGCCGACCATTCGTTCCTGCAAGGCCTGAATCCTCTCTAACGTTTCCGCTTGAATTTGTGCGATGTTACCTCTTTCTCGATCCAGGTCAGAGACCGGTGAGACCATTGGTCCATTCATTTCAAGTGGAACATCATCAATCAGGTCACCCGTTTCTCCGTTAATTGTCCCACGATTTTGCTCTTCGGCCATTCTCGATTCCATCGTTTCTTTCAATTTGTTCATATCGTTTTTTAGTTGAGCGTTTCTTTCCTGTTCCTCTTTGTGTTTCTCAACCAATTCTTGCATCTTCAGGTCATATTCATGTTTCATCTTATCGAGTAATTCATTATCGATTACATTAGAACCTATGAGATGTTTGAAAAAGAAAACACAAACAAATCATTTCGATTATTGATCGAATATCATTTCAAATGAACAATTAATTATCTGCTTACTTATTTCCGAAACTGAGGATGTCGATAAGAGAGACTTGAGTCTTTGGATTTCGTCCTGGTATTGGCGTAACAAAGCATCTTTTGGATCTTCGTTAATTGTTGGTTTATTTTGAATGTTCTTGGCACGATTAGCATATCTCAATGTACTTAAGGTTTCGTCGTAATTATTGTCCGCTGGTGAGAGACAGGCGACCATCAGAGTCTTTGTATTACCTCCCAGCGAATCTTGAAGTAATCGGGTTAATTTGGAATCTCGGTAAGGAATATGTTTACATTTACCATCGACCAGCGCCGAGATGACATTACCTAAAGCCGATAGAGATAAATTGATCTTGGTCGCTTCTTTCAATCGATCACCAGTGGCTCCCGTTTTGGCCTGTCTTTCGCTTCCAGCTAAATCGACTAGATTCAATTTTCCTTTTCGAATGGTTGAATCAAATTCGGCCATTTCTCCGGTCTCCATCCGTTCCAATTGTACACTAAATATTGAATGAGATCGAGAGGAATCGGCATTCATAAGAGTCGCACCAACGGAACGATTTTTCCACCCCAATTCCATCAATTGTTCACATTGTCTCACATCGTGAACCGGGTGACAAGATAATCCTTGGACAAATACACCCGAATCTGGGGCTTCTTTTAGGTCCAACTTTTTCTTTGAATCAACACCAAGAAGATCACGAATCTCTTCATTATAAATCTCAAGATATGAAGCATGAACCAAGAATTTTGTATGATCGGTCGCCGAAATGGCCTCAAAGATATGTTCAAACGCTCTTGGTATTATTCCCTTCTGACTCGAAGGCGTCGTAATCCCTTGCATGGTAAATGATTTACCACAACCAGTTTGTCCATAAGCGAATACAGTCCCATTATAACCTTCGGTAACACTCTAAGGGCACAAAAGAATCAATTTTAATTACAAACAATTAACTATTCACAGTCAACTTGAAATAACTTAATCACTTATTAGAATATATGAAAAAAAAACTTTCAGATTTCGTGTTTACTATTTCATGATTAATATGCTTGTTGAATTTACGTCATTTCAAATGTAAAACATTTAACTGGATTAATTAACATTCGGAAATCTATTAACTCAATTTAGTTTCAAATAATCGATAAGAAATTAGATCTATTGTAATAATGGTTATATTTTATTAGCTGAACTAATTAAGTGTAGATTGAATTTTAAATAGTCTATGGTGTTTGGAATCTATTGATTTGGATTAATTGGAAAGGGTGATTAGAGTGATTAAGATTAACTGAGTTAATTACTCACCTCAACGATTGGAAATACAATTTCATTGTAAATTTGTTCAGTTGTTGAATCAATAAAATAAGCGCCATCAAAGGTAAACGGCTTGGGAAGGGCTTCGGGATCATTGGGATTGATTATACTACATTGGGCCAATGAGGGATTCATTTGGACAATTATCTGGATTAAGAATGGGAGATTAATTGGTTAGAATGAGAGAGAGAGAGAAATCAATCGTAACAATTAGTTAATTACCTTGCATTTTAAGTCTTTTTCCCTCTGATTTAGAGGTCGACATCGGACAATTACTTTGACAGATTCTGAAGACATGATTCATTTCTGAAGGTCTTCAGTTGGACACATTAAGATGTAAAAGATTATAAAACGAATTAAGTTAATTTGAGATAATCAACAAATGGATTAACACTTTCACCCTCTGTGGACACAAATCACAGGCAGATAATCAATCATGATTGTTTACCAGCGATAATCCAATTATTTCCTGGTTGAAATTGGCAAAGAAAGACAAATGTCCAAACAATAAACAGTTATGATCAACAATTGAAATGGTCAATAGGAACAAAAGTGACCAATCAACAAATTGATATAATCAGATGACCAGTGAGATGATTAAACTCTTCGGGAGGAAGATGAGAAAAGGATAATGATAATGGTTTAGAAAATTGATAAAAAAGAATAAGAAAAACAAGAGAATTAACAATTAGAGTTGATTGATTGATCGAAAATAGAAATCAAAGCAACAGGGAAAAGGAAACAATCTATTAACCCAGAATATTCTGGTGACACCCGAAGATTAACTGGAACAACAGTCGAAAGACAAGATTTAGTTGAAGAAAAGAATAAAATTAAATCACATAGACACAATTAAAGAATTGATGAAACAATTAACTCAGAGAAAAGAATAAGAAAACAAAGATCAACACTGAGAATAGAAAACAAAGAGAAATTGTTGGCGAAAATAATTGAATTGGATCATTTGATTGGACGATGACAATTAACTGATTGTTCTGGTCGATTGTGAGTTGAACAATTTAAATTCTTTAATTTGTAACAATTAGTAAAAAGAATCAATCTTACCTTTAACATGGATCATTTGGTTAGAATTATTTTCTTCACCTTTTCTATTCCAATTCTATTCGTTGCTAATAGTTACTTAATTTCTCTTCCAAGGTTTTTTCGTTTTCTTTTTTCTTTTTTCTTTTCTCTTCCATCGATCAGGTAACATTATCATCATGATCATCATGGAGAAATAATAATAATAATAGTTCGTGAATCGAAATAATCAGAGAAAAATTGGAAATGGAGAATCAGATTGATGAGAAAAAACAAATTCTTTCTGTAAATGTTCATCTTTTCGCCTTAATTGTCACTCTTGTGATTCTGTTGATTAACTTATTATCATTCTAATTGTTTAATTAGCCTCTTTTACCTTATAATTGTTGATACTTTGTGAGCTTCATCGCCTCAGGGTATTTGATTAATTACCTAATTGTAACCAATTCAGTCAATCTCTTAACTGTTAACATTCAAATTGGATTGAAAAGTTTTTCATTTTTATGATTATCTCTTAATTGTTTTGATTGTTATTGTAAAAGAATGAGTTTTTTTAATTTCAATTAAAATCGATTAAAAAATATTTCTACTGATTCGATAAATTGTCAAGGTTAAAACTACAACTATGATCATTAACGATTATTAATATTTTACAATTTATTGATTGCTGGTATTTAGTTTCAATGATCATCATCAAAGATTGATGAAGTCTCTTAATGATTAAGGTAAAAACCTTAATTAGATTAAAAAAGTTACCATTTAGATTAAGATTAAGAGTTAAGATTTAGATTAATAAAGATATTATTATAATGGTTGATAAACAACAATTCACTCTAACAATTTAGATTAATTAGATTCAGTGATCAGTTAGCAATTCAAATTGATTAGTTAATTTTGAGAGATCATTTTTTGAAAACAACAATCGGTTAATCACCTCATTTCATGACCTGAATTGTGTAATTATCAGGGTAATTGTATAAAGTTAAATCAATTGGAACAAACAAAAACTAATTGTTATGGTTAATTTTAATTGATCAAATTACAAATTTAATTGTTTTGTATTTTTTTCCCAATGAATTCAAATACACTAATTGTTGTTGGCCCTGTTCTGGTTTGTTTGTTAAACGGAGGCAGAGATTCAATATATTGTCCATATTCAATAAGATAATTGTACAATTGACCAGTGGTCAGTTTCTTAGCTTCGAGTTGAGAGATAGTGTCTTTCATATTTGCTAATCGGCGATCACCAAAAGTGAAGTAAACAACATCTCGAAGGGCCATCGATGCGGCGATCCACTGGATTAAGCATTTCACCTGAGGGTCGCCTCGATAAACACCACAGCCCCAATTTCCCGTTGCGACAGCACATCGATTGGACTCTTGAATTTCCTCAGTTTCCATGAAACCAGTGAAAGATTTAACTAGTTCTCTGTCGATAAACTTTTTCGAATATTGAGTTTGAACCTTATCAACAGCGAAATAAAGAGCGTCCATAGCCATGATTCTAGTGTACCGACGACCCCACGAGTCTACTGGTGTTGAATCGTTAAAATCGCCTGCGAATTTAAAAGTATCAGAATATCCTGAATAATTGTTGAATTGTTCAGTGCCGATGATAACGACTGCCTCATTGTCCAACATTTTCTCAGTAAAAAGCATCGAAACGATTAATTCGGGATTGATTACAAATCGAACCTCTTCTTGAACCATTCCATAAGTGAGCGTTTTACCACCGATCAATTTATGAGCGAAATCCACTTGAAGCATTCCCCGTCCATCGTGTTCAATTGTCCCGTTTGGACTAACAACCAACTTTTTCAAACATTTCGCCGATCTTGACCAGTTAGGAGTTCGTTCTGGGGCCAAATATTGTCGTCGAAAGGTAACCGTTCCCCTCGGTGGGTTAATCGCAACTCGATGAAAATAATTTAGGATACATTTCAACTTTTCGGCTTTGCGTTTGACGGAAGACGAACCTGAAAACAGCCTAGAGATTGAACGTTAATATGTTTCGTTAGACGTTTGGATAGAACTTACTCTTGAAATGTGAAATGATTCAATTTGGAATTGGTTGGTTTGGTAAATGTACCAAGGAAACAATTAGCAAGAATCGATACTAATTGTTGTTGATTGAAAAACAAAGAATGATTAACTTTCTGTTTAAGAAGTGGAATCGGCTTCACAATCAAATCAGTTAATTTCAAGGTTGATGATAAAATGAAAGGTAAAGTTACATCATAAAATTGAGTCTTCTCGTTGAAATTCATTTGATCAATCACTTGATTAAGGATATTGAGTGAACATTTTTCCAATGAAGGGTTAATTGACTTAAGCAATTCGCCTAATTGCTCAAAGCTTTTGATACCATTTCCATTTAGAGTTGAATTTAACAGATCAACTATTCGATTCCATTGAGATTTCTGATCGAAAGGCATTTGAACATAATCACTTGATGGGCGTAAAAGTGGATTTGATTGATCTGATTTAACTTTTTTCGGTTGATTGTCATCGGATGTCCATGGTAATTGATAGAAAATTGTCTTATCTGGACCAGGCTTTAATTCACCTAATGGTTCACAACAATCAGGCTCTTTGTTGATCATGATAATCAACTTAATTTAACAAAAATCACTCGCAGAAACAAACAATTTAAACAGTTGTAACGATGAAACTTAATCAACTATTAATAGTCAATGTTTACAATCCCGGTAAGCAATTTAATTAGATAAATTAGTATTGCCATCTAGAGGTTGATATGTGAGCATTTTAATTATGGTGCTCGATTTAATACAATAATTAAGCAACCAATTTATTTTAGCCACTCTGATAATCGGTGTACTGGCTAATGGTCATTCGACCCTTGAATTTCAAGGTTAATGGTTTGAAATCGCTGCTTACAGGCGGCTAATTAAAACTTCGTTCACTTTGGTATCTAACGTATGGATAGTAAATTTGGTTATCAGAACTTTTCTCGAACACTTTTACTATGTAGATTAATGAACGAATGGGTAATTTACCTTCTCTTTCGGACTCTTTGAGCATCTTCGTGCAAGCAACGATCAACAGAATAACCGAAATGTGAAAGAGATCGAGGAATTTTGTAATTCAATGGTTCCTTTGGGAGATTAATAGGAAATGTGTGCATGAGGATAAGGATGAGAATTCTCCTGATAATGAACAGGAACTTGAGGTTCTCGACAAAGAGGAATTGAAAGTTGATGATTTCCCGTACCCGGAGATTAGACTATATGTCAAAAATAAATCCATGGACCCATTTCATGTAATCAGTTAATTACCTTTGTTCCTAAGTGTGTAATTAGTATCTGGGTAGTTGTATTAACATAAAGCTAAATCACTTGGAACAAAAATTAATTGTTTTGGTTAATTTTAATTTATCAAATTACAGATTCAATTGTTTTGTATTTTTTCCCTGATGAATTCAAAGACACTGACTGTAGTTAATCTTATTGAATGCAGAGATTCAATATATTGTCCATATTCAATAAGATAATTGTACAATTGACCAGTGGTCAGTTTCTTAGCTTCGAGTTGAGAGATAGTGTCTTTCATATTTGATAATCGGCGATCACTAAAAGTGATGTAAACAACATCTCGAAGGGCCATCGATGCGGCGATCCACTGGATTAAGCATTTCAATTTAGGATCACCTCGAAAAACACCACAGCCCCAATTTCCCGTTGCGACAGCACATCGATTGGACTCTTGAATGTCCTCAGTTTCCATGAAACCAGTGAAAGATTTAACTAGTTCTCTATCGATAAACTTTTTCGAATATTGATCTTGAATCAAATCATCGTAACCGAAATTAATAGCGTCTATCGCTACAACTCTAGTGTACCGACGCCCCCATGAGTCCATTGGTGTTGTATCATTAAAATCGCCTGCGAATTTAAAAGTATCAGAGTATCCTGAATAGCTGTTAAATCGTTCAGCGCCGATGATAACGACTGCCTCATTGTCCAACATTTTCTCAGTAAAAAGCATCGAAACAATTAACTCGGGATTGATCGCAAATCGAATCTCTTCTTGGAGCATTCCATAAGTAAGCGTTAAACCACCGATATATTCATCAGCGAAATCAACTTGAAGCATTCCCCGTCCATCGTTTTCAATTGTCCCATTTGGACAAACGATAAACTTTTTCAAAGTCTTCGCTGAACTTGACCAATCAGGAGTTCGTTCTGGGGCCAAATATTGTCGTCGAAAGGTAACCGTTCCCCTCGGTGGGTTAATCGCAACTCGATGAAAATAGTTCAAGATACATTTCAACTTTTCGGCTTGAAATTTATACGCTGACCGACCTGAAAATAAACTGAACATTGAATGTTAATATGTTTCGTTAGACATTAGGATAAAACTTACTCTTGAAATGAAATGATTCAATTGGAATTGGCTGGTTTGTCAAATGTACCAAGGAAACAATTAGCAAGAATCGATACTAATTGTTGTTGATTGAAAAACAACGAATGATTAACTTTCTGTTTAAGAAGTGGAATCGGCTTCACAATCAAATCAGTTAATTTCAAGGTTGATGATAAAATGAAAGGTAAAGTTACATCATAAAATTGAGTCTTCTCATTGAAATTCATCTTATCAATCACCTTTTTGAGGAAATTGAGTGAACAATTTTCCAATGAAGGGTTAATTGACTTAAGCAATTCGCCTAATTGCTCAAAGCTTTTGATACCATTTCCATTTAGAGTTGAATTTAACAGATCAACTATTCGAGTCCATTGAGATTTCTGATCGAAAGGCATTTGAACATAATCACTTGATGGGCGTAAAAGTGGATTTGATTGATCTGATTTAACTTTTTTCGGTTGATTATCATCGGATGTCCATGGTAATTGATAGAAAATTGTCTTATCTAGACCAGGCTTTAATTCACCCAATGGTTCACAACAATCAGGCTCTTTGTTGATCATGATAACCAACTTAATTTAACAAAAATCACTCACAGAAACAAACAATTTAAACAGTTGTAACGATGAAACTTAATCAACTAGTAATATTCAATGTTTACAATCCCGGTAAGCAATTTAATTAGATAAATTAGTATTGCCATCTAGAGGTTGATATGTGAGCATTTTAATTATGGTGCTCGATTTAATACAATAATTAAGAACCCAGTTTATTTTAGCCAATCTGATAATCGATGTACCGGCTAATGGTCATTCGAGCCTTGAATTTCAAGGTTAATGGTTTGAAATCGCTGCTTACAGGCGGCTAATTAAAACTTCGTTCACTTTGGTATCTAACGTATGGATAGTAAATTTGGTTATCAGAACTTTTCTCGAACACTTTTACTATGTAGATTAATGAACGAATGGGTAATTTACCTTCTCTTTCGGACTCTTTGAGCATCTTCGTGCAGGCAACGATCAACAGAATAACCGAAATGTGAAAGAGATCGAGGAATGTAATTCAATGGTTCCTTTGGAGATTAATAGGAAATGTGCATGAGGATAAGGATGAGAATTCTCCTGATAATGAACAGGAACTTGAGGTTCTCGACAAAGAGGAATTGAAAGTTGATGATTTCCGTACCCGGAGATTAGACTATATGTCAAAATAAATCCATGGACCTATTTCATGTAATCAGTTAATTACCTTTGTTCCTAGTGTAATTAGTATCTGTAGTTGTATTAACATAAAGCTAAATCACTTGGAACAAAAATTAATTGTTTTGGTTAATTTTAATTTATCAAATTACAGATTCAATTGTTTTGTATTTTTCCTGATGAATCAAAGACACTGACTGTAGTTAATCTTATTGAATGCAGATTCAATATATTGTCCATATTCAATAAGATAATTGTACAATTGACCAGTGGTCAGTTTCTTAGCTTCGATGAGAGATAGTGTCTTTCATATTTGATAATCGGCGATCACTAAAAGTGATAAACAACATCTCGAAGGGCCATCGATGCGGCGATCCACTGGATTAAGCATTTCAATTTAGGATCACCTGAAAACACCACAGCCCCAATTTCCCGTTGCGACAGCACATCGATTGACTCTTGAATGTCCCTTTCCATGAAACCAGTGAAAGATTTAACTAGTTCTCTATCGATAAACTTTTCGAATATTGATCTTGAATCAAATCATCGTAACCGAAATTAATAGCGTCTATCGCTACAACTCTAGTGTACCGACGCCCCCATGAGTCCATTGGTGTTGTATCATTAAAATCGCCTGCGAATTTAAAAGTATCAGAGTATCCTGAATAGCTGTTAAATCGTTCAGCGCCGATGATAACGACTGCCTCATTGTCCAACATTTTCTCAGTAAAAGCATCGAAACAATTAACGGGATTGATCGCAAATCGAATCTCTTCTTGGAGCATTCCATGTAAGCGTTAAACCACCGATATATTCATCAGCGAAATCAACTTGAAGCATTCCCCGTCCATCGTTTTCAATTGTCCCATTTGGACAAACGATAAACTTTTTCAAAGTCTTCGCTGAACTTGACCAATCAGGAGTTCGTTCTGGGGCCAAATATTGTCGTCGAAAGGTAACCGTTCCCCTCGGTGGGTTAATCGCAACTCGATGAAAATAGTTCAAGATACATTTCAACTTTTCGGCTTGAAATTTATATGCTGACCGACCTGAAAATAAACTGAACATTGAATGTTAATATGTTTCGTTAGACATTAGGATAAAACTTACTCTTAATGTGAAATGATCAATTTGGAATTGGCTGGTTTGTCAATGTACCAAGGAAACAATTAGCAAGAATCGATACTAATTGTTGTTGATTGAAAACAAAGAATGATTAACTTTCTGTTTAAGTGGAATCGGCTTCAATCAAATCAGTTAATTTCAAGGTTGATGATAAAATGAAGGTAAAGTTACATAAAATTGAGTCTTCTCAATGAAATTCATCTTATCAATCACCTTTTTGAGGAAATTGAGTGAACAATTTTCCAATGAAGGGTTAATTGATTTGAGCAATTCGCCTAATTGCTCAAAGTTTTTGATACCATTTCCATTTAGAGTTGAATTTAACAGATCAACTATTCGAGTCCATTGAGATTTCTGATCGAAAGGCATTTGAACATAATCACTTGATGGGCGTAAAAGTGGATTTGATTGATCTGATTTAACTTTTTTCGGTTGATTATCATCGGATGTCCATGGTAATTGATAGAAAATTGTCTTATCTGGACCAGGCTTTAATTCACCCAATGGTTCACAACAATCAGGCTCTTTATTGATCATGATAATCAACTGAATTCAACACAACGTAAAATTATTCACGTAACAAACAACTTAAACAGCGATAACGATTCAACTCAATCAACGTTTATTAATCAATGTTTACAATTAGTGATGTTCAGATATAATATCATACTCTTATACATAAATCGATATTTAGTTTCGTCCTCAACCCTTCCCATACGAAATTAGATAACACATTTTCTAATTTATTTTCACCAATCACATCTCTTTAAAGACTAGTGACATCTATTGATTTACTCACCTGTTTAGTTAAAATATGAGATTAACTGTACATTTACCTGGACAAAAATATTTGTTTATTCAATGAAAAATGCAAAAAGTGCTCTTGTTGATGAAATTGTAAATCGTTTCGACAAAAACAACTAATCTCAAACGGTCGATTAGCATGACCCCTCGAACTTGAAGATTCTTGGTCATGTAGACGACCGAAAGGGCCGCAGCTCGGCTGTAATTAAATTAGAGGTCAGACTCTATTTACAATTCCGATGGGTGAACAATTAAATTGGGTATTGTTAGTATTGCCATCTAGAGGTTTGTATGTGAGTATTTTAATTGTGGTGGACCATTTAATCATATAATTAAGCCTCTTGGTTAATCCTTTCTATTGTTGTTCGGTAAAATTTGTAACAATTTGAAACGATTTTGAAAATTTTGATTGTTTCTAAATCGTTGTTGTTGATTGAAATATCTCTTGACAGTTATAAGTGATTGATCCAATTACTTATGATAATAATGAGATGGAAAATTGTTAAGCCTTAATTACCATCATTAGGTAAGTTAATTAGAGGTTAAAATTAATACGATAACGAAATTAGAGGTCAATCAATGTCCAGACAAAGGTAAAGTTGTTGAATTTAAAAAAAAAGGTCAAGATTAAGGTTAGTAGATTAAGGGAAAGATTTATCATCAAGTTAATCATCTATTGATTGTTGAGAAAAATTCATCAACAGAATTAAATTAATCACTATTGAGTTGGTCTTAAACACTGGTCAATCTACTGACCTAATGTTGACAGTAGTTACAATCTATTGTGAGTAATTGAAATGATTACAATCACAATTAACAGGCTCAACAATTAAAAGAACCGTGAAAATATATTTTGCTCAATTGAGATTTTGATTTTTTTTTTCATCACAATTAAGTGAAAAAATAATATTAATTGTTGTTGTTGTCGCGGTTTATTACAAATATTGTAACCGTTGATTATGGTAAAGTTGATTAATCCGATGAATTATTTTCAGGATAAAATTGTTATTTTGTAAATCTTTTTGATTGTCTATCTTTCTCTCTCTTAATCACTACAATTAAGACTGATTGTCAGTCATTAAGAAAAAGAGAGAGAAAGATAGATAGAGAAAGAGATAAGGTCATTGAGATTCAATTGAAAGAATTATAAAAATTGGTAAACAATATAACAGAATAAAAATAGGAAAATGAGATTTACATAAAATCGATTGTTGGAAATTGATTGTTGATTGAGTTTCTCCCGTTTGTCTAATCATCAAGTCATAATTGATTCATAAATTTTAACAATACTTTCAATCTTATTGGCAGGTACATTCATAACCTTGGAACCGAAATGATAAACATCAGGGGAACCATTAGGAACCATACGATCACCTGAAAATAGAGGAAAAATATACGAAAAAAAAAGTTTTAAAAAAGTTAGTAAATCATCAGAAAATAGTTAATAATCAGTTAATGTTAACAATCAATTATCGTGTATTGAATATACAAATTGACACGTTAATTGTGTTTAAATGGTTACACAGTAACAGTAACGTTGATAATGATTCATGATAAATAAATCATCGAATTGAAAAGTTTGCAAATGTTGGAGGAAAAGAAGAAAAAATTAAACCAAATTAGTGAAATAATTTCTTCTAATAACAATTAACGGAAACTTGATTAATATTTACTGGTTACAATTTAAATTGGTTGTCAACGATTTTCTAAGCTCACCAATGGGAAAATACATATTGTTAGCTAATCAAGAAAGTTAATTGTTTGTAAATATTATTGATGAAAGAAAATCAAATAGAGTGACAATTGATTGTTTGATAGATTATAAAATGATAAAAAAAATCAGCAAAGTGTCAACATTACCTTTGTAAGGGCGTTTACATTTACCATCTAGAAAATCAGGTAAATTTGATTCGTCAAAATGATCTTTCAACTTTTTCCGTGTAGTAAATTGAACCAAATCACCGCCTTCATTGGGAATCCATGTTTTCACCATTGACCAGAAAGCTTTTAGAATCCAGGGAAGATCAACAACCAGAACGGCATCAATACCCAATGGGAAATGAATCTTTAAATCGTTAATCAAATAATGAAGCAAATCGAAATCAGCATTTTGTAGTCCTGCATCTTTAAAGTCAAATATTAAAATCCATCCATTTCCATTGGAATCTTCATCGATTGACCAAAGGACATGGTCAACAAATTGTTCTATGGCACTTTGAATGTCCTTTATCTTACGGACAAATTTAATTCGTAGGATCAACGATGGGCGACCCTGTTTATCGGTTTCATATTGAAATAAAGCTCCAGTTTTGAAAAACATATCAGGAAAATAGTTCATTTTAAATGAACGGAAACCATGAGATTTACGCCATTTCATTGATTCAATCATTGCTTCAAGAGCAGTTTCATGATTAAGTAAATTACCGGCTAAGAAACGATAAACCCACCAATCATCTTTCTCGATTCTTTCAAGATCAATTGGATCATATTGATCTGGTTCATTGGCTACTCTCTCGAAAAAATGTTTCTTCAATTGGTCAAGAGCATTTTTATCAATGGGTTCAGTTAATCGTTCTCGAATCATCTTGAAAAATTTTCCGTTAACCTGATCAATGAAAAGATTGAAATTTAAATTGATTAAATGTTCATTTGCAATCAATGATTTCCAATGAAAGATCTGGAAATTGAGGTTAATCATTGATGGTGAGAAGAAAAAAATTAAGTCTAAATTAGTCAGTAGAAAACAGGGAAAGGGAAATATGAACCAATTTCAGAAATAATCAAAATTAATTAAAATAATAAAGGTTTTGTTTACTTGAGGCTATAAACAGAAGGAAGAATTGCTAATTAACTGTGGCGCGTTTTTAATGCAACAATTAGTTGATTGTAAATATAAATATAATCAAAATATTGTACATACCTTTCAGGTTTTGTTAATAATTTGAAATGATTCAATTGAAACTTTGGATTGCAGGGGATTGTTTTCCTTTCGTAGGGTAAAGTTGATTAGCACACAGATAATTAACCTAACATAGAATGAAAAAGGTTGATCAGGTAAAAAGAGAATCAAAAAAATTAATCAACGTAATTAATTTAGTGTAATGATCACAAGAAACACCAAGGTAACAATAAACAGAATTGGAATGGTTACCAATGGGATTTGAGAAGATTTTCCAATATTAGAAATGGACAGTTGGAACTTGGTAGTTTTGGTTACCTGAGAATGTTCAATGATCGATTTAATAGAAAATTCAGGGAAGAAAAGTGAGAAGAAGAGAGGGAGTTATTGGAGAAAAAAACGAAAGGAGAAAAGAGAAAACAAAGACGATGACTAAGAAGCGAGAAAATGTAAAGAAATCACTGGAAATGGGAGGGAAAAGCCACCGAAATGGAAATAGAATACCTGGTGAAGAATGGAAATGATTGATGCGAGAAGTAATTTCCGAGGGATTAATTGGTTAACTTCTATGTGTGACCTCCTCCGTTTGGAACTGAAACAGCAATAAAAGAAGAAAAATTAAAACACAATAAACAACAACAATTAAATGGAATCACCGATAATCAATACAAATGATTGCAACCAAAAACAGGTACAAGTTTAAGGCTAAATTGATTCTTTTTTAGAGTGAGTGAGAGAGAGAGAGAGAGAAAAATAAAATCACGGTTTACCATTAACACGAGAACACTAAATACACGTTTTTGATTATCGTCATCAAATATAATTAATATTTTATCACAATTAAAGAGATACTTTTGAAGGAGAAAGGTATAAGGTGGAGAGGGAGGAGGAGGAGGAATAGAAATTAAAAAGTAAAAGTGAATTAACAAGATGGAGGATGAGACTTGACCTTCTTTCCAATGAGAGAAGGGACCAGGAAAATGTGATCTATTTCGTTATCATTTCTCTCCCTCTCTCACTTTTATCTGGATCTTTCTTTTTAAGGCAACTTTTCCTTTCTCTTAATTGTCTCACCTGTAATCACTAATCACTAATTAGAAAAGAAAATTGCAAAAGAAAACAAATGAAAATCAATTACGTAAACAATTGGAAATTAACATTGACCGGACAAAAAATCATCGAAAATTAATTGACCGAATCTCTTTTGTATCGGATACTTTAGATCAGAGATTAGATAGAAAAAGATAATCTCTTTTTTTTTTCATCATAATTAATGAATTAAATTTTGTTATTAATAAGTGGAAATGATTTATTAAAAGTGAAAAATATAATTTCTAAGTGTATCCTCAACGTAAAAACAATAAAATAAAGTCGAAATAATATTTACGTTATTAGTGAAGTGAAAAGAAAAGTAAGTACCCCTCCCTCCAAAGAAGCCATGCTTGTTTTGCATACACAAACGATACACAAACGCTAATTAAACGATATTTAACCGAATTTTAAACGATACTACTCCAGAAATGGATGAAAATATACGGTTAAAGACCACAATAGCCATGGATAACCACAACCAGTTATCCATGTTTCTGCGAGTATTTCCCTGTTATTATTCGTCCAGGAAAAGCAATGTTATTTTGCATTGCTTTTCTTAATCTCTAATTCATTGATTTTCACTCATGAAAAGCAATGTTATTTTACATTGCTTTTTCATAGTCTCTAATTTACTGATTTTCACTTATGAAAAGCAATATTATTTTGGAGAAATCTATTCTCCTTGATCTGAACTTCTTAAAAGATACAGCGAGGGATCTCTAATGTTCTAATAGATCGAAATATAATTCTCAATCGGCTGATACACTGATAAGAAAGGATACCATATTGCCACGAAATCAAAACAACCGCCTGGTTATGGTTAATCAATCGATGGCAAAGACCACCAACAGGAAGGAAAATAATCTACACAATTGAAAAATTCCAGAAAAGATCCGTGATGATAGTGTAAAGATTCAGAGATCCAATCAGAGAAAAAGAATAGGATTCGAATGCTGCAAAAGAAACTCAACATGGAATCACCTAATGATAGAATACTCATGGATGGCCATATAAATGGAATAATGGAAATGAAAAGAAACGAAAACTACTCAATAGCAAAACAAGAAAACGAAACTATTAGAAATAATTGTAACTGTAAACTCCATGGTGGAAGCCCAAAATGTTTTGCAAGTGGATATAAATGATTACATGAGGTGGAACAACATGACCTCAAGAGGGTGAGACCAGAACTCACTCAGTCATGTAGTTGACATGACACTCTGTAAACGAGCATAGATATTAAAGATATTGATTGTTTTTCTTTTTGCCGGTCAATTGATTTATTTTAATTTCTTTAATTGTTTCTCTCTGATCAGTTAATTTTATCGTAATTTCTTTAATTGTTACACTTTTTTTTTCTATTTACGTGTTTTTCTATGGTCAATGTGTTTTCTTTTCTTTGAGTTAACTTCTAATTACTTGGAAATCTTTTCGGGTTTTTTTCTTCTTCGTGATTGTTTTCTTATTCCAATATTTGCTGGTTGATTAAAATTAATTGTTCTTTGTTCATTGATTGATTTCTATTGATTGGTTGTGCTGGTGATCGTGGTGGTTAATCAATGGAACCTTAATTTATTTACATGTCATTAACTAAACAAGTTTCGCCTGATTGTCATGTTTATGGCGATTATTTTTTTTCTATTCTCATTGTGATTGTTGACAATTTAACTAAATTTCCTTTTTCAGTTGTTATATTGTGTCAATAATCTGCTGTTTTAATAGTAATTATTATTTCAAGGTTAATCGTTGATTTAGTTAAATTGTTAACTTAATTCTCTTTTTTTGATCATCGAAAACAACAATTTAAAATAACAACAACAAATGAAATAAACAACATTGGAAACCTTGAGACAATCACTTTTGAACATTTTCTCAAATCAAAATCATCCACAATTAAATCAAGCCATAAATAGATTGGTTTATAATAATTAATAATCTAAAATGAGGATAAATCACCATATTAACCATCGAGTTAATTGTGACCAGATTGAATCAAATTAAACGGTAACAATTGACCGTTAAATTGTCAACGGAAATTAAATTGTAACAGTTAACTTGTGACAATGAACTTTTAACCGTTAATCAAATTTAGCGATTAAGCTAAATTTTTTTTTCTATTAATAGAGAAGGAAAAAATTCTAACCAACAATTAACCTGCTAACAATTTAACATGAAATCATTTAGGTATTTAAATTTTACATCTAAATTGTTATAAGATTTTTATAAGTTTCTGTTAATTTTATTAACTCATACTTAGCGGTGATGATTAATTTACCTTGAAATTGTTCACAATTAGTTAATCATCATGATTAAAGTAAACTAACCATTAACCATAAGAACAAGGCTATAATTGATTGACCATTAAACTAAATTAAGCAAAAATTGAACCAACAATTTATCCAAATGCTTGATAATCATCATGTAACCAATTCCACCGGTTAATTAACCAATTGAAATGATGTAATTACCAATATCGATTAACAATTAGCTACATTGTGATTAAGGAAAATTATTATAAACAGAATCCTTGAGAGCTATATAAATATAAATATCTTTTAATTTGATTGTAATAATAATTGATGGAAATTAATTTTACAATTAAAGAAATAGCAACAGATAAGAAGAGTAGTTAACTAATTACAATTAAAAAAATCGCTGAGATTTACACAATATACACGAGAAAATGAGTCAATCAAATGATCTGATAAGATGGGTCATAATTAGTTGATTGTTGAGAATCATCTTGATAATTGTAACTCAAATCTGAATCCGATTGATCACAATTAACTGATTTTGAGTCTTCGGGTATAACAATATAAGGTGAATATTGATCAATTGGTTCATCCATTTGATCAGCTTGATTTTTACTCGACAATTTGTTAATTGAATAACCAGAATCATGAGAATCACATTCAACATAATCAGATATTTTTCGAGTTCTGATTCTTGAACCTTCGAGTTCGTAATCTAATGAAGATGAACTTGATTGAGTGTCCACATTAATCGTTGCAATTACATTTTCTTTAGTTAATTGTTGGCTGATTGTTTCGTTATCACAATGATTATTGGCACTTATCGTGTTCATCTCATACAAAGTATCGAGTAAAATGTTTGCATCTCCTTTTAATCGTGGCGGCATTTTGGGAATCCAATTGGAATCGACGTTTTCTTTCAACTTCCGTTCAACTTGACGTCTTTTGATTACAATCAAAGTGTAAGAAAAAATGACAATTAACGAAATTAGCGAAATCGAGAAAATAGTGAGCATAGCGGGAGGAATCACTTCGAATTCAGTTTGGAAAGTTATTGTTGGACTTTCCAAATTGTCACCATTAGAAGTCACTCCACGAATAGTAAAGTTATAAAAAGTTCTCGAATCCAGATCGATAATATATTCGAGGGTCGATTTATTAACTGGGATTATTTTCAATTTCTCTGAACACGAGAAATCGATTGGACAATAATGTATCTCATAGTGATCGATAAAATAATCTAATGCTGGACAGTCGAGTTGCCAAATAGCCTTAATAGACTTTGATCCAATTGGAATTAAATCAAATCGTTTAAACCGATTATCAACTCGTATGTCCAAAGCACTTTCAATACACTGAGCCCATTTAATTCCACTCGCTAGTTCATAGGTTAGATCGGTCACCCCGATACCAAATTGTACAATTTGTAGTCTTTATTGATTGTTAACTCTAATGATGTTTGATTTCCTGGTAAATCAAAAGTTTCAATTCGACCATCACATTGAAAGTTTAAATTTGAAACTTCACACAAACAAATTGTATATTTTGCAACTTGTTGAATCGATGGGACTGTCCACTCAAGAGTATAATTGTGGTGACCCCAATCAATTGCATAGAACTGATCAACACCAGGATGAATTTTATCCAATGAATGAGCGGGAATTTTGGAGATTATTGGTCCAATTGTGGGCTCGATTGAATTGTAAGCAACTAATTGCATTTGGTAGTCAGTGATAGTGTTCAAATTTTCAATGATACAACTGGTGAAATCAATTTCAGAGGCTTTCAAATAGTGTATCTGATTTGATTTCGTCGTCAATGATGGTCGACAGGGTAAAATAGTCATCGCAGGTTTTACTCGTGTTATTTTTTGTGACCTGTTGGACTTTTCAGCGTATTTATCGTCGAAATAGTAAGAATCGGGGATGGAAATCGAACTCAAGTTCCATGGCTTTAAATCAGGTATTTTTTTCGGTTGGCCAACTGGTACAACATTCACAGGGATTTTAATTTTCGAACTGATCAACATTGGTGATACTTTGATCATTATTTTTTCATATTTGGGTTGGAGGTCAGGGGTCAAGTCAACTCTGTCCAAATAAACGACAACATCCAATAGATCATCTTCCTTTTTGATTAACTCGAATACTTCAGGGTATAAATTGGGAATGTTTATCGAGAAAGCTGAGAAAAGGGTAAAAGATGATTAATTTAAACGGCTAATTAATGATCTTAATTAGGTGATAATTACCATCGGTCTTTGTTATTATATCAACCGTAACCTTTTCTCCCAAACGATTAACATGAGAATTAGAAGTGAGTTGACAACGAATATCAATTCGATATTTTGTCGATTGGATTAAATTTATTATCTTAAAATCGGTCGCACCGATTAGTTGAGCCGATCTTAGATATTTAACCTTATTGGAAGTAGAGCCAATTGTTTTCTGATCGTTTTCGATTTGGTAAATGTCCAGTTGATAAGTGATTGATTTCGAAAGATAATATCTAGTGTATATTTCCATCGGAGGTTTCCACGTAAGGTAAACGAATCTTGTACCGAGTTCGACGATTTTCACTTCGGTGACTTGACATAGAACAACATTTGCATAATGATCATAAGCAAAGAATTTGGAAATTGTTCCAAATCTATCAATCACATCCAAACGAAATCTGAATCTATTTTCATTAACGTAATTCGAGCTCAACTTAATTAAGTCAAACGTACAATGATCTTTTTCCGTTAAGTTGAAACACGATGAATATGATGAATTTTCAACTGATGTCATGTGTAAATCATAAACTGCCTCAGGGTTGTAACCTGAAAATCCCAATAACATGTGAAAGTTTTGAAACAATAACCTGAACAACTAAACGTGAAATTATCACCGAAAGTGTAAACATCTAATAGAAAACAATTGGATTAGTGTCAATTGAAACAGGAATCAATCAATTGTTATACTCACAAGGTGGACTAACATTGGGAATTGCGGTTTGAATTTGATCATCGTTGGAAACATCGTCATCACATTGGATAAATTGTGAACAGTTAACTAACCAACAAACAATTAACACTAATCTCACAGTTTCTTTAACACGAAAAAAGTTAACCATCCTCATTACTATGAATTAGGGTTAAATCTGTTGGTTAAATTAATAGTGATTGAAGGAAAATCTGATTAAGATCATGAATCGTCAGCAAAAACAATAGAAAAACAATAAATTAGATTAACTATCTGATAGAAATCAACAATAATCATAATATTGATGCTAAATGAAACAATTAGATATTAGATACAAGTTTGTAACAATTAAATCAAAGGAGAATCAATTTAGCTGAAGATAAGCAGAGAAATTAATTGTTTTAGAAAACAATTATTATAAGTGACTAATTAATGATTAGATATGAAAAGTTGCTCGTTGATAACTTCATCTATTAATTGTGGTTATTATTAGAATCTCTCATTAGTTAATCGAGATACTTGATTTCTGAGGCCAAGAACTTTTCGTCCATGGAATGACCTTGAACTGGTTTCGATTTTATCGCTAACGAATAACTTTTTTTCGACTTTCGAGCAAAAACTTTTGGGACAAGTTTTGTGTTGATTTGTATCAATTCAAATCAGTTCGTTAGCTAATTAATTGATTCATTTGGTAATTTTAGCTCTTTAATTGTAATCGAAACGATTTCCAATTTCAATGGGAAAACAATCAGATGATTAGATTTTTTTTACAGAAAATAAATTTGGTACAAGAAGCGTTGAGATTGAATTTCAATTGGATTTAAATTGATTGAAAGGGAATCAAATTTGATTAAAAGATGATACAAAATATTTGATTTAGATTCAAGAAGGAAATTGAGAGAATCATTTTTTTTGGGTGAAAATATTTGACAAGTGAATTTGAATCATTGGGAATTGAGATTTTACAATAATACGATTTGATAGAATGGATATTAATTAACTAATTGTTAAGCATAAACGTAACCATTGGAAACTGTATTAATATCAACTGGCTCATCATCATCAGATTGAAGGTAATCATTAATTGATAGTCGATAGTCATCATTGTTGATTGTTATTGCTGTTCCATCATTTGTTTGATCATAACTTAAATCAGAATCAGAAAGACTATAATTAACTGTTACATAATCGTTGTTATTTACATTTGAATCAGCTGATGAATGGATGACTTTGTCAACTGTCATACCTGAGCTTTTATCTTCAGGTACAACAATATAAGGTGAATTTTCATCAATTGATTTAATCAAACCCTCCATCGTAAATTTATCACCTTCATAGTAAACAGTTTTATCTGACAATTTAGTTGAATAACCAGAATCTTCCGAATCACATCCACCACCATCAGATAATTTGCGACATCTCATCCGTCGAGATGATGTCGATGATACAGAAGAAAATGATTTAATTAAACTCTTCCTATTTGCAACAATTTTCTCATTATTACCAATGGAACAAGTTAATTCTAATCCTTCATCCGGTTCTCCGGTAATTGATGAAGATGAAGATGATGACGGTGATACAGATGAAGATGAAGATGATGCTGTACATGGGATTATATCGGTCAGCTGATTATTCCCACTGATTGTCGATAAAATGAACACGTTGTTTTTACAATCTTTTGTTAATTGTTGATCGAATCTCGAATTAAATCCTTTGGTGTTTAATTTGTTTAGATTAGTATTCGATCCGCTATTCATGTACTCTTTGTTTTCGTATTCATTTCGAGTCTCTCGAGCCAATGGGTTAAGTAAAATGTTTGCATCTCCTTTTAATCGTGACGGCATTTTGGGAATCCAATTGGAATCAACTGATTCTTTCAATGCTCGTTCGTCTTTTCGTTTTTTAATTGTGCAAAGGAATAGAGAGTAAACCATTAATAGGGTTACAAGAATTCCTATCACCATGACGAGTACTCCAAACGCGAAAGAAAATATATTGATTTTCGTCTCAACGGTTATCGTTGGACTTTCCAAAATCTCTCCTCGAATGGTCACCGCTCGAATGGTAACATTATAAACTGTACTCGATTTAAGATCTTCGATAGTGTATTCGTACGATGAACGGGAAATGTTGTTATTCGTAAATGTCTTGATACATGGAGAATCCATTTGACAATAACTGATCTCATAATGATCGATAAAATGTCCTAATGCTGGACAATCGAGTTTCCAAGTTACTCTAATAGAATTTGATCCATCTGAAACTATGTTGAATCGCTTGAAACGATTTTTGACCTTTAAATATGGACCATCATTCTCGATACAATTTGCCCATTTGATGCCACTTGATAGTCCATAGTTATAATCGATAACGGAGATACCAAATTTCACTTCGGTCAAATTGATCTCAAGGTGAGTTGATGTTTCATTTTCAGGTATGTGAATATAATCAAGATTAAAGTCACATTGAGGTAAATCGTCAATTACTTCACACCAAAAGATTGTGAATCGTTTGATTGATTTAGTTGATGAAACTTTCCAAAAGAGTGTATAATTATCACCACTCCAGTTAATTGCATAAAATTGATCGACTCCGGGATGAATTTTATTCATTGAATTACCAGGAACTATCATGACACTGGAACCAGATGAAAATCCAAGTGAATTGTAGGAAAGCATTTCAATCTTATAGTCAAAGGAAGTATTCAAATTTTCAAAGGTACAACTATCAAATTCACCCTCAGGCACATGTTCAATTATCGGCTTTTCCGTTTTCACCGAAAGTGACAATTTACAAGGTTTCGATGGCGATAATTTTTGACCAACATTGCCCACCAATTCAGAGCTAATCATTGATGATTGTGAATAACTTGGCGATGAATAAGATAATGACAATGCTGATGATTGAATCGAATCCAATGAAGTATTGGTAATAACACTTAACGGGATAATCTTAATGACATAAGTGAAATTTGGTCCATTTATATTTATCTTGTCCACTTTATTAAAGTAAATGACCACATCTTGTTTATGAGAATCTTTCTCAACCAATTCAAATCCTCCTGGTTGTAAGATTGGATATAAGTAAGGCACTGTAATAGAAAAGGTAATAATCAATCAATAAACATTTCCAAGAAAATTTAAAGGTCACCATGTAATCATTTAGATGTATATAAATGATCAATAGTTAGAAATTTATATTTACCATCAGGTCGAGTTTCAATGGAACCCAAAGTAGCGTCACTCCATTGGCCTGAAGCGACATTGGTTTTGAATCGACAACGAATCTCAATGTTGTATCTTGTAAATGGAATCAAATTTGTTATATTATAATATCGTGATTGTTTAATTAAAATTGATTGTGCATATTTGGCTTGAATCACTTTATCATAATAAATATTGTATTCCACTGATAAGTTATCACGTTTAACTGGATAAACCTTGAGTTGATATTCAGTGATACTGGTTAGGTAATCATCATGAATTATACTGTTCGGTGGGTCCCAATTAATATATGCGAACCCTGAACCGATATAATTTGGATAAACGTTGACGATTGGACTGAGAATCACGTTTGAATAGTGATCTATTTGATAGATTTTGGAGATCGATCCATATTTGTTGCTTACATCCAAACGAAATCGTAAATTTTTATCAGAAATCAGGTAAGGTGATTCGTCCTTTGTACTAAATGTACAAATATTTTTATCCTTTCGATTGGGACAATTAGAATAGGTCAAATTATCAGCAATTACGATACTTAAATCATATTTAGTGGCGATATTATAATCCTCAAGATCCCATGAACAAGTTAAATTTTTCAAATCATAACCAAGACAATTAAGATTGAAATTATCATCAACACTTGGTGGCCCTAAATGATATGATAATAAAATAATAATCATTAAAAGATGACATTTAATTGTGTTAACTAGTTAATCAGTGGGGGTAATAAATTAATTGTTCAACTTACGAGAAATTGAAACATAAGTTGCACAAATTGCTTTGGGTTTAACATTAATTTCACCAGTGTCCAAATAGCACATATAATAACCGTTCTCGGAGGTTGTTGTTGATAATATTTTAAATCCAATTGTTAAATTGTCAACAATTTGAATCCTTGAAGAGTCAATTCTTGATCCATTATATTTAAAGAATAACATTTTAGAATTGATTTGAACGTTTCTACCATCGGGAAGATCCATTGACGATGTGAATAGAGTACAATTGATTTCCATTGAATCTCCTTCTTCTATTGACATATCTTTTGTTGTTGTACCCAAATGATTAACAAACAATTCACTGCAACAATTAACACAATTAAATCCATAAATTGTCAGGATAATTAAAGTAAAGGAGATCCTTAGGTTAACCTGTGTACCAGGAAGTAACATTTTCTCAATGGGTCAATTAGATTGAAGATCACAAAGACATTAATTTTGTGAGTCAATTGTAATTGAAATTGATTCTCAATTGATCATCACATGAGCATGTTAATTGTAAACTAGAAGGTAGAGATTTAAAATATCACAATTAGTCAGCAGAGTTAATTACATCACATAGATGGGAAATCGTCACCAAAAAAAGTCAATATCAGAAAACAATCAATATAATAAAAGATAAAATTGTCAAGATAAACAAGATTAAGGTAGTGTTTGGATTGGAATTGGAATTGGTGAAAATAGTATAATGTCAGGTTGAATTGGTGACAATTAATGGAAAATAAAACAATTAAATAACATAGGAAAAGGGAGATAATTAAATTATGAGACAAGATAAATGATAAACCAGAAAAACGTTACTGATGTTTACGCATTTTCAATGTTGACAAAAAGCAAAAAGATTCACATTCATTTGATTACATTTTGATTCCAATGGAAAAGATCACAATTTAATCATCAATCAATTCAAGTGATTATCTGAATACGATGAAAAAGTCAACGAGTGATTAATCAAATTCACAATAACAATTAAGAGAAAAAGAAATTAAAATCTAAATGAAAACAAGAGCAAAATCGTTTGGAAAAAGTCACATTACAAATGAGAAGAAGAGAAAAAAACTAACATAGAAACAAGAGGGAGCCAAAGAAAAGAAGACAGAGGAAAGGAAAGAAAGAGAAGATAAAAAAGACAGAGAATTGAAGAGAGAGAGAGAGAAATTAATTGTTCTAATTGTTTGGGTTAATCAATTAATTGAGTTCGTATGAGAAACTTTGAGATTTTTTGACAAAGATTTTGATAGTGAATCTATTGTGAGAAAAACAAAAATTGTGAACATGAAAAAAGAAAGAGGATGGAGATAAGAGGAAATCTCTTTCTTTTTTCCATCATCATCCTCATCATCTTCATCATCTTCATCATCTTAGTGCTACAGTTGAAAAGCTATTTGTGGCTTCTCATTTGATTTTGTCTTCTCTCTCTCTCTCTCGGTCTCTCTTTTTTGCTTCTGTTTTTGTCTCTTCCTTTTCTCATCATCTTCCTCATTATCTTCATCCCTTCAAGAGATGGTAAATCACCATTGATGATGATGAGACATCATCTCCATCCTTTATCTCTCTCCTTTTCCTCTTCTTCTTCCTCCTCCTTCTCATCATCATCATATATCATTTTCATTGTTATTATTCAACTTTTATGAGAAATAAAAGTTAACTAGTATTTACTTTAATCTAATTAACTTGATATCTTGTTAATATTTAGGAAACTGAATCGGTCTCGAAATTGTAACAACACCGATTTAAATCATTATCTAAGGAAACAATCAAACTAATCATCATTAATTTTACTCTTTCAATGATCAACCAACTGAGAACATGTTAGTTATCAAAGTGGGAGTTTTAAGCTCATTTGAATATCGATCCAAAGTTTCATCAGAGAAAAAAATGTTTCAAATACCCTCGGGGGAGGAGATGAAGAGAGTGGAGTGTGTAAAAAATAGTGGGTGTTGAGAGAGAGAGAGAGATAAGTGAACAGAGATGCTCACTCACTACAATTGAACATGTTGTATGATTGAAATTGAGATTGGTGAAGATACAAGAATGGTGGAGGATGGATAAGGAGAAGGGTGGAAAATGATACAATTTAAATTGTTTATTTGTTCATGAGGGAAATTGAAAGGGTTCAAGAGGAAATTCTGGTTCATCAGGATGAAAATCAATCGAATCGGAAATAATTTATCGGAAATTGTATTTGCAGAGAGAGAGAGAGAGATGAAGGTGGGGTAGGTTCGACTGATAGGATTCGATAACCTTTCAATGGTTGATCGGAATTAATTGCTAACTAGATAGTTTAAATGTTAATTGCTCTCTGAGTGTTATTGCCATTTGATGTTTTGGTGATTGTGATCTAAATTTAGGTGAAACTGGTTTAGTTTGTTGATTTAGTGTCAATGAGATGATTTAATTATTTATTACCAGTTCTCATTCAATTAGAGGTCAATTGATCGACTAATCAAAATAGTAATCACATCTTGTTTACAATAACGACTAATAGTTGGTTAAAAAGAAATTAATATGATTACTAGAGTAATTTAATTAACCACAAAATGATTCCTCAACATTTGTATCAAATTGTTAAACATCAATTTATTACTAATCATCACTTATCATTTTAACAATTTAATGTCAATCATCAACAATAAAGTCAATACAAAATGATGATCATCATTATTATGTTGATGCTCATGATTAAGATGTAGTTGATTATGATGATTATTATGATGATGATGATGATGGACAATAAGCAAAGTAAATGGACCTTAAGCAATTTGATTTGTTGATAATGAAGATGAAAAAATAGAGTGAGAGTGAAAGGAAGATGAGGATAAGGATGAGGATGGAGAATAATAAAAAGTAATAATTCAAATTATTCTCCATCTTCACTTCATCTTCTTCTTATTATCATTATTGTAATTTCCATATTATTCGAGTACAATGTTAACAATCCGATAGATGGAAGAGAAAGAAAAAAAAAGTCCAATGTCCTGACCAATGGTCACTCATATTCTAAATACTTTATTGTCCATTTGCTCTTTGTCAAAGTTTTACTTTCATTCATTTTTCTCCTTGACCTTTGGTCCATTTTCTTGGTCCTGGTTAACTTGAGTTTCTTTTTTTTTATTTCTTTTCATTTTCTTTTTCATCTTCTTCCTCTCTACTTTCTCATTCTCTCTCTCTTTTTTTGCATAATCTTAATTGCAATTAAAGTTGATTTGATTACCAAACATTAAATATTAACCAAAGTTAGTTAGGAATCAGTTATTAGCTTATTGGTTTGTTAGTGAGTCTGTTGTTTGGTTAATTGTTGCTGTTGTTGGTTACCAGTTTTAACTATTTGCTTGAATGAGCATTAAAACAATTTAAGTGGCTAAAAACAGTAGGGAATCTGTGTAAACATTTAGATTTACTTGATTTTCATTAAATTTCATCATCAACAGTTACAATCAACAATCAAAAATCAGCTAGATATTAACTCTCGATTCGACATCATTTTTAAGGTTAATTGTTATCACCGGATTATTATCACAAATAAATGAAGAGATCAGGTAACGTAAATTGGTCTCATTAACTGTAATAAGCTAAGAGCATTTGAACGAATATTAATATTATGTTCAGATTACTTGATTTGCAAGCGTTTCGATTCACCTGAGGTAATTTACAATCGTAGATTAGATTGTAGATGATTTTATATGAATTTATTGTTCTCGAGATGATAGTGTAGCTCCTGACGATGGCCATGGAGGTGGAAGAAGGTGACACGATGAGAGATAAAGACGAGACGTTGATATAAATTCAATTTTCAGTGTAGTTTATTTAGTTCACTGTTGATAGTAAATATTACATAGAGTTAAGTGTGTTAATCACAGCAATTTAAGTAGTAATTTGGATATCACTTTTTCCTATTCCATCTTTATGTTTGGTCAATCATCATCTCCATTAACTGAATTTTACTTCGTTTCATCATCATGGTCAGTGAACGGGTTGGAGCCAATTCTTTCGAGATGGATGTTTCCATAGTCGAGAATCGTTCAAATAATTTGGAATCAGTTGAAAACATCAAATACGATAAATTACCTGAAGAATCAGTTGGTCAGCGAAGTTTAAACAGAAGAGATTACGCTCTGATCGCCACTTACGCTTACGTGAATATAATGACCGGTTGTGTCTATTCATGTTTAGCTCCATTTTTCCCTAAAGAGGTGAGTTAATTAAAGACAATCAACTGTAATAACCCTGAAGCTAAATGAACTCTCGTTTTCTTTAATCTCTCAATTTCTGATCAGGCTGAAGAGAAAGGATTATCTCCATCGGTTTATGGGTTCCTATTTTCTGTCCAAGAGATTATCTCATTTTTCTTGTGTCCGGTCGTTGGCGTTTTGGTAAGACTCTTAATCTCTTTGATTTCAGAGGCGATTTAATCTAATTCATATATTAAACCATAGCTTCCAAAACTCGGACTTAGGCCGACGCTACTATGCGGCTCTATTATCGCCTCGGTTGGAGTTGTTTGCTTCGGGTAATATTTAATAATAATATTTTCGATAACAATTGAACTATTAAAAGTATCTTTTCAATTTTTCTTTATCGATTCTAGTGGTTTATACTGGATGCCCCAGGTAATCCTTTCGCTATATCATGTGGTCTAGTTCGTGGGTTCGGCTCAGTCGGAATGGCAGGATTGATCGCTGGCATGTATGCAGCGATTCCGATTTTCTTTCCTGATCATATTTCTCAAGTTTTTGTGAGTTTCATGATCTAAATTGTCATAGAGATTTAATTGTTGTCATCACATTTCTTAGGGTCTATTGGAAATGAGCTATGGTATTGGTATGATAATCGGACCTTTAATTGGTGGTGTTCTTTATGAGGTAATAATATCAAGGTGATAATTTTCTCACTCAGATTAATCTGATTCTGATAATTTCATTTGATTAGTTTGGTGGTTTTGATTTACCATTTTTCGTCTCAGGAGGTCTCATGTTTATCTCTTTCCCAATGATTTACTTTCTCTGTCCTGAATCAAAAGGTAATTTTATCAATGTAATTTACCTTTAATTTCTAATCAGATTATATTTATCACGTTCTATAAATTCTGTATGATTAGGAACCGAAACAAGTAAAGGAAAAGTTGGAATTCTAGATATTCTATCAAATTTCAGAATTTTTATCAATATTCTGGTGACACTTGTACTAACCACAATCGTAGGATTTTCCGAAGTTGCATTGGAACCTCATCTTCGAAATGTAAATTGAATCATAATCTCTCGAATCGTCATCGTAAATCCAATTCGATTGTTTTTCCCTTTTATCCTCAGTTTGCTAACCTACGATCGTCGACCGTTGGTCTCATCTTCTTGGTCAACGGCCTTTTCTATGGTGTATCTACATGGATCGTTGGAATAATAATGCCGAAAATAAAAGACGCAACTTTCTTCAGTATTATCGGTTTAATTCTGGTGATTCTTTCATACATATTCGTGGGGCCCATGTATCCACTTCCAGTACCTCCGTAAGTAATTATCAAGTCTCGATTGTATTTGTCTTTTAGCGTAAATGACAAATGCACGTTGATTGATAATTAACAGTCAATTTAAAATTCTCAGAATTTCTAATCATCTGATTATATTTTGTATAAAGTTCTGTTACCTTGGTCGTCATTTGTCAAATGCTTTTCGGTATTGGCGCATCTATTTGTCTCATCTCTAATTTCACCCAATCAATGAGAGAAAAGGAGTAAGTTTCAACACCTAAATTGGAATTGAAGAAATTAATTCAATCAGATTATCGGTCGATTTCCGTATTTTCTCATTTTCCAATGCGAAAAATTAATTTGTATCATTTTATTTTCTTCAACTTCAGCTTATCGGATATGAAAGATGATTCTGGAGCTGGATCAATAATCAGCAGTATATTTGTATCCACCTTTTCATTAGGGTAAGCAATCAAAATTAAATAATTACTTATAAACAATTTGCTAATAACTACTAACAGAACTGCAATAGGTCCAATCGCTGGTGGACAATTAATTGAAATTTTCACCTTTGCCGAAGCCTGTGTTTTCATAGTCGTGATGTGTGTGGTTGCGGTAAGTTAATTTATCGCTAATACATATTAAATTGTATCCTAATTGTAATTAAATTAATTTCGAATCAGTTGGTTTTGGTCTTACTGACAATGGCCTTCCATAAGCGACCCTACGCTGTAGTCAAAGTGGCAACAGCCCGAGTGGTTGTCCAACGATTAGCATCAACCCAACACCAGAATATACAGAGAGTCAAAAGCAACGACGTTACTGGAAATACAATCAAGGAACAGAAATAAACTCATAACTGGAGAAATCGAGTTTCAATCTAATTGTCAACAAATCTCGACAAACAAAATGTACATCGAAGACACGAAAAGAAAATTAGTTTCAAGTCTTCATTTTCGAATAGAAAATTTCATCAACTTGTATTAAATCATGATTTCGATTGACTATTAATCTAGTAAATTATTCAAATCACCAAAAACTATCAACTTCATCTTCATCATTATCCTCAAGGATAATCTCAAAGGGATAATCATTAATTTCATCATCATTCTGTTCTGGTGATCAAATGATGAAACTTTAATTGTTCATCATTGATACAAGTTTAAGCCAACACATTAATCGTACAGTTAAAGATTTGGAAAGTTTTTACTATTCTTTTTCCAGCTAATCCACATTAATCTTAAGAAACTAATTAATTAGTTAAAAATGATCCATGTGATGTACTTGATGTTATATATTATCAGTAGAAAGATAAACTCACCAAGACGAAGGCCAGAAAATTGGAAAATGTTATTACACTTCCAGTGAAAATGATGGTTGATTGTTGGTGATGTTACTGTTGATTGTGTTGATCATGTTTGCGCTGATGATTTATAACCTTGATTCTTGGTCATTGAGCAATTAAGAAACAAGATCAAGCAAAGTGTAAACAAAATTACATAAAGAAAGCAATCAACTTGAACAATCCCATGTGTTAACATTTAACTATCCAATTTTCAATGTTAACTGTTGCCAAAAGATGAACACATTTAAAACAAACTGTCAATCAACAATTTAAATATAATTGATACAAAACAATCAACAATTTAACTTATCATCGTAAGCTAAGGGTAAAGGGTTGCCAAATTGTGGTTTCCATTGCGTTTTTGGCTCAATCAACAACAAGTTAATTGTGTACGTTTATTGTTTACAATTAACACAGAGGAGATTGAGAAAAACCTTCATCCTTATCATAAATTTGGTTTAATTTTAACTAAATCAAAATTGATTTGAATCAAATGGTTCTCATGCTAATTAGGATTATAATCATGTTCTATTAGTTAATTGTTACTCTATCTACTTGACCACATTAACCGTTAATTTTGACAATTTAAATACACCAATTTATTATCTTCATCATCAGTGATTATCGTTTATAATCAACAATTAAAATTTTCCTCTTCTAGGGAAATATAATTGATTGTAATTACAAGGTAATCCTGTTTCCAACAATTTACTGATTGTCATTTATTTCTGGTTTATTTCTGGTTGTTTTTAAACCTCAAATCAATTAAATACTAGCAAGTAGTTAACCTAATTGTTTGCTGTTAACATGGATTAACATGATTAACTTTTTGCTTTCAGGTTTTATGTATCCAGCTAATAGCTTGATGCTTGTGAATTGGATTAGTAATTAATTTGTTTCAAGATTAATGAGGATTAGTTTTATTTCAATAATAAAACTTGGATTATGATGATATTGAACAATTAAAATTGTGATCATTATCATGGTCTCTAAAACAAATGGATTATTGGTTTTCCTAATTGATTATCATTTTATCCCTATGAGATTATCATTATTAGGATAATGATGATCAGGATGAAGATGGAGATGATATTTTTGTCGATATGAATAATTGATGAACTAATATCAATTGATTAATATCATTGGAGTTTTGTAATCTGATGATAACAATTGACCTTATAAATGATGTCAAATGAAAAGCCAATAATAAGTTGATTGTTGTTGATAATTATGATCAACCAGATTATCAAGCAAATAATAGCTATTATTGGCTAGTTGATTGTTGATTGTAACTGTTGATGATGAAATTTAATGAAAATCAAGTAAATCTAAATGTTTACACAGATTCCCTACTGTTTTTAGCCACTTAAATTGTTTTAATGCTCATTCAAGCAAATAGTTAAAACTGGTAACCAACAACAGCAACAATTAACCAAACAACAGACTCACTAACAAACCAATAAGCTAATAACTGATTCCTAACTAGCTTTGGTTAATATTGAATGTTTGGTAATCAAATCAACTTTAATTGCAATTAAGATTATGCAAAAAATAGAGAGAGAGAGAATGAGAAAGTAGAGAGGAAGAAGATGAAAAAGAAAATGAAAAGAAATAAAAAAAAAGAAACTCAAGTTAACCAGGACCAAGAAAATGGACCAAAGGTCAAGGAGAAAAATGAATGAAAGTAAAACTTTGACAAAGAGCAAATGGACAATAAAGTATTTAGAATATAAGTGACCATTGGTCAGGACATTAGACTTTTTTTTCTTTCTCTTCCATCCATCGGATTGTTAACATTGTACTCGAATAATATGGAAATTACAATAATGATAATAAGAAGAAGATGAAGTGAAGATGGAGAATAATTTGAATTATTACTTTTTATTATTCTCCATCCTCATCTCCATCCTCATCCTTATCCTCATCTTCCTTTCACTCTCACTCTATTTTTTCATCTTCATTATCAACAAATCAAATTGCTTAAGGTCCATTTACTTTGCTTATTGTCCATCATCATAATCATCATAATCAACTACATCTTAATCATGAGCATCAACATAATAATGATGATCATCATTTTGTATTGACTTTATTGTTGATGATTGACATTAAATTGTTAAAATGATAAGTGATGATTAGTAATAAATGTGATTACCAATTGATGTTCAACAATTTGATACAAATGTTGAGGAATCATTTTGTTGTTAATTAAAGTGTCTTAGTGATTAAGTTAATCACTTTCTCTTGAAAAATGATTGACAATCGGATACAATTAATTGATTATTTGGTTAAATCATATTTCATATTTATTTTAACTATACAAATCAGGGTCATGATCAAGTTCATTATCAAGATGAAAGTCAATCATTTATAAATATTTTACTAATTAATAGTAATTAGATTAATTGTGAGAAAAAGTTCTACAGCTAATTAGAAATAATCACAACTCAATTTTTCCATATTTCCAGTTCATCGAACTTTCAAATTCTCTTTGGATAATTTAACTTCCTCATGAGAAGTTTCCGTTTCCTCATGAAATTCTCGAGTTCATCGAATCGAACCTTCTCCTTATCAGTTTCTCTCTCACCTTATTACCAACTGATTCTCTCTCCTCACACTCCCCACCTTCTTCACGGTGATTTATGTCTCTTTCCACTAACCCACTGTACGATTACCACCCCACTCTCTTTATGACTCTTTTCTTATTTATCTTCATCTTTTCTTATTTATCTTCATCTTTTCCTTTTTTTCTCTTCCTTTTTTTATCTTTTTCTTTTCGAACTTTTTTTCATCTTCTTTTCCCACTATTGATTTTCGAAGTCCATTATCACCCTCCCTCGATTTAAGGGCTTTAATTTACACTTTACACTCCATTTTCTTTCCTAATAACTTCATGTTGTTCCAAGAGTTTCATCGCTTAGGGAATTTTGATTATTTTCTAAATTCAATCTTCCATCATATGGAAATTATGATGATCAGTTAATTGTTTATCTCTTATAAGTTTCAATCGGTTAATCAAATGATTTCCACGATTGAATATCAAATATTAAAAATTCTAATTAAATTAAGTAATTAAATGAAATGATTGTAAATATTTCCCATGAAAATGATATTTGAGTGAAAAGGATAAATGATTACATTTGATTCTTAATCCTAATCAGTTAATTAACTGTTAATCTAATCAAGTGAGAGAGAGAGAAACAGATGAAAGATGAGAGACAGTAAAAAGACAGAGACTGGGAGGAGATGGAAGACAGAGAAAGAAAGAGAAATAAAAAAGAATTACTTTCGACCTTCGACCTCATTAGTTGGGATGAGGATGAAGATGGAGATGATGAGGATTGAGGATAAGGATGAAGAAAAGAAAAGAACATTTTTTGTAAAACTTTTTTTCTCTTTTTTCAAAAAGACAGAGAAAATTTTTCTTTCTTTTCTTTCTTTCATTTTTCTTTTTTTCTCTTTATTTTTGTCAAAAATCTCATTTCAATCTCAAAGTTTTCTAATCAACGTTTCTTACGAACACAATTAGTTGATTAACCCAAACAATTAGAACAATTAATTTCTCTCTCTCTCTCTTCAATTCTCTGTCTTTTTTATCTTCTCTTTCTTTCCTTTTCTCTGTCTTCTTTCTTTGGCTCCCTCTTGTTTCTCTTTCTGTTTCTATGTTATTTTTTTCTTCTTTCATTTGTTATGTGACTTTTTCTAAACGATTTTGCTCTTGTTTTCATTTCTCTTTCATTTAGATTTTAATCTCTTAATTGTTGTGAAAATTTGATTAATTAACAGTGAATATTAGTTTTCTCAATGACAACAATTAAAGTTTAAACGATGATCCTTTTTTGTGGCTATCAAAATGTAACCAAATGAATGAGAATCTTTTTGCTTTTTGTCAACATTTCAAATCAGTTGAACATTAATAACTTTTCCTGATTAATTAAGTCTATCTCTTAATATTATCGCCCATTCATCAAGCTAATTAATGTACGTAATTTGTTTAATGAATAATCAATTTAATTCCCAATGACACTGATAATCTATCTTGTTATTGTTTCACACCTAATCTACTTTTCTGGTTGTGTTGATTTCTCTATATTATTTTGTGTTGTTGTTTTCCTTGTTGTTTTATTTAATTCCAGTGATAACTTGTTAATTTTGTTCACTAATTGTTTCTCTTAATCTTGTATTTCAAATTTAATCAACAGTTTCAATTGGAATCTCAATGTAGTTTATCAAGGAAAGCAAAATTTGAAACCATTTCTTCATCTCTCTTACTCTCTGTTTACCATGAATAAAATGTTTAATTCTGGTATCCAGTTGATTTCAAGGACTAAATTGACAATATTTATATTGATTATTTTCTGGTTATCCCATGGATTTACAACCATTAATTGTTGTAGTGATATATTTTCCAATCACATTGGTACAACTACTAATGATATGGTGATTAAGGAAGGCGACCCAATGGAGGTTGATTGTTCACTACTTACATCGTCAATGGATCTTGGCAATGGGACTAAGGTTAAAATTGATTCGCAAATGTTATTATTCAAATATAATGGAACCAGAATTCAAAATTCAAAGATTCAAATTGTTGACAATTCTACGATTAAATATAAAGTGAAACGAAGCTCAATGAAGGAGAGCGGATATTATATGTGCTATATTGATATCGGTTATGCTGATGTTAAGCCAAGAGCAGTTTGTGGTTCTTATATTACTATTGCTCGTAAGTTGATTAGTTGATTTTCGTTGTGAATCTATTTTGATTGTTTGATATATATTGTCTTTCCTGTGTTTAGATGCTCCAAGTGCCAATGATTATTTCAATTTGACTTGTTCTGGATTGGATTTGAAAAATTTTACCTGCCAATGGGATTTACAGAGTTACAATGTTGCCACTGATTATCAATTGAGTCTAATTATTCATGAAAAGTTCAATTATTCAACCTGTCCGAATCGTATCTCTCGAAATACTTGTAGTTTTACCACCAGAGATCCTTATCCTTACCTGATTTCTGACAAAAAGCTCAGATTCCGTTTGGATGTTTCAAACAAATTTGGTTCTATCTACAAGATATACGACATAGACCATTATTCAAATGTGATTCTTGATTCAATTTCATCGTTAAATTTTATCTCAAGTGGCTCACAAAACATTACAATCTCATGGGATCCTCCCAACAGTATTGCTGATGATCCTTATCTTGAAAATATAACTGAATATCTATTGAATGTGATCCCAATTCATGGTGATGAAAATTCAACTCATATCGATGATATCAAGCAAATGGAATCACCTTTTACCAAAACTGTAACGGTCAAAGGAATTAGAGAACTCAAACTGGAAGATTTAATTCCTTTTACTAAATATCGCTTCGAGATTCGTTGTCGATTGGTAACTGATGCTGGTAAAAGTAAATGGAGCAAAGAATTGGTTGATTTTATTCAAACAGAACCTGATGGTAAATATCTAATCATAAATCACTTTAAGTTGACCTTTAAATTTATCGATTTTTTTTCTTGTCTCTTTCAATTCTTCAACAGTTCCTTACTATTGCCCTATTTTACTACCTGGAGGTTTTGAAATTATTAAAAGATCTGATACAAGGTTTGATGCTATTGTTTATTACGAGAAAGTGGACGAAATTTATTCTAATGGCCCTGATTTCATGACCATAGTGAAGACTGTTCCTGTTCATTTGATCACCAAAGTAACATCGCTTTCACTGTTAACTGGCACAATTGATTCACCAATTTCAATAGCTAAACGAAGCGAACATCATTCGAAAATTTTTCCAACGAGATCGCAATCGAATAAAGTATCAAACATATTGGCACCTATTTCATCAAAACCCTCGATAATTGTTCCTGGTGCTCCATTTCCTCCAACCACGAATTTCATCAATCCTCAATTTTCAAGTTTACACGTGAAAAATTTGAGTAACACGTTTGATCTGAAGTTGACAATGCTTTCTATGAACTCTCTTGGTCTTTCTCGTATATTCAATTTTATTGCAATTCCTAGTTTGAGTCTGAGTAAAGTTCATCCCGGTGTTGATTCAATTTATGCAATTAAATGGAATGATAATAATTATACTCTTTATTGGACCGTTTCATCAGTGGAAACTATCAGAGACTTCAGCATTTTTTGGTGTGAAGTGATTGACACTCCTCAATGTGATCATCAAATTAATCATGTTTCTGCTCCAAAGGAATTAGATTCAGTTTATTTGACAATAAACTATAATAAAGTACAATTTGGTATCTCGGTAATGGATTCAGTCTATGGAGTATCAAGTGGAATCAAATGGAATCAATGTATTGAAGATTCATCAATAATTCAGACTAAAAATCGTTTCAAAAGATTTAATTTAATCTCGATTGGATCAAAGTCTGTCTTGGCAAATTGGCTTCTTGATTGTCCGGCTCTGGATCATTTCTTGTACAAATTTGAGATACACTATTGTAAACTCAGTCATCCCTGTTCAGAAACATTGACAATCATCAATGTTGATAAATTACTCAATGAATTGTTGATTGAAAACTTGGAATCAAACACTGGCTACAATTTTACAATTTATGCAGTGACCAAAGTTAAAGGTCAACGATTGGAAAGCTCACCGATAACAATTGAAACAAAAGTCAATGCGGTCACTATAATTTTGACCGTTTCAGTGATCATTGGTTTAGTTATCTTGATATTAACTATTCTGTACATTTTATTGATTTTTACAATAAGGAAACGTAAAGTTGAACGGAAATTGAAAGAGACCGTTGATTCCAATTGGATTCCCAAAATGCCGTCACGATTAAAAGGAGATGCAAACATTTTACTTAACCCATTGGCTCGAGAGACTCGAAATGAATACGAAAACAAAGAGTACATGAATAGCGGATCGAATACTAATCTAAACAAATTAAATGCCAAAGGATTTAATTCGAGATTCGATCAACAATTGACAAAAGATTGTAAAAACAACGTGTTCATTTTATCGACAATCAGTGGGAATAATCAGCTGACCGATATAATCCCATGTACAGCATCATCTTCATCTTCATCTTCAGCATCTTCATCTGTATCACCGTCATCATCTTCATCTTCATCAATTACCGGAGAACCGGATGAAGGATTAGAATTAACTTGTTCCATTGGTAATAATGAGAAAATTGTTGCAAATAGGAAGAGTTTAATTAAATCATTTTCTTCTGTATCATCGACATCATCTCGACGGATGAGATGTCGCAAATTATCTGATGGTGGTGGATGTGATTCGGAAGATTCTGGTTATTCAACTAAATTGTCAGATAAAACTGTTTACTATGAAGGTGATAAATTTACGATGGAGGGTTTGATTAAATCAATTGATGAAAATTCACCTTATATTGTTGTACCTGAAGATAAAAACTCTGGGATATCAATTGGCAATAATATCAAATCATCAGATGACATTAATATTAATCAGAATAATGTTAATCTTAGTTTATCTGATTCTAATTTAAGATGCAATGATCAAATAGCAATTAACGATGATTACAATTCATCTTTACCATTAAGAAATGAATACTTGCCCTTTACTGGTGATTATCATTATTATCTTCATGGAAACATTCAAAATCGTAATCACAATGAACCAGATGATGTAAATACAATTTCTAATGGTTATGTTTATACTTAAAAGAAACAAATTTTGTTAATTTTGTTTTTCCTTAATTGCTTAATGATCATACAATTTGATAGATCACATGAATCGACAAAATCTCAAAATCACATCTTCACAATTACCATGGAGACACTTGTTAAATATTCTCTCACCTGATGATAAAAGGACAAAAATTACTCTTCCATTTTATTTTCCTACCTCTTAATTAAATTAATTTACTAATCAAATTGATGATCAATTTTGCTTCTCAATCCAAAATCAACTTTTTAAATCTAATGGAAAGCTTATCCTCTCATCTCTTTCTTTTCTCCCTCTCATTGTAACTTTTCTTTAAATAAAGTTAATTCTACAATTTAAAAAGTTTTCCATCCAATTAATAATTTCAACTATCAATTAAATTAATTCACAATTAATTCAAGCGAATGTAATTCTACAAGTTTGAGTTTAATCATTTGTTAGAACTTCAATTTGAATTTCGCGGAAAATTGTTCTTCGTTACCATGAGAACCACTAGAGGGATAGAAACAAATGTTGATTAGTTTTGTTTCCTCTTCCGTTGTAGCTTTTGGTTTGAGTTATTTTTTTGGTGATTTTATTAATTAATTTAATTTAGTTTCTTTGGTAATTGTTTTACGATTTAAATTAGAATAATGGCCCAACGACAAACTCTCAGGCGACGACTTTGTTACAATACACCATCAAACAGGCGTAAGATGTAAGTAAATTGTGGAAACAATTTTATCTTCTTTGAGTGAATTGGCTAATTTTGTCATTGATTAGTTCTCATTGTAATTGTTTAATAGTTGGCTGATTGTCTTTGTGTTGTTTTTTTATGTTATTTTGACAATTTTAATCTAATGTGATATTGTCTCTTTTTTTTGCTTTCGACTTGATTAAAGTTCCAAGACTCCAGGAGGAAGACTTGTTTACCTTTACCAAAAGAAACCTGGTACTTGTGCTCGATGTGGAGATTGTAAGCTTAAGCTTAGAGGAGTAAGTTTTGTTTTACCAATGACAATTATTGATGTTTTTTTTATTCCTTTCCTTGGTGTTTGTTCATATTATTAATTGTTTACTTTTTTGCTTTTTACAGTTAACATTTGCCCGACCTCACAAATTGTCAACTCTTTCCAAAAGACACAAGACCGTCTCTAGATCACATGGTGGTGTACGATGTGCTTCATGTTTAAAGAATAGGATTCTTCGAGCCTTCTTGATTGAAGAAACAAAGATCATTACCCAAGTCATGAAAGCACAGAAACAAATTAAGGCTTAAATCAATCTCTGCTCTTGTAAAATTTTTGAATTAATTCATTAAATGGGTATTAAGCCTATTTATACACATTAATCAACACATTGTGTTTCGTCATTAAAAGATAAAGAGAGGAACAGGGTTAAAGATGGTGAGAGAAGACAGGAGACATCGAAAAGACATCAAAAAGAGATACAACAGTGAGTGATGATTAAATGAGATGATGATATATTTGAATATGAGAAAAAGAGACATTTACAAAAAGAGTTAGAGAGAGAGGAAGAGTGAAAAGATGGCGATGATGATGATGAGAAAAGCAGAGAGTATGTCCGACGAAACGAAGAGAACATGAAAGGAAGAGATCCGTTTATCTGAAAGAAGATGAAGATGCATGAAGATGAATTGCGACTATGATGAAGAAAAGAGACAAAGATGAACGATGAGAATGATGATCAATGATGTTACTTGATGAAATTCGTTGTTGATTTGCTAGAAATAACTCGAGAAAGTGAAGGTTTTTTGTTGGTTAGAATTTTTTTCTTCTTTTTTTGCTCTGCTTTTTTGCTTTTGTTTTGGATTTTTTTGTTTTTTTACCATTTTTTTTACTTTTTTAATTAATAGAGTATTTGTAGCTTTTCTTTTACAATTAAATTTCACTCGTAAAGATGATCCATGAGCCTTGAAAACAAAACTTTGCTAACGAATAGAAATTAATCCATTTTTTGTTTCATTTCAAAACACTGAATCAACAACTGCACGTAGAGCAAAATTAACACTCGCTGAATCTAAGGTTGATGGTTGAGGTATCGTTGAGATTGAATTAGTTGTATTAGTATCAGTGTTACTAATTGAATCAGCATCATTTGATTGAATATGATTAGTGTTATTTGTAGTTGGTGTTGTTGCTGATTCTGTTGTTGTTGTTGTTGTTGTTGTGGTTGTTATTGTTGTTGGTGTTGGTGTTGGTGTTACTGATGTTGTTAGTAACTGAGTTGAAGTTGATATTGGTGTTGTTGTTATTGAATTTATGGTGTTGTCATTATTAATGATGATGTTTTGTTTTGGATTTGACGTTAATGTTGTTGTTATTATTGGTGCTTGTGTTGTGCTTATCGTCTCGGATGATGAAAAGGAGATCATTGATGAAAATTGATTGTTGTTAATTATTGATGGCGAAAAGGAATGTTCAGGTGAAACATTGCACGGGTATAAATTAGTGTCGCAGTTATTGGTAATCTTGATTTCCTCCTTTTCTTTTAATCTCTCCAATTGTTTCCTTTGCATTTCAAAAAGCTCTTTTTGATGGTTATTAAAACTTTCTATGTCCAAAGTTTCATTATTTGGCTTATTGGTTGACGAAAAGGATTCAACATTTTCATCAAAATAGGTTGGAAGGTCAATATTCACTATGGGTATTGGATTACCGTGTTCATCGTAAATTGTTTCCGGTTCTTGATAAACTTCTTCATTTATACAACTTTGTGGAGATGTTTTCGGACGATAATGTATCCTAAATTGTGAAGAAACAAAGAAACAACAAGTAGAAAATTAATTACCAAAATAAGTTTCATGGTTCCAAAACAAAGCAAAAATGATAAACTTACCAATCTTTTTTTATTACATTCACTAATTCATCATCTTCTTCTTCATCCTCCTGATTAGAATCTAATTTTGACCAATATTTATCCATAGGTGTCCAAGCACGATCAAAAATTATTCTGTTTATGGGAAAAAAAGTAAAGAGTTGAATAAGTTAGAAAAGTTATCAAGTTTGATTAATTTCGATAAACGTACCTTCCTCCCCTCCCAACTCTTCTTCTAGAAAATCCGATGCAACGTTGATTAAGTCCAATATTAATTGATGTGAGACAAAACCTGTACCGTTTATCACCTAATCCTCCTTCATCAGAACTACACCAAGGCCAATTGCCTTTTTGTTCAATAAGAGGAGCATGATATGAACATCCTTTCTGCCTTTTGAAGGCATAAGGACCATCGGGATCTTCGTCTTCTTGATCTGATGTTGGTTGTGATTGACTTCCATTTAAAATCTCATCGTCTGAAGTGTAAATAAATTCAGTTGATTCAGTCGATTTAGTTTTTTGGACAAGAGCAGCTCCCTGCTTATGTCGCCGACGGTATTCACGTTTCCGTCGGGGTGGTTGGAGAGTTTCATCAATCTGGTAAATTTAAAGTAAAAGAAAACAAATCATTAGTTGAATGAGTTCCCATTATTTAACAACAAAATGTAATTCGAACACTTTAATTCCCAAATCGAAACTTACTTTAGAACGAATCTTATCTCCTTGTTTTAACATTCCTGAAAAGCTATTAAAAGGTAAATAGGTAGAAGAAGGTTTTATCAGCCGTAAAGCGGAAACTTCTGCTAAAACTTGACCAGAATAATCACCCATCTCGTACCTGGAATTTGAAAGTAAAAAGATTATTAAATAAAAATGTATCGATAAAAAGTTGACCAATGATAATTTACCTTTTCTTGAAAATATCTAAAGTTAGTTGAAGATGCTCGTTTTTCAACTTCTCCCGGTGTTTTACTAGTGATAATAAATCTCTGTTGAGGGAAAAGAAATTTAAATAAGTTCGATTTGATAGAGATATCGAATAATACGACGAAGAAGAAAAAGATGCAATAATAAACGTACACAGCCCTACTGATATCCCTTCTAAGTTTAAGCATCTTCTCATATGATACTTCATCATTTTTACGATTTTTTCGAGTTTGCATTTTCTCTGTTCTCCTTCGAAACGCTACATATGGACTATTATTTGTTGTTCCATCGCGTTTCTCCGTTTTAACTAATGGTATTAAAGATTGTTGAGTTCGTAATCTTTTGTCAACCCAATAATCGTAAACTGCGGTAATCAGATCATCTCTTTCTTTGAGCAAAAGTTTAGCCTCGTCTATTAGAACAACTTGTTGTCCCGAACTTTTTTCCAATTTATCCATCATTTCTTCAAATTTTAAAGGTGTTAAATCGGATAAATCTTTCTGTTGTCCTAACCAGGTTTCATCTTCAGAATCTAAATCATAACCAGGAACTTCTTGTTCAAAATCAAATGGTGCAACGTGAATTAGCTGCCTGGGAAGCTTGAAATCTGTTGGATAAAGGGCATTATAAAAATCATCTGGAGCTTTAAATACTTCGGGTGTAGGTATCACAAGTTCCCCCGTATGACCGAAAGCTTGTTGAGCAGATATGGCTCGCTGCAAATGATGTTCCTAGATAATGGTAAAAGGAAAAGAAGAAGCAATTAGTTTGATTCGTTTGTTAAAAGAAAAGGAAAAGAAAATATAAACAAGAAAACAAAGGATGAAAAGTGAATGCAAAAACACTGATCAACTAAAAGAATCATAATTGTCAAGATAAAGATCATTGATTCATCTGTAAGTAAACTAATCAAGTCTAAGGTGATAAAGTAAGAAAATGGAAAGAGTTGCAATTGATATCAATTGCACAATGATTCTAGTCAATTTTTCTCAAAGTTTACAATAATTGGAGTGCTAATATACAATTAAAAATTGAGAAAAAGAGAAAGTATCAAGAGATAGGTAATGAGAAAGGTAAAACAAGAGGGAGGAGGCAAACTGTATACAGTAAATGAATGGGGATTGAGAAAAAAACAAACAGAGAAATGAAAAAGATCAGATGTATGGGAGACTAATTGTGACAATTAGGTAACATTATCGGATATGATTAGACTTACACATTCCTCCTCTTTTTCCATGCCAGTGGGCATTTGAGGTACAGATCTGTTAATAGCCGCAAAATCCGGCAAATCTGGAATCTCCTCAGACCTAAAGACGGGCATCATTTTGCTGCTGTCCAGGGCACGAGCCCTGAATGATAGTTTGCTCATCCTTATATCACCACAGGGATCTCGGCCTCTCATTAAAACACTTTTATCCACATTTCAGGCAAATAATTAACAAATTTAAATACTATTTAGACGATTAATCAATTAATTTGAGATGCAAAATGATCAATGTTTTGATTTGATTTCAATATTTTCCAATCTTTTGTCCAATTTTTTTCTTTATAGACCAAACAACGCCCTCTACCTTTGGGCGAAAAGAGAAACAAATAATCGCGCCAAAATTGAGTTTCTCTTTTGGATCATTTCATCTCAAGTGTTGTTTGTTTATCTTTTTCACATTTTTGTCATCATTTATTGATTGATTTTCTTTTTCTTTCTAATTGTTTCTTTATTTGGCTTTTAATTGTTTTCATTTACTTTGTGTCTCTGTCTTCCATCTGCTGATTGAATATGTCTTCTTCTGCTAGTTTATATCGACGTTATCTTGAATTGGTTAAATTGTGGCCCATTGATTTGACTAAAGATGGAAGAGATTTTGGTCAATATTTGCGTAAACGAACGGGAATTATTTTCAGTCAAGGTGAATTAACTAGTGTCGATGTTAATTATCTTGAAAAAAGGATTCAAGCTTTGGAAAGGATTTCATCGGATCTTCATCGTAATGATAATAAAACAATTTACTTCGCATCAGCAACTGGATTAGATGCTGCAACTGCTAAACAAGCAGTTTCAAATGAAGCTTTAGCAACCAAGACTGAACTCAATGCTTTTGAACAAATTAAAGCTTACTTTGGACAATTATAGTTATCTACAATTTGACTGTTGTATTGTGTTAGATAAGAAAATTAATTAATTATAGTAATTAAAATGAATTCAAAATTTTAACCAATAGTAAAGTTTATTCATAAGCCACTAGATGGCAGGAGTTTAATGAAACGAGCGAAGCTCAGAAACGGCGACGAAATGGTTAAGAGCCTCAATTTGTTTGAGCGAATAAGCGGTTGGCTTATAAGCGAATAGTGGGAAATCAGCTAAGCCAGTTGATTGTCTTTCTTTTTTTCTTTCTTTTGTTGGTGGATTGAAATTCTCCTTCAGCTGAACAAATGAGCCAATTGATTTTCTTTCGCTATTTCTCAGCTGAATCTCTCCAATAGGAACAACGACTCACTAAACGGCTGAATAAAATCTCTTTTTCTCCAAATCAAATTTTGTCAGAATTGTTTTGTAATTTTTGTTAATTAATCTATTTAATTAATCTTAAGTTAATCTCTTTTAGTAAAATTTATTGTCTTACAGATTAACCAAGGTAAGTGATTGATTACAAATTCATTTGCATTCAATTGATGTTTCATTTGTTTATAATTGTGAATATTTTGCATCTCTCGCTCTCTCTTCCTTTCTCTCTCTCTCTCTCTCTCTTTCTCTTTCTCTCTCTTTCTCTCTTGTCATCCACACATACATAAGTTGCCATGTATCTTGTGTAGGGATGGAAGAGAGAGAGAGAGAGAGATGAGAAGATGATGAGAAAGAGAAGTGAGAAAGAAAAGAGAGGCTTTTGTTTCCTGTGACTGTCTCTTTCTTTTTCATAAGCTGCCTCTCTCTCTCTCTCTCTCTCATTTAGCCCTATTCAATAATTGTGATATTTTATATATTTTATCATTTTATTAATTATTTATTTACATATTTAATTTCTGTTCTTGTTTTTATTCACAATTGTTGATTAACTTTTTTTTCTAAATCTCATTTGTTATTGTTGTTTTTCTAAATAATCTTGTAATTCTAATTCTAATTCTAATTCTAATTCTCTTTCTTTTTTTTTCTCCTTGCCTTTTAGGAATTTAATATATCTGTCTATACAAAATATATATACATACATACACTTAAACAAATTATTTAGGGTGAGAGCGGAGGAGATTTATCCTACAAAAAAAAGTTTTGGCCTCAATGTGTTGTGGTCAGCATGTCCACAGTGTCGGGGCTTGCTTCAAAGGAGGACAAAGACAAAGGATCGAAACAAAAGTACAGTTCATTGAATATTAATAATCTCTACAAAGGCAAAAGTCTTGAAAGTCCTAAGACAGCAGGTAAGTGGATAAACAATACATTCATCATGATTCACCTCTCTCTCTCTCCTATTCCTTGATCTCTCTTGTGTCAAATCAATGTTTTCATTTTATTGGTCGACATCTTTTTTATTAGTTATATTTGCATCTTTTTCTTTATTAATAGTCTTTGTTTCTCTATTTGACTATTGATATTGTTATCGGTTGAATTAGCTTATTCATTCTTTTTCTCCTTACTTTACTATTTCTCTCTCTCTCTTTTTATACCAATTTTGTCTTTCTTTTCGCCTCTCTCTTTCTCTCTATTTTTTCTCTCTTTCTGGTTCAACCCTTTCCGCTACCTCTTTTTACTCAACCTCTTTTAACCTTTTTTTTTGTTCTAATCTTTTTTCTTTCCTTATCTTTTATTGTTTTATCTTATTGCAGTTGTTCCCAAACATGGTCTTCAGACATTGGGTAAAGTGGGCGCTATTCGCCGTATTCCCCCACCAACAAATTTGCCTAGTTTGAAAAGTGAAAACGCCGGAAATAATCCTAACGTAAATCTAGTTCCAAGCGGTGGTCAAGGATGGGTAAAAGACAAATCACAAGAGGAATCTACAAATTCTACTACACAGCAGGTGACTCAGGATTCATTGAATTCCTCAGTAACTGGTCAACCAGCGGACTCTTGCAGTCAATTTCATGGAGACAAGAATGGTTCAGCGGTTGTGGCAGCAGCCATAAGGTCACAAGAGCAGCAACAACAGGCGCTTATGTATGGTGAGTATCAAATATGGTTAAATATCTTCTTCTCCAATTGAATAGATTTATTATTAATACTTGACATTACTCGATTACAGGCTCAAATGCAATTGCTTCAAGGGAAAGAGGGAACGATTCCTTCAACCCGGCTTCTGTTGTAGCAGCGAAGAACAGCAACGTAAACTCTCGAAGCTGGAGCACTATCACATCAACCGACGAAGGTGGTCCAACAAAGAGCTTTCTGGTTCATTCTGGTTCACCTTATTTTCCCCAAGAGTTTCCAGAACTGGATGGTGGAGACTCAGGAAAAGAAGGAGAACAAAAACCAAACATCGACTACTCCTATGGCCCAGGGCCAAGCTTAAGACCTCAAACAGAGGGAAGCTGGAGTCGAGGTACCGGCTCAACAAGCAAACCATCAGTGTCTACCGCTTCATCGTCTTCATCCATACCAGGAGGTGGAGGAGGAGGAGTAAATGTAGGTGTGGGTGTACCTGGTCAAGGGTTACTTCCAGGAATGACTGGACCAGTGCCCCAATCTCATCAACCACAGCATATGATAGGAACGGCAAATATAAAGACTGCCGGAAACCAACTAGTGAACAATGGCAACGTCGTAAACGGACAATCTGTGTGTATTGATAGTCCACAAATAATTGATCTTCATTTACAACAAGTTGTCAACAGCTCGGCTTCATTTCAAAATTTTCATATGTTTGGACCATCAGTCGGAAATATACCAGGTAACTTTTTATTTCTCACTACCAAAAATGGTCTCTCCATTTTCATCTGATCATTCATTTTAAGGTGACACACAAAAAAATAGTGTACACTTAACCAATATCATAACTATGACACGATAATTTATTCAATTAATTCTCGATAAAAAAGCTCCTACTAAATATCTTTTGCCTTAATTAAGTGACACCTTATTTTTGTCCTGAATTTGAATTGGTTTGCTATTCTTTCACATAAAAGCTAATTCATAATTGTTTTTTCTTTCTTTTTATCAAATCAATTTCTCATTAAATAGGTGCTCCTAATCTTCAACAATTTAGATCAATGGTTCCTTCTTATGTAAGTTTTCCATTCTTTTCTATTTCGCATCTTCTTTCAATTATTTTCTCTTAAATTTCTTACACGCATCTACTTTTTACATCTACAGTTATACGGTCGGATACCTGGTAGCAACTTTCCCGGAATGGTTCCACCTACTCACCTCCCGACGGGATATCCTTCATTAGGACCTGTTCAACCTAACTTTCCAAGAGCACCTTATCCAGATCCTAATAGGTAGGATTCGTTTTTTAAAAATATTATACTTTTACTCAACTCAACTGGGATCTTTTCAATTTATTAATACTTTACATCTTTTCTTTTTCTCTTTCACCCAGAGCTCGAATTCTTCATTCATCCCAAAAAACTCATCATCAAAAATCTCAGTCAGAAGACGTTGAGTCTTCGTTTACCGAAAGAAAAGGAATTGCTCCAGCAATTCTAACGGATAAAGATTTAAAGGGATTTGATGAAATATTGGATAGTGAAGGTATTGACGATTGGGTTGCTCCTCCCAATGACATTGACTATAATGCTAAATTGGTGTTCAGTGATGATGAAGACAGTACTCCTAGTCATCAGAATAAAGCACCAACTACCAAAGGTACTTCACAGAATAATGATACTGCCAGCAAATCAAGAGAGACTGGCAAACTTTCTAAAGAACAGAGAGACGAAAATCGTAGTATCAATAAAGACAAAGAACGAGAAAAGGTGAGTTGGATTTTTTGAAATCTAAATATAAACTCTTTCTCTCTCTCTCCAAACTAAATTCTTCATCGATTTGAATATTCAATTTTTGACAATATATTTTTTCTTTGCTTTTTTAGAATGATATTCCCAAATACCGGCCTCCTATGGCTAAATCAGCAAATCAGTGGCCGGCTAACACTTTTTCCGCTGTCCAAGAGCCTGGAAAACCAGTAAGCGATGCTCAATCTAGTGGAAGCTCCAGTATAACTAATTATGCTCCCACTAAGAGTAAGAATGATTTCCCTGATGACGACGAAATGTGGAAACAGCGTAGTCGTCAGCATTCAGATGAGATGATTGCTGCTGTTGAAAGGGCTAGAAAACGTAGAGAAGAAGAAGAGAAAAAATTCGAAGCAAGTCGACTCGCTGCCTTAGAAAAAGCCAAAAGACTTGAAGAGAAGACTCGCTTAGAAAGACAAAAATCTGAATCTAGGGAAGGGTCTACATCTCTTGAGGACAAAGAGAATAGAGAAAAAGATAATCGTCCAAGAGAATCTTTAGATGATAGATCTACTCATTCGAGCGAAAGTCACGATGAAAAAGTCATCAGAGATGGTCAGCGTTCCAATCAAGGCAATTTCTCATCATCATCATTATATGGAAAAACATTTACTAAAGAGGTTCCACCTCGATTTCAGAAACAGGTAAATTATGATTTTCATCTTTATTGTGAATTTTGATAAATCTAATGTAAACGTTTTTCCTTTAATTACTATCCAGGCTGAGCTTCAAAGACAATTGCAACAACAACTTCAACAGTTGCAACATCATCAGGCTCACCAACATAAACCCCAGCAACAGCCAGAATCACAGAATCAGAATCAGACGCAGACACCACAACCACAACCACAACTGAAACAGTCTCAACAAACTCTGCATCAAACACATCAACAGCCGCTGCCACAGCCACAGCAACAGCAGCAGGCACAGCAGCAGCAACAACAACAACAGCAGCAACAACAACAACAACAGCAACAACAGCAGCAGCAGCAACAACAACACCAACATCAACAGCAGATAATTCAGCAACATCATCAACAATCCATTCAATCTCAATCTCAGGCTCAACAACCACAGGTTCAGTCTCCGGTTCAACAACAAACATTACAGCAACCGTTGCAACAATCTTTGCAACAATCCTTGCAACAACCACCAACACCACTGTCTCTACCGCAGCAGTTATCACAACAGTTGCCTCAACAGCTACCACAGCAACTTCAACAACAATTGTCGCAGCAAATATCACAGCAACTGCAGCAGCAGCAACAACAACAACAGCAACAACAGCCCATTCAGGTTTCATCACAACCACAACCTCAACAATTGCAGCAACTTTTACAGCAACATCACCAACAACAAAAACAAACACTAGCTAATGTTGCCCAACAACTACCAATGACACAACAACATCATCAATTGCAACAAACGCAACACCAACACCAACATCAACACCCTCTTCATCACCAACTTCAACATACTCATCAATCACAGCACCAACAACAACAGCTTCCTTTGCACCACCAGTATCAACAACAATTGCACCAATTTCAGTATCAACAAAGCTTCCAACATCAATTTTCCGCTGCTTTAAATCAACCAGCGCTCAGTGCTGGTTTCATACCTTTGGATAAGAATGCTCTTAGTGAAGACTTATTTGAATGGAAAAGAGACTTCAAAGATAATAAATGGGGCTTTGAAAGTTGGGGTAGTAACAGTAGTAGCCTCAACGAACGTTCCTTGAATTATGAACAGGTTAATCATGCCAGTGATCCCATCAAAGAGAAAGCTAGTCATCTCTCTCCTGATGACAAGTCTGATAATCACAGTGATCAGCTGAAACATGGTAAAATTGATGAATCCGGTATTAAATCGTCACTGACTTCTTCAAGAAATCATCCCCGTTCTAGTGATCGAGATCGAGATCGAGATCGTACCCGTGATCAAGATCGAGGTAACGACATTAGAGAGCGAAGGCGTCGTGAAAGTGATAAAATTGTTAGAAAACCTCATAGTTCTAGAAGTAGTAGCCGATCAAATCAGTTGAAAGAGAAACATAGTCATGATCGAGAGAATAGAGAAGAACGTTCAGATTTTTCTCGTCGAAGTGGACCTGGTAGTAGCGGTAATAGTAGTGTTGCAGGTGGACCTTCATTCAGAGGAGGTCGTCGTGAATATCGTGGTACACGATTACCAACTGGAGGGCTGGAAAAACCTCCTCACTATAATAATGATGACAAGTATTCCAAAAATCTTGCATCTAATCCGCGGAAAATATCACGCACTCCTCATAAAAGATCTTCTCTCTCGGAAACTTATCATGAAAAAGATGAACGTAAACGAAAGAATCAAATTAAAGGTGATTCGATTGATAAACATCATCTAGACGATGAAGGATCAAGTAGAATTTCATCAAAAGCTGCTGGTGATGAGGCTTCTTCTAATCGTCCTGAGAGTAAAAGTGTTGGTAGTGATAATACCAATCAAGATCGCTCCGTGAAAACCAATCATCTTACTCTCGAAATGTGGTTATACCTAATGAAACTTTAAATCATGATGAATTTAATGTTTCTCATTCTCACAAAGATGGAAATAAATCAAATCATTCATCTACCAATAGTGGTAATTTCAACAAAACAGCTTCAGGAATCTCGTCCAGCTTTAGTTCAGAGGGTCATCCAGAGAAATCAAATCAGAATCAAGGCCGAGAGGAAGGTAAAAAGATTCGTAATGTAGCACCGCCTTTCCGTTCAAATCCAAAAGGAGATGTTACCCGTTCATATGGTCCATCCAATTATGGTCCACCTCCATCAAAAGCTGCCTTCGAAACTTTATCTAAGAATGATGGTCATAAAGGAAACTCGGCTATGAAAAAGGAATCTTCTAGTTCCTCACCAAACTTTGATCCTCCAAACAACAATAATACACCATTTTCATCAGTGATCGCCCCTCCTCCAAGTGGAGGTAATAACAATCGACACGAATCAAATTATGGAGGAGGTAATTTTGACCGATCACGAGATTCAAATAATGACAACAAACCAACGGATCGACATCATGTTATTGCCATTGGAAGTGAACGAAATGTTAATCTATCTAATCATCACAATCGTTCATCCAATTATTCCGGCAATCCAAAGAACAACAATCCACGAGACAACAATAACGATGGTTATCGACGCTCATCAAATGTTAATTATGTTGATTCTCATAAATCGAAAGATCTTCCACCCAGGTTTCAAAAGAAACAAACCCCAAGTACTAATAAAAGTAGTAGTAGCAGCAGCAGCGGCGGCGCCGGCAGCAGCAGCAGCGGTAGTGGTGGAGGACGTTTCAGTGGAAACCCACGTTCTAATGCACCCAACGGCGGGGGTAATAATAGTGGGCCAAATAAATCCAACCGTAGTAACGAGGATAATTCAATTGGAGGCTCTGGTGGTGGCGATGAATCAACAACTGGTAAAAAAATGACGAATAATAAACCACATCAATCACAACAATCATGGGATAATAAACAACAACAAGCTAATATAATCAGTGAATAATTGAACTTTTAAACCAAATTCAACAGCAAAAATCCAATTTAAATCTAATTATACTTGAAAAACACATAAAATTCAACAAAAAAACACATGATGATATAACACTACACACATAACACACACACACACATTACAAAAAAAAATGATGGATCAAGGAGGAGAGGGAAACGAGCTAAATAGAGAAAAAAATAATGTTTAAAATGTGAACAGGAATTCAATTTTAATTATTAACAGAAAGATCTAATTGCTGAGCTATTTCTTCTTCTAAATTTCGTCGAATGTGATCTTCTTCTTCTTCTTCTTCTTCAATTTCTTCAATTTCTTCTTACCCATTCGGAAACAAAACAAATAAGAGAACGAATGAAGACAAAACAATTAACGACCATTCGACTCAAACAAACAATTTAAAACAAAACACATTTTGATTAACAATTTGAACCACTGCTTAGGTTTCACTTTCAAATTAAAAACAACAACAAAACCAACATTGGAATGACGTCCTGTCTGTTTGTGTATCCGGCATTTGTAATATTCAAAGGATTAAGCAACTCCCCCTTTGAATGCAATATTATCATAATAAAAAGAAAACAAAATAATCTCCTCTCATTAGGAAAATGTTCTTAAATATATAATATAATTTATTATTTAATTACATTGAAAGAAAATGAAGGTTAGATGATTAAGGTGACAATTAACTGGACGTTTCCCGTTCGGTGGGGAAAAGTGGAACCGCGACAACATCGGTGTGTCTCCTCCTCCAATCTTCAATATCGACGATGATCTTAAGAGCAGAAAGAAAAGTTGACATGATCGAAGTGACGAAAATAAAAGTAATCAAATTAATAAGAATATATTGGATAATCTTATTGTAGATTAAATAATTAGTAACATAATTAAGATAACCAAGGTAAGCCAAGTAATAGAAGAAGATAACAATCAATGGAATGATAATTAGATCAAATTTTGCTCGTTCATCCCGTCGGTACCATTCACGGCAAGAGGGCCGATTAAAAGTGACCACAACTCCACGAAAAGGTTGACTACAATATGGACAATAACCAGAGACTGAATTACTAATTGTCCTAATTAAACATTGAATATGAGCTAAATTGTTAGGATATGAACAACCGCAAACGTTATAAACATTACCGACATTGTGACAATAACGACAAGAGTTATTAGTTGATTGTGGTCGGAATAACGATTGATTAATAGCTGATCTTTTAGGTGAACGTGGAAACATGATTAACTAGTTAATCATAATTGTCCATTGGAAAGAAAAAAAAGTAAAAGTGAAAATATTAATCCAATTAACTTAATTGTTGCCCCTCATCGAATCCTTAATTTTTTTATGTTGATCAAATGGTGATAATTGAAAGTTAAACATTTTAATCAATTGATTGTTTTTATTTGGAGAGCGAGAGAAAATAGAAAACCAAAGTTGTAGTCAATTAAATTTAATTTGATTGAGTTGATAAAATGTTTTTCCACATTTAAGTTAATTGTTGGTGAAGAGAAAGTTAAAAATAATTTTCAATCATCAACAAATTGGGTTAAATTAATGAATTGGTTATAAGATTACAACCGATCGATAATATTTGTCTCAATGAAAGAGGAGGAGGAAGATGAGGATGAGAAGGTGAGAGAGTTGATGGCTTCTCGGTGTAAGAGGCATGTTCATGGTGGAAGATGAATTGAGTTGATCATCATTCTCATCATCATCATCATCATGTCTTTCTATCGCTCTGTCTATTTCAATTGAGTTTGTTTCCTTTCATTGTAGTTTAGTTTCCTATGAGTAGTTGTAATCATTTAGTTAACCATATGGATCATGTTTAAAGTTTAACTGTGTCTTTAATTGTTGGACTGATATGGCAAATAATGGGCCACCGGGGTCAACAATTAAACCGACAACCAATAAATTGGGCCTTGACCTTAAGGTGACCACAAGTTCTGATCCGATTTTACCTCAAGAAACAACAACAACCTCCGACCATGGGACCCAAAGAAAGCTTCATTTTCTGCCTTTGGTAAATTGTTTCGAAATGAATTATTTCATGATCAGGTAATTATCTCTTTTGTTTAATTGTCTTAATTGTTTACCTTGAATATTTCTATTTAGAAAATATGTAAACAAATTGTCACAATTAATCACCTTTCCAGTTTCGATACTTGAATGTTTCTAACTCGTCGATTGTTGTTGTTGTTTTTTTCTTGTCACTTTCATTATATTGATTCTTGGGGTTTGATTGACACAATCAATTGATTTGATGTTAATTTGGTTAATCAGCTTAATGATAAACCCTTTTGGAAAGCTAATTTCTTAATTTCGGAACCAATTCTGTTCGGTACTTGGGATGGTGTTTACACCTCTTGTGTTATCCACCTTTTTGGTGTCATCACTTTGATCCGAGCTGGATGGATAGTAGTAAGTTAATTGTTACTTGATCATCAACAATACAAATCAACCAATTAACTGATTTCTAATCCAATTGATAATTTATCTTTTCTCGTATTTCAAATGGACGGTTACTTGTTGATCTTGATCGTGATGATTTATCTTTTCTCGTATTTGGTGATCAAAAATGGAAACGATTATTTTGATCCTGATAATCATGATTAATCTAATTACCAGGGAAATGCTGGCATATTATTGGCCATTGGAATTGTCCTTCTTAGCCTGGGAATTTGTTGTATCGCTGTAATCGCCGGAATCAAAATAACGGAGCGAGTGGGAGGTGGGACAATCCATTACTGTTTGTCCCAAGTTCTTGGCGCTCGACTTGGCGGAGCAGTTAGTTTGGTCTATTGTTTTGGTTCGGTAATTGACCTTTAATTTTACAAATAACAAGAAAATGAAAAGATTAAAATTGTAATATTTCCAATCCAATATTCTTAGTGCGTTAATTGTGCTCTTCATGTGACCGGTTTCGCTGAATCAGTGGCTCTCCTAATCAATAACGGTGAACCCTGGTTCCAAACCGCCATTGGAACTGGATTAATTATCGTTCTCTACCTAATCAATATCGCTGGAGTTAAATGGGTTGTTAGGCTTCAATTTGTGATTCTTGCAATTCTGATCATGGCTGCTCTTGATTTGGCTTTTGGTTTATTCATCTCACATGATCCAAGTGAGTTACTTTGTTTAATTTTCACTAAGGTTAAAGTTCATCATGATAATAATAATTGATTCATTGATTGAATTGGAAACATGTTATTACTCTGGTTTTACTCATGTTGGCAAATCCATTTTTACCTCCATTATTTTTTCATCATTTGCCTCCCATTAATATTGTTCTGAGATGATTAACTTTCATGTTTCCTCATGATTATCTTTGATAAGGTACTGGAGTTATTGGTTATAATCGAGATAATTTCTATGCCAATTTAAAGCCTGATAATCTTGATCTGTTCGCGGTGTTTGGAGTGTTTTTCCCCGCTGTCACTGGTGTTTTCGCAGGTATCAACATGTCAACCGATCTTTACAATCCTCGTGAATCAATACCAAAGGGAACATTTTCCGCCATTGGAACGGCCTTCTTACTTTATATGCTATTCATGATCGGATTGGGAAGTGTTTGTACTCGGGCCACTTTACTTGGGGACACGATGATTGCGGTTAAAGCTTCAGCCGTTGGTTACCTGTTACTTGCTGGTATTTACATATCATCCATGTCGTCCAGTTTGGGGTCACTTTATGCGACACCGAAAATTATCCAAGACATGGCAGTGGAGAAAATTATTCCCGGAATGAATTTTCTGGCCAAAGGACGCGGACCCAATAAACTTCCCATTTATGCGTTAACAGTTTACGCAATTTTGACCTTTGCATTCACGATGATTCGAAGTGTCAACTTATTGGCGACAATTGTCACCATTCCATACTTAATGACCTTTGCCTGGGTCGAGTATGCCCATTTCTCGCTCTCCTTGACCACTGAGATGCAATTGATGAGAGAGGAAAGGTTCACCCGATATTCACCTTCATCACCCACCTTCTCGATAAACAAAGGGGCCAAAAAAGTTCAAGATTATGGGGCAACAGGTAAACCCAAGGGAGAGATCGGAGGACGCGCTGGATTAGATCAGTTATTCCCGGAAAGAACAACATTGACCACTAATACGACCACAACGACAACTACAACTGGTTCATCGGCACAACAACAACAAACCAAGAAAATTTATGTTCGTCGTGAACAAAGTAGCCCGGAACCTTCAGACTCCTCGATTCCCTCCTCTCCAGGCGACCAAAGTTCAATGATAACCGAAGAGGCCGATGGCGAGGCCTCAGCGCGTCACTCGAGCTTGGGCAGTATCTCACCTGGAAAACGCGACGACATCTATTTAGCCGATGAATGGAATCAAACAGTTAATCGACTTTTGTCGAATAAATTTCTCTCTCTCTTCGGGTCATTGATTAAGGTCATTCTTATGTTCCTTGTCCATTGGCTTTACTCATTAATCATCATTTCGATCACGATTATCCTTTGGTTTTACATCGGCCATGTAAACAAAGGCGTTTATCCCGGAGTATCTCAGGTCAGTCTCTATGAATACACACGGATGAAAATGCGACGGATTTTCAGGTAAAATTTTCCTTAATTATTCTATAGAAAATTGAAACAATCAACTAATTGTCTTGTTTTCCGCAGACGTGACGTTCATGGTGATTACCAACATTTCATAGTTACAACGGATCCCGATGTTGATATAACGGCCTCACAATTAACTCAAGAGGGAACTGATTTCGCCGCAAGGGAAAAATATCATCAAACAATCACAACACACTAAATTGTTACAATTAAACGACAGTTTTAACTGTTAAATTTTATTTTATCTCAAATTGTCACAATTATACATTCCAATTCTAAATCAAATTTAATCAACTCTTTTTCTCGTACCAAAATTTGTGTGTGTGTTTAAAATGAAATCAAATGAAATGTTTAATTGTTTATCTTTCATCCTACTTTTGTCAATCAAATGGATTAACAATCAAAAAGAAAACCTCAAACAATCAACTTTAATTGTTAATGAAAACTTTTTGTCACAATCAAATTCAATCAATCAAACGAAAGTACTATCAAAGATTATTAAAAGAAACTTTTTAATCAGTTAACCTTAATACCGGATTTAATTTCATAAATACCCTTAAATTGTTGCAATTGATTATTGATCACAATTAGCTAATTGGTTCAATAGTATTTTAAGTTTATTTGCATTTTCTTTTAAAAAAGGATTGAAAATTTAACAATGGAAAACACAATGTATTAGTTGATACATTGATCATTTCTAATTAGTGATTAACTTCAATCATTTATAATTAGTTATCAAGTTGATTGTGAAGATGATTAAATTATGGTGAAAACCTTGAAAGATCCTTGGGATTTGGGAGGTTGAAAAATTTGTTTGGAAATGATGTCAATTAGTTGATGAAGATGATTATGATTTGGTTTGTTTTTTGGTATATAAATTAAATTGTTAGATGAACAATTAGATGGATTCATTTGATTTAGTTGTTTCCATTCTTGCAAGCATGAGGATGAGCGTGGAAATATTAACAGAGTAATGGATGAGTATGGAAAATGATGTTCGAAGGTGAAATTTCACTTCTTCCGCCGATCAATGATACATTTTGGACAGAACCATTTTCCTTTCGGCTTAATGGTCAGTCCAACGCATGCAAAGTGAAACCATTCAATTGGACAATCAGGATTATCACAGCCAATCATTTCACCGAAAGAGACTTGGTGACAAACACAATAAGTTGGCTCATTAGGATCAACCGGCATATCGAGTACATCGGTACTTCCAGTAATCGTTGCCAGAATCGACGTTTCCGAACCAGGAATAGCCGATAGAGCCAAAGACGGATCAGGTCCAGATTTCTGTTTCTTTGACCCTTTGTCCTTCCCAAAGATGTTCTTCCTACGAACTGTGGCCACTTTCCGTTTACCCTTTGATCCTTTTGCTCGGCCTCTTTTCCGTCCAACCTTTGGTGTATTACTGGATTGGTAAAGTAACTTATCCTTCAATTCATCCTCTAATTTGGTCAATTCCGAGTCAAGTCGTCTAATTGATTTATCGATCATCTCATAAGTTTGAACAGAAAGTTGAATTTTATCATCGCTATAAGAAGTTGCTTTGGCAAACTTGTTACGTATCTCATTGAATTTCTCACACTTTTCTGATTCCTCTAATTCGTCTCCATTGTTAACATAATTCTCAGAGATAATCCTAATCCCGTCAATAAGATCTGGCGAAAGAGAAAAATTGATATTAAATGAGAGAAAATTCAAAAATTTGAAATGAGTTTCGGCTGAAGGATTGAGAGAGATAGAAAGAGAACAGCAGCTGATGCAAGAGAAATAGGAGAGAATAGAAAATCTTCTATTCTTCCATGAATCATGACTCTTTCAATGGAGAAAAATTCATCAGTCATAATCCTTAGTCTATCCAAAGATAATCACCTTGAGCTCTAATGTCCAAATCTCTCATCAAGGTAAAGTTACGCTGTAGATCCGCCGGTAAAGTATCCAAACCTTTTCCATGAAAGAGAAGAAAAAACAAAACAAATGAATTCAAATGAACAGATAGAAGAAAAAAAAAAGATGAGAGAGAAAAAAGAAAATACAATCAATTAGAATTTCAATCAATTCGAGTAGAAAATTTGAGAAGAAACTTAAATTGGAGGGAAATTATAATTTCTACTCAATGTTTATCATTCATCTTCATTCATAAACAAAGATATTCAATCACATAGACAGAATGAGAGAGAAAGAGAGAGAGAAGAGAAAAAGATAAACTCAATTGATTTAATCGAAATCAACAAGAGAATAGAAATTAACTGACTTTCAAGAAAACTCTCCAGATGAGGATTGGTCATGATTAGAAATTCGATTAAATGTTCCAATTAAATCACAAAGATGAGAGAAGACACAAAGAGAGTAAAAAAAAGAATAGAATATGATAGAAAGAAAGAAAAGAAAGAGAAATGAAACAGACACACAAAGGAAAAGGATGAAGATGAAGATGGAAAAGTCTTGGAGTTGGTTTGGTGTTTGTGGCACTTTTTTGGTGAACAATTTGTAACAATCGGTTGATTGTTGTTCGAATTAAAATTCACTATTAATTGATTGTTGGAAAATGTAAATGATAACATTAATTTGATGAGAATTAAAATCACAAGCAGAGTAAGAAAATGCTGTTTCCCTTTAACCTAAGGGCAGACTCATTACTTTCTTTCTGGTTTTCTCTCTGTCTTCCAATATCATCTTTCTCTTTCTTTTTCTCTTTCTTTTGGGTTCATTCATCTTTTTTTTACTCTTGTTCATATGCTACAATTATACAAGAGAAAATGTTTACCAATTAACTATTACAATCAACTAATTGTTGTTCAATTTGGTAAGGTTACAATTAGATTATATTGTGAACCATTTAGTCAATGGTTGAACAGATTATCTTATTGGTTGATTAATTGTTTGCCATTTGATGAATCAAAGTTTACTGCAAATGATTAATCAAAGTTTTTTTTTGTTTTTTGGTTAATTAGTTGATTACAATTGATTGATTGTTTTGACAAGATTTGATTGAGAGAGAAATTGATTACTTTTGGTTGATTCTTTTAAGATCAATCAACATTATTATGGTGATGATGATGATGAAACTGTTGAGATTAATCAGTTACCTCGATGATTGATTTAAATTGTTGGGTTTAATTGACTTTGAATTTTATCAACAAGCAATTTAAATTGTTCCTTTTCTTTTCTTGATCGGCCTTTGATTAGTTTTTGCTGTTCCACTGTAGTTAATGGATCCAAAAGTTTGGTTATTTCACCAAATCCAATAATTTGATCACCGTCACGAAAGATTAACGATTGACCTTCCAATAAGATGCACGATCGAAGCAATTTAATTTCAACTAAATCACTTGAACCAGGTAATAAATAATCTTTGTCTTTGGATAAAATTACCTGGCCCAGTAAATCACCCGTTTGAAAGTGTAAATTAACAAGATTTGTGGTAATTAAGGCTTCAACTTTTTGGTGAGTTGATTGTGACTTGAGAAGTTGTAATTGAACTTGAATGTTGTTTTGTTGATTAAATTCACCCGATGGACAGATTGTCATACCTAACAATTAGACGAAAGAAGTTGTAAATTAAATCAGTCAATAAATTCTAATCAGTTTCATTTCTCACCTCTGATAATATCATCTCTCTTTACTCCTTGAAGGACAATTTCAACTGAATCTCCATCAACGGCTTCTTCTAATACTTTGTTGAAACATTCAATGTAATTAATTTTCGTCTTTATGTGCCGATTAAATCCAATACAATCGACGATTTGACCTTTGGCCAATTTCCCCTGATTAATGGTACCAGTAACTCCGGTTCCTCGACCTTGTGGACTGTATATTTTATCGATGTAAAACAATCCTGGACAATTTAAATTCCTTTCGGGATTGGTAAGTGATTCTAAAGTGGACACTAGACTTTCAATTGATTCGATTCCATTGGGTTGATTGTTAAGAGCTGCGATTGTCGATCCAGAGATGAACTTAACACTGTTCGAGTTGAAACCTTCTTCGGTTATCATTTCTCTAGTGGCGAGTTCACAGATTTCAAGACTCTCATGGTCAGTTTTCTCATCGAATTGATTAATAAAACCTATCAGCTGTTTAACACCCTGTTGACGAGCGATAATTAAGTGATTACGAGTTTGTTCAGTTGGTCCTTCGTTACAATTGATCACTACAATTCCAATGTCCGAACCACTCGCTCCAAATATTGTATTCTTTATATAATCCTGAGATCCAGGTAAATCCGATAAGACAACATGTTTAGATTTAGTTGTGAACTCCAATTTACAGGGGATAATAGATTGACCTGAGAAGAATTTAAATAAGAAAAAAAGATCACATTTAGAAACGGAAAATGAGTTAATCATTTCGACTCAGGTTCCAGTTAATTTTACCTTTGCTCTTTTCTTCAGGTGATTTATCAATATCATCGACTGATTTATAAATGGCACAGTTTGATTTCGACTGGATTAAGGAAATGGCCGACGAAAGGGTTGTCTTTCCATGTCCACTTTGACCTAAACAACAAACATTGACATGAACTTTATCACGTACAAAAGGCGCTTTGTTACGAGGATCAGTTGAAGCGAAACGTTTCAAGAAACGATTAACAGAAGTTGAAGAAATTGAATAAGAGTATTGATTAAGAAAAGAGCATTTTAATAAACGCATGGTAATTAAAAGAAAACAATTAACAGGAGAAAATGAAAGGACAATTAACTAATCATGAATGAAGAGAAACGAAAACAATGTGATCCGTTTAACCAGAAACTCCAACAGCTGAGTTACCATGGAAACGAATTAATCAGATGACTAATCTGTTTATCTCATCTTTTAATCTGAGATTTAATCTAATTGTAATCAACTAAATTTAATTATTCCAATCTTTTCGATATTCTAATTGTTGTTCATTGAATGTTCACGGAGATTTTCATTCCAATTGAAAATCAAAAATTCTTTTCATTTGTTTACATTTAAGTTCTTGATCTTTGCTGTTCATTTGTTGACTTTTGGATTATTGGATATCCAGCTAAATGGATTTACCTGTGATCATGATTATCAGGTGAGATTTACAATTAACTGTCAACAATAGATTTAATTGTTGAGATTGAGAGAGTACGAGAATTAGAGGTGTTAATTACTAGAGATTTTCCTTCATTTAGGATTACATGTATTGTTATTGTTTCTTTTTCTTTCTCATATGTTCTCATCGCTAATTCAGATAATTAGGTAATCTAATTGAAACTATTCTAACCTTAAATTAATCTGTTACCATCCAAAACAATTAACCAACAATTGAAATTGTCCCATTGATACTTAACTATAAATGTCTCTCCTCTGCTCATCATGTTACTATAAATAAGATTGACATTTAAATTTCAGGAAATTAATTTCCATTAACCAATTAACTATAACAATCATCAATATCAGATCATCAGGATCAAAAAAAAATAAATAATCGTCATTAGTATGAGTTAATTAACTAAACAATTAACACTAAACAACAAAAGGAAAATGAAAATGAAACAAAAAAACAGTGAAAGTGAATCAGTGTTTATCTTAATCAATAATTCAATTGACAATAAGCCAATGGATTGAATAATTAACCATTTTATCAGTGATTAGAAACCAATGACCACAATCAACTAATTAATTCTTAATTCAATTGTTCGGACAATTTGAATTTTCTGCCTTAATCATTGTTTCTGCTTAGTGGTTCCCCCTATTGACTCAGAACGTTTTCAATTTTGTTTTTGTTTTGATTTTTGTTTCTGTTTACAAACTACTTCAAGTGCGACTCCATTTTTTTGACCATCGGGGTTTTTGTTTCCACCATGGGTCAAGATTTAAATTTCTAAAGCGTTGACCATCTATAGTAACTTTGATCCGTCGCCATTTTCACTTTTACAAATCAACCATGGTAACTGATTAATGGTGACATTTTTTCCTCAACATTCCAATTCGCATCTAAACACAAGATGAAGAGATTTTTAATTTTGTTGTTTTTTTTTCTCTCTTTCTTTTCTCTAACAGTTGAAGATAATTATTCTTTTACCCCTTGATGTTACTAAAATCTTTGTAAATTAATCTCAATTTTTTTGTTTTTTGGTAAACTCGCAATTCTCCTTCAAAGGATTGGAAATTTTCTCTTTCATTTCCAAGGTTTGATTTAACCTTTTTCTTATGTAATTGGATCAAATCAGTAAGTTGTAGTTTTCTTTTTCTTTTCGGTTGATATGTGATTTGAAAAGAGAAAAGAATAAATTTGTAATAACGATAAAATCTCATTATTAGAATTTATCTGTACCTTTATCTCAATCAATTCGAATTCTTCTTCTATGATCTCTTTTTTTTCTCAGCTTAACAATTGTGAGTTTTTAATTCTTTCTCATATTTTCCGTTTTCTTTTTATGATGAAACATAAAATGATCGAAATCCATTAACGAATTTTTACAAATTTCTATGCTTTGATTTTTCTCTTTATTTCCTCAAAAAAAGCACATTTTACTCTTCTATTCTATTCTATATCTTTTTCTTTTTTACTTATTCTCATTATTTATTCTTTATTTCTATTCTATAGATGAGCCAATATTGGAATAAAAAGGAAACCAAATAAAATTCTGTGTGAATAAATTGTAAATATTTCGTCGAGGTCTCAGTAATATTGATTGGCATCTTTCCCGATCTTCTCTCATCTTTGGTCATAAATTTGCTTGTATCACCAAGAACAACAATGGCTACCACTTCTTATCGAAGCTTCTCTGAAATCTGTGATCCTGAGGACAAAGTTCTCATCCATGTATTACCTGAAAACAAAGGTGGACCTCGTTCATGGCACCAATACATTCATGATTTAGATTACTTTTTTACTAAAATCTATCGATATCATCAACGATCAGGCTTCTTTTGTCTGGTAGTTGGTCAATTATTTGAATTGGTACAATTTATTTTCGTTGTTCTCCTCACCTTGTTTCTCCTTAATTTTGTTGACTACGACGTACTTTTTAAAAACAAACTACCTCCAGGATCTAGTCAAGGTGATCTAAATGTAAAGGTGACCATCAGAGATGTTATACTTTCTGGTGATCAGGTAAACTTTGGTGGAGTTCAAATAATTCTCATCATTTGTGCTGCAATTTTTTGGCTAATGAAACTAATCAAGGTGTTACAGTCCATTTACGTTTACCATGCGATTAGTATTTTCTATTCTGAAGCCTTACACATTCAAGATTCTACTGAATATAGTTGGCAAGAAGTTCAAACTCGTCTCATTGAAGCCCAACACCTTTGCTCCCTTCAAGAAGGCACCTTGACCGAATTGGATATTCACAATCGAATACTTCGTTTCCATAATTACATGATCGCTCTTCTGAACAAAAATCTACTTCCTATTCACTATAAAGTGCCATTCATAGGTGAACAAACCTATTTCTCCAAAGGATTGGAATTCAACATTCGCCTGTTACTCTTTAAGGGTCCATTTGCCATCTTTGAGAATAGCTGGAAGCTCAAAGATGAATTTAAATCATCAATTAATCGGCAATTTTGTGCCAGTAAATTTGCCAAAAATTGTCTAATCTTAGGGTTAATCAATTTGGCTCTAATGCCTCTCATCTTTATCTGGCAAGTTCTTTACATTTTCTATGCCTATGCTGGTACAATTAAACGAGATCCATCCTCACTATTTGCTTCCAAAAATTGGTCTCATTATGCAAAACTATTTTGTCGCCATTTTAATGAGCTTGACCATCAACTTCATGGACGTTTAAGTAAAGGTTACAAAGCCGCCTCTCGTTACATGGATTCATTTACTTCTCCATTATTGGAAGTTATCTCTCGAAATATAATGTTCATGGCTGGTGCTCTCTTGGCAGTTCTGGTTTTACTCACTTTCTATGATGAGGATGTGATCGCAGTCGAACATGTTATCACCATTATCGCAGGTCTTGGTATCATTATCGCAGTGGCTCGAGGATTCATTCCATCAGATATTCCAATGAAGTACAATAAAGCTGAACTTTACTCAAACATTTTACTTCATATTCACTATGCTCCTCATCGATATTCACCATATTCCGGACAAGCTCAAGTAGCCATGGGAAGATTATTTCAATATAAGATTCAGGCCATTTTGGAAGATCTCATCTCTCCCCTGGTAACACCTTACATTCTGCTTTTTCATCTTCGACCACGATCTTTGGAATACGTTGACTTTTTCCGTAATTATACGGTCGAAGTTTCCGAAACTGGTGATATTTGTATATTCGCCATGATGAATGTTGCTAAACATGGTAATCCAGTTTGGGAACCCGAAAAGCCACCAGCCAAAGTTGAATCCACTCCGATCGATGAACATGGACCTGGACGAAAAGATCATTCTGGACGAGAAGGGTATGTAAGAAAGGACAGAGATGGTCATCGACAATTTACTCTGCAAGCGGGTGAAGGTGATGGTGATTTAGGTTCAAGTCCACCAGTGGCAACGGTTCCTGAAAATCTTTGCAGTGAAAATGGAAAACTTGAATTAAGTTTAATCAACTTCCAACTTACCAATCCTAATTGGCATCCATTGGATCAATCTCAGCGTCTTTTCATCAGAGGAGTTACAACAGCCGCTCTAAATGCTAATGGTGAAAGAGTTGAGACCGGAGTTGACATTGGTCGAACCTCTACTGACCCAGTGACCCCTCATTCGTCAATGGTTGGTCGAGTTCCATCAACGATTCAGTACACGCACCATTATCCAGCCGCATCTTCATCTCATAACCCACCTCGAACTCCACATTCATCGTTGACTGATGAACAGGAAAGTGACCTCAGTCGAGGATATTATGTAGATTCATTCAGTTTGAGTGAGATTGAATTACAAATGTCTTTAACCTCTCGATACCTTAATGAACTGGTATCATCGCGATTGTCTAATCAACACTCAGTTTTATCACAATCATCAATATCTCAACAACAACAACAATCAACATCTCAATTGAGACCACGATCACAACAATTACAACGACAACCTCAAGAATCTGAAAATGCTCCTCTTTTACACAGTTCGCATTTCTCTGGACGATAAGAATATTAATTAACCAACAACAAATTTTTGATTACAATTAATCAAAGAAAATTTAAATTATCCATCATCAGTGAAAATATCATACACATTTAAAATTCATCAACCATGTTAATCTTAATTTTCTCTCCCTCCCCTCCCTCTCTCTCAAAAGCATCATTCAATCTTATTTTGGCTCAAATTAACAAATTTTTCTTCTCTCAAATTGTAACAATCACAATTATTTAATTTTCGATCATAAAGAACCAAAGGCTTTATTGTTAAAATTCAGTTCGAAAATCCAACCAGACTCTCATTTGATACACAATCGAAATGACTTAAGATCTTAATAAAGACGCAATTTTCTCAATAAATCAATCAACCGTCCCCATTAATTATTCGTGTTAATTGTGATTCGATTGATAAAAATCCAAATTACTTTTAATTTAATTTCCTCGAAAGTGTCTCCCCCTCGCGAGATAAACGAAAACGAAAATGAAACACTAACATTTAACTGGAATGTTATTGTGTCTTAATTGTTGATTAATTGATTTCTTTTCTATTTATTCCTCATTTTAATTGTTGTCTCTCTTTCTCCCTCTCTCTTTGGGAGTGTCTCGATCTCTGATCATCATCTCTTTTTCTCTTGATCTTCGCCTTCCATTGAATCTCTTTTCTATTTTCGTGTCTTCATCATTACTGTTTTTATCTCTTTCTTTTTTCTCTCTCATTCGTATTTTGATTCTTTCATTTGATCGAAATCGGTGAAATCAGTTGTTGATTTCAATAGATATTCTCATCTGTTGTTACCTTGGCCTTTTTCTGCAATTACTCTTGGTCTTTACGCTGTATCTGTGTGTCGATTGTATTTGATCATCTAAATCATGGGAACTTTAGATGATAAATTGTTGGGTGAAAAGAAACATTATTACTGTGATAGTGATGATGATGAAAGAGATGATAATGATGATCGACGATCTGGAATATTTGGAGCCAGTGGGGGACAATCACGTTCCATGGGATATGCTAATCAAATTCAATCACCTCTCTCACCTACTGAGCCTTATTCAACCAATGTAAGTATCAACATGATTCTGAGGTTTATTAACCTACAAAGCTCAATGTTGATTACTCTTTGTATCCATGAACAATAATCTAACTGTTATTTATGGAAAATTTTCCAATGTGTTTTGGAATTTTTTTTTCTTCTATTCTTTTTCAACTCAGACTGGACCAAAAGGAGTTCTCAATGACTTCAAGAGATATCAAGAGTTGAAACAAGAGAGAAAACGTTCAGAAGAATTGAGTAAATTAAAGTTAATGGAGAAATTGTCAATGTCTTGTAAAACCTACAATGAAGAATTGGAAGAAAAGAAACAACAAGAGATTGTCCAAGATGAATTGGATAAGCTGATGACCGATGATTCTGATCCTTTTCTCAATGAATATATGAAAAAGCGAATGTCCGAAATGATGGAGGAAGTTGAAGCTAATCGATCCGTTCGAAAGTCTGGAAAACTAATCAGATTGACCAAAGGTGAAGATTTTCTCGAAGCCATTGAAAAGGAAGCCAAAGATGTTCTTGTAATTTGTCACATTGCCAATGAATCTAATGAAGGATGTGTAGCTATGAATGGTTGCCTCCAGTGTTTAGCATCCAAATATCCATTTATCAAATTCTGTGCCCTCGATGCCCGATCAGCCGGAATGAGTGAACGTTTCAAGAAACAAGGAGTTCCTGCCTTATTGATTTATAAGAACGGAAATCTAGTTGGAAATTTTGTTCGTCTCACTGATGAATTTGGTGAAGATTTTTATGCCTCTGATGTAGAATCTTTTCTCATCGAACATGGATTCTTACCTGATAAAACTTTGGTACCAGAATTGATGAAGAAGAAACAAAATCGTGATGCCAATCAAGATTCTGACGATGATGATGATTGTTGATGGAACCATGGAACTTCCAGTTTGGCTTCAGTCATTCTCATCTTGTTGCTATACAATTTTTAAGTGATTCTAATTGTAATACTTAATCTAATAGAACTCATTCCATATGATATTCCAATTAAGTTGAACAATTTTCAGCTTCCTATCACATATCTTACTCCATATTCACTATCTTCGTATTCACCATCGTTTTTTAATGTTCAGGGTTAGTAAACCCACTTTTTATCATCCACTGGAGGTGAAAGACATTAAGATCAATTTGATAGCAATTCGATTCTATTAATGTCATTACCTTAATTATCTTTAAGTTTCACCACGATAACCAAATGTTTGATCATTTTATTTGAACAAAATTAATAAAAACTCTACTAACATTTCAATCTGTTAATCAATTGAGGTGAATTGATTAGTATCCAATCACTTGAGATTGAGAAAATGAATAAGATCAATTCGAGCCATGAGAAAAAAAAGATTCAATTTCATGCTGATTGACTCGAATTTTATAATTAGATTGATGCAAATGTAACTTGTGAATATGGGTTCGAAAGTTAATCACGGAAGAATCAATTATATCGATAATCCAAAAGTCGCTTGATTTAGGTGCTGACATTGTTCTTCACTCTATGAGTAAATATATCAACGGACATTCTGATGTTATCATGGGAGCCATCATGACAAATCGATCAGATCTTGCTGAGCAATTAAGATTCTTCCAAAATGGTAATCAATTCAAATCTTGAGACTCCAATTTAATTTCTGAAGGTTGTTACCAAGACCAAGGGTCACAAATCCTTAACCAGTAACACATCTGACGATTAATTGTTTGCTTGATGATTAGATTGTCAGTTGATTATCTCATTAAATCAAAGAGTAATAGCTTATTACTCTTTGGATTAAATTGAATCTCTTTTATTATCTGATTTCCTTTCCCTCCTCTCTAGCTTTGGGTGATGTTCCTTCACCATTTGATTGTTTCCTTGTTAATCGAGGAGTAAAAACTTTAGGAGTTCGAATGGAATGTCACCAGAAAAATGGCCTGGAAATCGCTAAATATCTTGAATCGCACCCGAAAGTGGTTAAAGTTTACCACCCTGGACTTGTCAGTCATCCACAGCACGAACTTCACAAGAAACAATGTTCAGGATCAAGTGGAATGATTTCATTCGAGATCAAAGGTGGAAAAAAAGAGGCCTCAGAATTTGTCGCTAACCTTAAAATTTTCACCTTAGCTGAAAGTTTAGGTGGCATCGAATCGCTCATTGAGATTCCCTCTCTTATGACTCACACTTCAGTTCCTGAGGAGCAAAGGAAACACCTTGGAATCAGCGATTCATTGGTTCGAGTTTCCGTTGGAATTGAATCAGTTAAAGACTTAATCGCAGACTTGGATCAATCATTTTCTAAAATCTAATCTAATATCATACGATTGATTATCCAACAATCATTAAGATTAATATCGTTATATTGTTTTTTTTCATCTAAATGATTAGTTGCAATCTAATATACCCAATCAATCACAATTGAAAAGTATAATAATCCTTTGATTTAATGGTAACAGTTTCAAATAAATGAAATTTATGGTCAATAAAAGAAACCATAACAGTTTATTGGTTTAGCTTTAAATTTATGGTCATTGGTGTTAATTAGCTTGATTTTTTTTTCTTCAATCAATTATATCGATAGAAATTCAATTAATAGTCAATTCTGATCGATCATTCTGTTAACTCTACCTTTTGATCATCTCTCTTTTTTTAATCATGATCGTCATTTCCACATTTACGGTGAGTTTTGATCAATTTTGTTGTTTTTGCGCAATTTCAGCTTTCCTTTTCTCTCAATACTTTCAGAGTCTTTAATTGGTATCACAGACTAACAATTATTGAACAATTGATCAATTGTTACCATAATTTATAGTAATTCTCATGGGTGTTGTTGACAGTAGTTCCTTTTTTTTAACATGTTCATTTGTTGTCATTATTCATTCATCAATAAAACGCTTGGTTTCCTTTTCCTTTTCCAGTTTTTGTTGATGTTCAATTTACACTTTGATTATTTACATTCTTAGTTCCAGTGTGAAGTTAGATGATGTTAATTATTATGAATTATAATTATCAGCATTCCTTTGAAAGAAAAGATATTCATTAGAATTTGGATGAAGAAGAAGACAAAAGAAGATGATTTAGAATAGAATAGAAGGGAAAATAAGGCTTGATTAACCTTCTTCCTCCCTCAAGTTGAAACTTTTTCTTCCATCCTGATGAAGGTGATTTGAATTTTTCTCCTCTCACAAGCTTCAATAATCCTCTAATTATAAACCATTAGATTCACTTAATGAAGAAAAATGGAGAAACATAAGATAAGTGAGCTATGTGAAGATTTCAAACGACATAGAAAGAGTGAGAGAGTTAACATGATTCTAAAAATAGAATTTAAGATAATTAATAAATTATTTGGCTAATTTAACTGAACCAGTTACCAATGCAAAGACAAGTAAAGTAACAATTAACACCAATCAAGGCTTAAACAATTGTAAATCCTTATCAATCCACCGTAGAGATTATCGGTTACAGAAATATCATCGATTCCCCAGTTAATTGTTATCAATGGAATTACCAGAAATCTATCTAGGGAATAAAAGAGAGATAAAAAAAGATTAATTAATAAAAACAATGTAATTAGTAGTAAGATAAACAATAATCTGAGTTGTAATTATATCAACAATATGAGGATGATATTACTGATTGAATTGTCATTCATTATTCAATTGAGTTAATATCAATGAAAATGATTACAAATTATAATTAAATATTGATATGTTTCATTTACGTTAATCATCATGACTCAATAAACACAGATGAATTTCATCAACCATGTAATATGTGAGTTATCATGATAATTGTATTTTTAGACTTTCATAGTGAGATTAACGTACGAAAAGTAGAGACAGCAAATTAGACGAAATAAATAAAATAAGATAAACAATTAGAATTTAAATTGTCAACAGCTACTTACCTTTTCGATGAGAGAAATAAATTGACGTAAATGGAGATAAGAATCAACAGATGATCGTTTTTATAGGATTTTCCTTGTGATTCAATAGATGGAAGCATCAGAATTAATCGCGTAGCAATTGAATCTATTTGAATATTGGATAAAAACGCAATTTAATCTAGAGAGAGAGAGAGATGTTGATCTATGATTTAGATTCATCAGGTAAACTGGTTTGAGAAGGAGAATTAGATAAACAGAGAGAGAGAGAGTTTTTCTTGAGGGTGGGTGGCGAAAGGAAGAGTCTCCATACAAAGTATCCCAATATCCACATGATGAAAACTCTTTCAAGTCAATGGCGCATTAAACGGGGGTTGGCCTTTATTCTGTACACTCTGTAGAAAAAGAAAAAGAAAGAAAGACGATTAGAGAGAGAAAGAAAGAAAGAAAATGGAAAGAGAAAAAGAAGGAGGAAGAAAGAGAAAACAAGAGAAAGCGAAAAAAGCTAAATAAAGAAACATCATCTTCTTAATACATGTAAAGGTTACGCAAGTTAAAAAAGCGGGAGAAGATAATGAAGCAGATGAAGGAGAGAGAGAGAAAGAGAAAGGAAGATGATGAAGATAAACAAGAAACAAAAGAGATGGAGGATTAACAAGTGAAGAAGAAGAAACAAAATGACCAGTTAATCATTCTAAAAATCAATGTTATCTTTTCCAAAGATAAACAGAGAGATTAAGACTTGTACTCACCTAGAGAATTAATAAGATGACAATTGTTACGAAATTAGTTGTAATTATGTTGACGAATATTAACTAAAGAATAGAAAACAAGTTAATCAAAGGCATTTGAACTTCTCCAAAAAAGAGGAACAAAAAATTAAGACTTAATTACAATCCAGCAAAAGGTTAATTACCTATTGTGTCCAGTAGAATTTGTTTTCTCTCTTTCGCTTTTCTCTTTTTTCTCTTTCTTTCTTTTTTCTTCTTCTCCTTTCACCTTTTCTTTTCTTTTTCTTTTTTCTCTCATCATAATGTTTTCTTTTCTTCTTGTGTATGTTTGTTGTTTTCTAATGAAAATTTAATTGTAATTGTTTTTATTTCGACGCGTTTTAAATTATTGTAAATTGTTTTCTTCTTTTAAATTGTCAACTTGGATACTTAATCAGTGGATACAATTGATTGTCTTCAATTTGTTCTCTCTCTCTCTCTCTCAAACTATTGACACATGGATGTTACTATTTGGTTTACCAGAAAAGGAAACAACAACGAATTAGTATAACAACAACAATTATATTTACACTTGTAAGTAGATTTGGTCAATTTGTTTTCTCTTCTTTTTTTTTCGTTGTTCTATCTTTTTAAATTGTATTCTATTAACTGGTGATGGTGATTAATATACATGTAAATTGATATTTTCCATTGTTGATTAGTGGTGATGTATTGGCATGAGAGAATTGATTATTAGAAAGGAAAAGATTGAAGGAGAGAAAAAGAGAATAGAAGAAAAAAAGTAGCAAATGTTTTTAATGAATGAATTTGCAACAAAATGGTGTTGGTGTTGTTGATGATCATGTTGATGTTGATGTTGGTGTTGGTGTGTGTCTTTGCTGATGATGAGAGGAAGAGAAAGGCAAAAGTGTGGGAAAGAAAGGAAAAGGAGGAGAGAAAAGAATGACGATGATAATGATGAAGAAGCAACAACAACAAAATTAACTAGAAAAAAATGATAATCAAACAACCGCCATCTTTTAATTTCTCTTCTTTCTGGTTACACCAAACAAACGGAAGTTAATTTTTTTCTGATTCTCTCTCTCTCTCTCTACGATTCACATTTGTTACTAATCAATGTAATCACCTTTTTTTCTGGTTCCATTTATTGTATTCGTTTAATCAAATTATCTAACACGCTTCGTATACACATCACAATTAACCTTGCATTTTGTAAGGTGTTAATGGTTACAATTAACACTTTATTATTTTGGTAAACCAGTTAAATTGCAATTCACCAGATTGTTAATTTATCTCTTTCTTTCAATAATGATCAACGGTTTCAATCAATCTAAATCAGGGTCAGATTATGATGATGATGAAAATTGTTTTTCTTTTTTTCATTTGACATGATTTTTTTTTACTTCTTCTTCATTAAATTGAATTGGAAAATTATTTTCTTTTCACTTAATTGTTTCTCTTCTCACTTAAATGATTATAATTGTTCATTTCTATCAGAATTTCACTTCGTTCTCTTTTTTAAAACAATTTATACTTACATTTATTTCTGAGAAGAAGAAAAAACAAAATTCTTTCATCAGTTGATTCTAAACTCTTTCAATTAATCAATTAAAACTTTAATTTCTTCCTAATTTCAATGTTACACTTTAATTATTATTACAATTTTGATCTTAATTATAATTTTCCTCTTCTTGTCGTTCATGCAAAATAGAAAACTAGTTTTTTTCGCTAAAAAAGTTTCTGATCTCATTTCATTCAATTGTAGTTTTAATGATTAACTTTTTCTTGCTACGATTTGTAATAATTAATTTTAATTCTTTCAACTTTTCATGATAATTTTACTATTTAGCTATTTGTCACACTTATCTTATTCCTCTTCTCAGCCAATAAAAATGCTTCGTCGATGGTTTCGCCCTCTAGTGAGGAAAAGAAACTTTTTTTTGGTTTTATTGTTTGTATTTTTATTGAATGAAATTGGAAAGAGAAATGAATTGAAATGTTTTTATTTCTTAATTTTTTGATTTAATTTAATTTTTTATTTTACTTTATTTTCTTTCTTCTTCCTAGTTTAACAAATTATTACATTGTTTCTTCTTATTTTCTAACACTTGTGTCAATTTAACTCTATTTCTCTATTTCTCTCTCCATCTAAGCTTTGTATTCATTTTCTCTCTCCTGTTTTTGTATATAAATTTTATTTTCTCTCTTCTTTTTTCTCTATCACCTTCACCTTGTCTCATCTTTTTTTTTCTCTTCTTCTTCATCATCTTCGCCTTCTTACACTAAATCTCATCTTCTTCTTCTCTTGTGTATTATTATCCGTGTTCTTCTGTTTCGTGTGTTGTGTACACCATCATTTTGGAGTACCAACAATCTATTCTCATTGTTCATCATTCATCTTCATCCTGGATTAACAATTTTTGGAAATACCACCAAAGCCTTTAAAACATAAACTAAAATGTATGTAGTTTTAGAGTGTGTGTATGTGGCTAGAAGTCGTAGTTGATTTCTTATTTGAATGAGTATTTGTTGGATAAAAAAGAATAGTGATTTTTGTGTGGTTAAAAAACAAACCCTTTTTTCTGAGTGGCAGATTTTGATTCATTGAGAGAAAGAAAGACAGAAACTAGTAAATTACTACTTCTAATCTTCTCACAAATTCATCTTGTATCCTTACTCGTAAATGTGTGTGTGTGTGTTTATTTCTCTTTGTGATTTTTTTTTCGTACATTTTCAACGTAAACTTTACTTTTGTTACTAAAGACTAAACTGATGATATTTTTTATTTCTTTCTTTCAATTAGTTTTGTGTTAATATTTCTTGGCCATGCAAAAACCAAATTTAACTTACAAAATAAAGCGTAAAGCTGTTGCTCATTATGATGTTCAAAGTATTACTGCCAACCTACACAGTCCGGTGGTGGTTTCTCAAAAGAATACAATTACTGGTGCCTCAGCGGCAAGTAAAAATACTTGTGTCGATCAAGGAGATGGGAAATCAAATTCCCTTGTTATGAGTTGTCCCTGTTTTCGAAATGAAATTGGTACTGAGAAAGAAGTATCCGTCATTTTAAATCGTTTAACCGCCTCTCAAAGTCAAGTTCAGACCGATGATTCTCTTATCATTCACTGTCCGTCCATGGCCTCTGGTCTTTCCATTCTGGAAGATTGTTCAGATCGATGGAGATACAATATTTGCCCTTATCAAAAGATGATGCTCACTACTCCAACAACAACAACAACAACAATCAACAACGGTGCAGAGAAAAGTAAATGTTTTATAATTGAAAATTGTGATATAGGTGCATCCTACTACCGGATACATTTCTACGGTTTAGAGCATCAAAACTGGTTTGGCATTGATGATAATCTTGGTCCTATTGCTATCAGCATCAGGAAAGAGAGAGTCAACAGTCCAAAGCCCTCCATTAATAATTTTATTAACAATAATACCAACACCACCAATGTTAATGGCAATGGCCTTTACTCGGGTAATGGTACAAGTACCACCATCATTGTCAACAACAATAACAACAATAATAATAATAATATTAATGGTAATAGTATCACCAATGGTCAAACAAATGGTTCAATTAATTTATCTGTAACAACTTCATCAAGCGCATCTTCAAACTCATCATCCTCATCAAATTCATCAACAACAATATCATCCTCAACAACAACAACAAATTCATCATCAATTTCCTCATCATCATCATCTTCATCATCTTCATCTTCATCCTCTGTTCAAAACAATCGGATAAAACACCAATATCGAATAATTATTCGTACAAGTCAACTTTCTGTCCTTCGAGGGACCGTGTATGAGGATTACATTCCAGCTTTAGCATCTTCAAGACACACTAATCACAATAATCATCATGCGAAAGAAGTTCTTGAGTACATAGCCCCAGAACTTAATTTAACTACACTTCGTTTAGGCGTATCCAATGCCGATGAACAGTTACTCAAGCTTGATGAACAGGTAATCACTCGAACCTACAAAGTAGGCGTCTTGTATTGTAAAGCTGGTCAAGGAAGCGAGGAAGAAATGTACAATAACGAAAATTCAAGTCCTCAATTTGAGGAATTTTTATCCTGCCTGGGTGAACAAGTTCGGTTAAATGGTTTTGATAAATATCGAGCTGGTTTGGATAATAAAACGGACACCACTGGACTTTACTCAATTTATGCCAATTATCATGATTGTGAGATAATGTTTCACGTTTCAACGCTTTTACCTTATACGCCCAATAATAAACAGCAACTATTACGGAAAAGGCATATTGGAAATGACATTGTTACCATTGTTTTCCAGGAACCTGGTGCCCTACCCTTTACACCAAGAAGTATACGTTCACATTTTCAACATGTTTTTATTATTGTTAGAGTTTTACCACCGGAACCTTGTGAAGTTGTTGTCGGTGGTGGTGCTGGTGGTAGTGGGGAAAACAATACCACCGGTGTCACCAGATATGCTATTGCTGTTACCCGATCCAAAGAAGTGTCTGTATTTGGCCCACCGATACCTGATAAGGGAATTTTTGTTCGAGGCAAGGAATTTACTGAATTTCTTTTGGCAAAGATTATTAATGGTGAAAATGCAGCACATAAAAGTGAAAAGTTCAGTAGTATGGCTCAACGAACTCGACACGGTTATTTAAAAGATTTGGCTACCAATTATGTCACCAATACAACTTTAAATGATATTAGTTGTGGTAATAGTGCTTCCGCTAAATTGGTATCAACTATTTTTGGTTCTAGTAAAAGACGAGGTTCACATCGGGTAAAAGATTGGCAATTTATTGGTGATCAAGTTATTAGAGGAGCAATTGTTTGGGAAGCAACGGTTAACGATTTTGGACAATCTAAATTAGTTGATTGTTATGTTGGTATTTCCTGTGATACCTTTATTATTATTGAAGAATTAAGCAAACAAATATTATTTGCTTGTCCTAATATATCAATTATTGGTTGGGATGCATCGCATTCAAATTATATTGAAATTTTCTGCCATCAAGGTGAATGTATCAGATTAAATTGTAAAGATCAAGGATTAGATTTGGATGAGATAAGTGAGATTAAAACTCGGTTGGCATCAGTGACCAATGGCTGTCAAACCAAAGAGTTGATTCTCAAACGTAACAATCAGGGTCAGTTGGGCTTCCACATTGAACAAGACGGAATCGTAAACGACGTTGAAAAGTTTGCCTTTGCCTGGAATGCTGGCCTTAGGCCAAATTGTCGCATCGTTAAAATATGTGAAGTTGTAACTGCCACTCTTAATTATAATGACATGATAGATTATCTAAAAACATCATCAACTGTTAAAATAACAATTTTAGATCCCAATCCAGATGGATCACCTAAAAGGTAAGATGAAAACAAAAAAAAACTATTTACTATTTTTCCACTCAACTCAACTCATTCAATTTTTTTTCCTCTTCTTGTTCTTATCTTCATCTTCATCTTTACGTTACTCTACATTTTTTTATTGTTACTTATTTCTACATATTAGTTAACAATGATAGTAGTTATAAATTATACTTCCGTTGATTGTGAAGTTGTGACACAATTAAAAAACAATTATTTCAAGCTCAGGTTTATCCATCAGTTATGACCAACATAATCATTTTGGCCTCTTTCCCAGCTTTCACTCTTTAGTGTCATTATTATTATTATTTTTTTTTTGTTCTTTTTATTGCTCTTAAAAATCTACTTTCTTCTCTTTCTCTTCTTCTCCCTTAACGCCTCTTTCTTTTCTTCGATATTTTCGTTTCGATTTCTCATTTTCTCTGCTCACTCAATCGGTATTCCATTTGAAAATTAAATACTAATCGCCTTTTTTTTCTCTCTCTCTTCTAATTTACAGAGGCTGTAACCTTGCTAAATGTCCTTATCTGAGTTACATGGCTGCAGGAAGCTCCATCAACAACAACAACAACAATAACAACAATAACAATAATAATAATATCAATAGTAATAGTAGTTTAGTATCAAGGGATTCACATTTACCTTTACAACCACCACCACCCACCCAAAGTAGCCTTAACCATGGTGGAGACTATGAAAATATCAGAATAATGAGCGAACAAAAAAAGTATCATCTACCTTCAGAATTTAAAAATGGTCTCTATCATCATCGGTATCATTATACCACTGGAGCTTCAGCCTCTGCGATTGCTGCTGCTGCCGCTGTTGCTCATCAACAAGCCAATAAGAACAATAATATTGGTGGTTTACCTCTTGGTAATTATCCATCAACATCACCTTATGGAACAAGTCAATCAAGTAAAAGCCTTACTGTTTCACCGGAAAAGGAAACAGACAAAATTAACAAATTAACTCCTTCATTATCATCATCAAATATTTACTCTAATCTGGGTAGTAGTTCCCAGCTTCATTTATCATCATCATCCTTTGTCTCAGGATTAACGCGTTTTACAAAGCGAGAACCACTTCGACCAAAGTCAACTACCAACGAATGCACCTCTTTATCATCATCATCAACTAATCTTCACAATCCTAACATGGGAAGTCCCCAACTTCATCTATCATCTTCATCCTTTGTTTCCGGATCAACACGTTTCGCCAATTCAAAGCGAGAACCATTACGACCAAAGTCAACAACCAACGAATGCACCTCTTTATCATCCTCATCTTCAGGTTCATCATTATCAACCATTAATACACCATTTCTAACAAGTCTCAACAACAATAACAACACAATTAATTCAGTCAAACATCAAACTTTACCAGGATCAACAAGCATAACCATGTCACCCTCACCTATGCTAAGCTCATACGCCATTGCCATGCCAATGTTATGTACCCTTAACTCATCCTCTTCCTCAGAGGAAGATATTGACACCGAATGGCCAACCCTAGTGGAAACAGCAACCAAAGCAATGGCAATTAACAGCACCGGAAGTAACAGTGATGCTTTATCCGTTAAAAGTGATAATGCACTTGAACAATGGGTTCGTGAATTTGAAGCCAACGTAAGCTCAACTCCTAATGGACATTTATCATCTTCATCAACACCAACCTCATCTCTATCAGCAACAACCTCAACCTCATCAACCTTAAACCACCCAACAACAATTACAACAAACAACAACAACACATCATCATCATTATCATCAACATCAAGCCTTCCTACTCGACGAGGGACATCTGGAGAGAATCTGAAAGAGTTGAAAGAAACGGTTCAAAAGTTGCAATACGATCTGGTCAAGGAGCAATCAGATAAAGCGAAACTTGCGGAACTGGTCAAGTCGTTGGAGAAAGAAAACTCAAGGCTTCAAGAGGAGCGTAAAAATGCTATTCTACAATTAAAAACTCTCACCGATTTCTTTTTCCATCGATAGTAGGACAAGAAAGTTAATCAATCAATTTGTAAATTTTTTCTTCGGTTCATTTTTTTTTTCTATTAACAATCAACCGAAAATTACCTTTGCCTTTGTTTTTTATTACAATCATAACTATTATAACATATTCTTTGTAATGAGCTCACTCAATTTTCGCCCTTTTTCTCATTAATTAAAGTTAATCCTTTATTCTCAATTCTCACCCACAATACAACCAACAATTAGCAACAATTGTTCCTCAACTTTTCCAATAACAAATCTATGAAACAAAGAAAGAGAAAATGTTTTCTCTTACCTCATCATCTGTTTCTCTTTCTCCATCAGCTCTGTCTTTTTTTCGCTTCTTCCTTTCTGTCAATGTTTTTTTTTCTCTTCACACGATGATGATTTCTCTTTCTTTTCTCTTATCAAGTTGACCATCTTCTTCTTCATCAACTTAATTGATCTTACCTTTTTCTCTCCTTCTTCTCTATCGTCAACACCTTCTCTTCCTCTCTCTCTCTCTCTCTCCTTTTCTCTCTCTCTTGTTACATGTTTTCCATTTGATTTTTTCTTCTCTTTTCCATTTTCTCGGTGCTTCCATTTTTTGCTTCTCTTTCTCTCCATGAATTTATATTTCTTGTTCTCTTCTCTTAATCACCAACAATAAATGACATTCATCATGATCAAGTGTCACTTGGAATCACAATTAAGTTGACTGGTTAATTAATACAAATCATCATCAATTGGGAACCATCATCACCTTTTACCACCTTGACACCATCAGAGTTGCCACTTTCCATTGAGAGTTCATAAAGACAATCCAACTAGAGATTAACAATATCAACTTACTTATTTATCTTATCACCTTTTTTTTTACCTCATCATCTTCATCTTCATTCTCATCATCTGTTGAAATCTGAGATAATTAATTTCTTAAGTAATTTTTGTCTGCGTCTTCAGATTCTTCCAATCATCTTTTTTCTCTTCATTTTCTCTTTGGTTTGATCACTTTTTCCATTACAATTACCACTTAAATCTCATCAACATGACAACCTTAAGATTACCCATGTTAATATTTCCTTTATCTTTTTGTCTAACATTCTGGATCTACATGGGATTACCTTTAATTAGCTGGTTAATTAGTTTCACTGCTACTGCTCTGGTAATCGCTCTCACTGCTTGGAAATTATCTTTGTTTCTGTCCAATATAACCCAAGGAACTCTTGACCCATCCAATAAAACGGTCATCATTACAGGTAACAGAGAATAGAATAAAAATAAAATTCTTTTCTATTTCCGAATTTCCCACCAACATTTTACCTTCTTCCCTCCTCTTACCTCATCATCTTCTTCGTTGATTTGATGGTCCATCTAATGGTCTCCATGTTCAATTGGAGGAAAAAAGAATTTACCAAATTGAACTGATTGATTTTCTTTTTCTTTTTTTTTGTTCTCTTCAGGTTGTGATTCTGGCTTTGGTTATATTACTGCTCTTGAATTGAACGAAAAAGGTTTCAATGTGATTGCTGGTGTTAGATTTATCAATGGAAAAGGAGCTAAAGATCTTGTAGATAATTGTAAATATCCTGATCGGATCAATCTGATTGAAATCGATGTTACCAGAGGTGAAAATGATCTGGCCTCCGATCTTATTGATAAGGTGACATCAATCCTTTCACGTTCTGGTGATTGTCTTTGGGCGATTGTTAATAACGCAGGCCTATTAACCGTTGGACCAATTGATTGGGGTGATTACCAGTCTTCCGTTGAATCTTTGGTTAATGTTAATCTTTTAGGATCCATTAAGATGATACGAATTTTTTTACCTCTTCTTAAACAATCAACAAGCTCGTTATCATCTTCTGCTGCTGGTGGTGGTGTTGGTGCAAGAATTATAAATATGTCCTCAGTTCAGGGTAAATTATCTTTACCTTGGACACCCGTTTATGCTACAACCAAAAGTGCCATTGTTTTCTATTCCAACTGCCTTCGTTTAAATGTTAATCGTTTTGGAATCAAAGTGACCACAATTCTTCCCTATAAATATCGTACACCAATGGGACAAACGGAACAATTAATTGACTCACTGGACACCAATTGGAAGAAATCAAGTCAGGACGTCAAATCAGCTTATGGTGATTTCTATTATCAAAGATTGAGACAGTTACTTGGAAAGATGAACAATTCAGGACCAGAATCAGGGGATCCAAAGGAAATCGCTCACAAAGTGTACCAATGTCTAGTCACACCCGATCCTCCCAATGAGATAATATGTTCACCTTGGTGTCTTCGTCCTCTATGGTTTCTAGTCAGTTTTATGCCTCAAGAGTTGATTGATTTATTTTTCGATTTCGTTGAAACAAACTATTTACAAGCCTAATTTACATCAAATGTTCCCATTTAGTCTTGTTTTTTTTTCATCATCTACGATTATAATTATTGATAAAGGAAGAGAAACTCAAATTGTCAACAATTTAAATGATTACTTCCAATTTACACACATACACACTTAATTCAGAACCTTTAATTGTTAGGGAAACAATTTGTCTTCTTGTCTTATATTCATATCTATGTGATATTATTAATTCAACAATTTAACAACAAACTATAAGTTAACTTGATCATCAATGTAACTATACGGTGGAAATATTTAATCATTTGCAAAACAATTTAGGAATGGAAAATGATTCCCAAAAACAAAGTCAACAATTAAAATTAACAAACTTTTTCTTAATTCTAATTACACTCTAAGCCAACTCACATATCTTAATCATTGTACAACAAAATATTGGCCAAAATTTAATCGCAATCAGGAAAATTTTACTAATACTTTTAATTGTAAATGTAAATCATGAATTAACAAACCATTTGATTAACATGGATACTAATTAGTTGATCATCTAAAACATTTACAGCTTCCATCATCAATATTATCCTTTATTGGTACAATTTAATTGTTCTGATTTATTTAATTGTAAAACTTATTTCTTATCAAAATATTTTGATTATTGATTAATTTGTATCGTCATTAAGTTAATTGTGATTAACAGAGAAAGAGAAACACAATCAAGTTTATTTCTGTTGCAATATTCAAATACTATTGATTATCTTCAAGTGATTAACTGCAAAAATAGTTAATCAATAATAATGATTAAGAGGAAAAGGTTAACTTGGTCAATCCAATATCTTAATTGTTGATTAAAGTCCAAAGAAAAACAAAGAAAAAAGGTCAGTAAACGTGAATTGAATTAATTTCTGCTAATTAAGATGATTACTGGTCGTTAGTTAATCACTTGAACAATTAACTAATAACAGTAACAACCAGACTCACTAATTTTCAGCTAAGTAACAATTAACCAATTATCAAAGTAGATGATAAAAACTACCCAAAGATTTAAATGAAAATCAGCTGAGTGTCTATTAAATTAAACTAATTTAGATTGTTGATTGCTGAGGAGTAAATTAAATTAAAGGAAACTAAATTAACGAGAAGGCAAATTGTTGATAACTTAATCATCGGAATCACGTTTTTTAATAGCCTCACAAAAAAAGGTCACAATTAATTTCTACAATTTACTAATTGATTGTTGGTGGATTTAAGGTTATTGTCATCATTTGATTACGATGATTTGTTGATCATCGACCAGATCAACTGCAACAATCAACCAACTTAATTGTAGATTGAAAATCCTTTTTCTTTTCTCAGAAGAAAAGTAAATACAGACAATTAATATTCGCATGGAAAAAAATATATTGATACTTACAGAATTTACTTAAAGTGTCCCGTTGGAAGAAAAGTTATCATCTTTTCCTTTATCATCATCTTCTTGATGATCATCATCATAATCATCATGAACCTCTTCAATTAATTAGATAATCATCAACATATAATAATAGAAATGAAAGTAAACTATCAAATAGAGAGAAACATTTATAAAGATTATACAAAATTTTAGATATAAAAGCAAAGAAAATTGTTTCGATTGTAAACAAAACTTGATAGTTAATTGCTCGATGATTTACTATCATTCAATTAGAATCAACAATTAACTAACTAGAGATAGTAATTAAATAGAAATGGCAACTTACAATCAAGTAAATTGTTTTCGTTTCCTTGTGAACGTGTAAACGATTGATAAACTAACCAGTTAACCAGAAATTCAGTTTGGGTTAAACCCGCATTCGTTTGGTTAATTTGATCACAATTAATAAATTGTGACAAGAGAGAGAGAGAGAGAGAGAGAGAGAGAGAGAGAGAGAGAGAGAGAGAGAGAGAGAGAGAGAGAGAGAGATGATAAGGGAAGAGAAGAAAAATTTAGATTAAAGAGGAGAAAAGTGAGAGAAACTGGGGAGAACGAAAGAGAAGATAAATGTTACTTATCTTCTCTGTCTACATTTTGAGAGAGAAACAATCGAAAAGTGAGTTGATACTTTTCCATTTGCTTCTCACTAACGATAACCAAAAGGTTGTTTAATCTTCTAAAAAAAATTCTATTCTCTTTTACGAACTTTGTTTACCTGTCAGTATCGTTCTTCTGTCCAAACATTAACCCTTCTCATCTAATCATCTAATCATCACCTTCTCCTGTGAACTAATTAAATACTACAACAATTACAATCGTCATTCAGAGTAAATCATTGAAACAATTTAAATGGATCACCAATGTAACCAAGTTTAAGTGTATAAACCAAAAGGAATCCAAACAAAAGCAACAACAATTTACCAACAATCAGCTTAATTGTAGAAGAGGAAGAAAAAAACAATCATCATAATCAATATTTCACCTCAAACAACAAGAGTCAATGAAAAGCTCCAACTATTTACAAACAACATCACAATCACAATCAGATATTAATAGTAGTCAGTTGAAATTAACTAATTGTTAATTTTCAAGTGAAAGTGAAAAGAGGTAAATAACAAAATGGTTACGACGTTAATTGTGAAAATGGCGGCGGTTGGTGTGTAATAGCAACACAGAAACACTCAGACAATCAACAACATTATCAACAGAATCAGAATTTAATGCTTCTGAAAGCGTAACAGTTAATTGAATCAATTTAATAATAATAATAATCGTGTTAGTTAAATATCAATCAACACCAGTTAAGCTCATGAAGAAGCAAAATGAACGTCAATAAGTTACCCTGATTAACTGATTTCTGTTCAAATTGTGTGAAAAACCAAAACAAAAACAACAACAATCAAGTTAAATTGATAAGCCTAAAGATGTCAAGGACTTTACATCATCATCATTATCATCAGCGGCCATTTTACAGAATAAGAAACAAGACAATCTAATCAACAGCATTTACAGTCCAACAATTAACCATCGTCATTATTATTAACCGTCACCATCAATTGCTGTTAGTCAGTTACATTGGAAGCGCTTTCTCCTTGTCACCCTAATCATCAACATCTTCTTAATAGTCTAGTTTAATTCCCACTCTCTCACTCTCTCTCTCTCTCTCTCTCTCTCTCTCTCGTGCTCTTTCTCTCTCTCTCTCTTTCCCTCCTTCAATTTTTCTTTCTTGGTTTTATTAATCTAAGAATCATCTTCTACTTTCCAACAATTTCAATGAATTATGATTCTGATTGTTAGCATTTCCCTATCAACTGAATCAACTAATCATTATCATCGTATTGATAATCAAATTGTGATTAATTTTCAACGTGATGTGTTTTCATCAACCACCAATGTCGCATCTCTATTATCATTATCATCATTTAAAGTTTCATCATTTCGTTCATCATCGTTATTACACCAACGATTAATAATATTATTAATCATTCTAATTATCAAGTTAACGGCAACAATTAACCAAACATCATCTTATATCTCACAAGAAATAATATCAATGTCAAATTTGATGATTACTAACAATGGATCCAAGGATTATCCGATTGATACTAAAACGATTTCAACTAATCAACGGTTAATTGTGTAATGTTGTTGTTGTTTCATCCTTGGACGTGATTGTGATTAAAAACAATTAACCCGGTAAATATCATGATCAACAATCAACAACAATTCACAAAGAAAATCATATTAACCATAATTGCAATGAGAAACAAATTGTAATACTGTAAGTGTGTTAATCGCTGATAATCATACTCACTCTCTCTCTCTCTAATTGTGTGCCATTGGATTAATTTCCTAAATTTAATTTACTATTTTTAATTGAAATATCATCATCATCAATTCATCTTCCATCATCTTTGCAAAAAAAATCAGTGAATTGCAAACAAAAGCAACAAACAATTTATCTATTTAGCAAATTAACTGCAATTATCTGAGCAAAATCAAGATTAATTGTTGACAATCTCGTACTAATTGCTGGAATAACTTTTATATACATCATTACAATCAACTCTTTTTACTCTTTTTTGCTTAATTGTTAACAAGTTATGTACAAATTACGACAATTTCTTGGTAACTTAACTTGGTCCACAAATAATCAGCTGATCCCTTTTTTAATTATACTCATAATTAGCCTTGCAATCAACATTTCATCAGTTAATTGTGGTAAATTGTCATCACCATCACCAGCAACTGTAATAACAACAATATCACCACCAACGACATTTGCAACAATCAACTCTAACCAACAACAATTGCAACAATTTAACAATTTTTCATCACCATCATCTCAAAGGCAATTAAACCTTAATCAAAACTCAACAATTAAATTAGAATCGGATATTTGTGAAATCTGTTATTGTAATAAGGATTCACTTACTTGCCAGAAAGACAATCGACTTAAATCATTTCCAATACTGTTAAATGAAACTAAACGAGCAGCAATTAAAGAAATGTAAGTTTCCCATTTGATTACAATTAACAAATGATCAACAATTTAACTTTAACATTTGCAATGAAGAAATGCAAATTTCAGATCAATAAGTTTATCTAAACATGAGATGGATTCATATTTTTACTTGATTGCAATTCCAAGATTGATGATTAATTTTTTCTTTGGTTAATCACAATTAACATTGTCTCTTGATTTTCAGTTGATTGTTTCTAAAACAATCATAATCATTGCGTGTTTAATTAGTCGTTTTTATTATTCATTAAATCAATATGATGAAAAATCAAGGAAAATTGTTTAATATCAGTAACGGGACAATGATTTTTGATTGTTAATGAAAAAAAAAAGTTTATCAATATAAAATCAGCAGCAATTAAAACCCTCGTCATCACTATCAATCAACAATCAATTTTAAATTGTTTATTGTAATCGCGAAATTGATTCCTAATTGTGCAAATTGTGATTCCAAATGGAAATTGTGGTGAATCGTTTTTTCAAAAGAAAAGTTTTTTTTCTTATAACAATAATTCACTTGATTCTTCATCAACTACAATTTACTAATCACTTTTTTTTACCACAGAGAAATTCAATTGACACAATAACATGAATTTCTGGATAATGATGATGAAAATGATGGTGATAATAATAGTTACCATGCATCAGTGATGAAGGGTGGGTTTGTATTCATGGTTATGGTGGGAGGGTGATAAAAATATCCAATGTTGTTTTTTTGAATATCAATCTACGAGTTAATCATCACAATCAAAGTTAATTGCTACTCTCTTTTAATGGGTTAAAGTCTATTGGGTTAGATTAATATTTGGAAAATTGGACAAAACAACAAGACCATCAAAAGTGAATGAAAATCGTTGCAATTAATTGATTGTAATGTGTATATTTATGATTAATTGTTGGTCGACTATATAGAAATCTTAATCTGTAACAATTAGTTATTGGTATTATTATTATTAATTGCTTCTGATTTGCAATTATCGTTATTGTAATATGATTATTACGTCTTCATCTTAACTGAAAAAGTTGAAAAGTTTTTCCTGTTAATTGTTGTGTTATTGTGTCGCTCAAAGTTAATTATTATCTTAACCATTATGATGATTGTTGTTATTAATTTATTATTATACTAACCATATCTTCAAGGTTTCCCGGGCTCATGTTGATTATCATGATGATGATTCTGATTCTCAGTAGTTCATGATGATGAAAATATCACAAGAAACATTTCAAATTGTTACCTGACTTGAAACATAATCAAAGATATTTATTTATGATGATTGTATTAATTTAATACGATTATGGTTATGATGATGATAATTGTTGAGTTAATCAAGAGTCACAAATTATTCCCAGGGAACTCATGATATTATCATCTTGTTCATCTTCCTTGATACCCTTTCTTTATCATCATTTCTCCCTCTCATCCCACCTCAAGATGATGAGGATGAAGATGAACCACTCCCAATAACTGTCGATAACTGAACATATCACCTTGGATTAATTTTCACTTCTCATAATTAACAACAATCAACATGAAAAACGTTGATTGTTGTTAAGGTTTTTTTTTCATTTACTTCTACATTCTTGATTAACTTATTCATAATCAAGTTAATCAGTTTACCATTGATTAATTTGCAATTTACCAGCATCATCAATAATATATAATCACAATATGAACAATCAATAAGCTTGAAAGATGAAAAAATGCAAATCCAATTGAATCATATTCACACATGAACCCAGCAATTAGTAAATTAATAACCATTAAACTCAATGATAATCAACTCGTCTAATTGTAATGCAATTATAATTATGATGACTGCAAATCACAGTTAATTGCAAACAATTAATTTCAATAATTTGCAAACAATTTGTCAACTAATACAAAAAAAATCCAAGGCACTTGTTAGATTATTTTAATTGCCTGGAAAATATTACTAATTGTAACAACATAATCATGATTAAGAAAATCTTATATCAAGTAATTGGTGATGTTTAAGCTAATCATTTCAAGTATCATGACAATCAAGAGATGATCAAATTGTAACAATCAACAAACCCGAAAATGATGTTTTTGTTTACTCAGCTTTTGATTGTTATTAAATTGAAAAACCACAATTACTAATTATTGTTGATAATATTTGGCGATAATTAAATGATATTAACGATTATCGAGTGAACCATTCTCGTAGTTACGAAATTGAATTAAAAAAGTTCTTGATCAGTTCGAGAACTATTAATAAGAACAACAATTAAGTTGATCTACTTTTACAGTTAGAAAAACAATTCCAATCTATTGATATTATTAGTTGGTTGCTATTGACTATCTAAATTGAGACTTACCTGTGTATGTTAATCACAACAATCAACCTGGAAACAATTAACGATAATATATTCACACTGTTTATAATCAAGAAAAAGTTTATTATGATCAATCAATATTTATCTTTGTGAAGGATCAACAGATTTGAGTTTCAATTGGTTTGCTTATTGCAAGTTTGATTGATTGAAAATTTTAATCAATTACCATTAACTTTGTTGGTGAACATTTGATTTAATTGTCAGCAATTTCTTTCCAATATTTAATCAGAAATTTATGGATTTATGCAAAGTCCTCTTGCTTGATTTATCATTTAAAAGTTTGTCTTTTTTCATGTCTTGTTAATTGTGGGAAAAATTTAAAGTTAAATTTTAAATTGTTGTTAAATTGTTAATGGTGTTTAACATGTGTATTATCAAGGACATTAAATTGTTGATTTGATTGTTACTATTATTGTTTATCTTTGTGGGTATTTTATTTTCAGTAGGTTCCATAATTTTGACAACAATCAATAAATTGTCAGTAGTTACCTTAATCAATAAACAAATCTGTTCTCATTGTTATTTGATTGTTATTCTTGATTGTTTATTCAAATCATTAGGATTGTTATTATTATTAACAATTACATTAATCATTAGGTAAATTGTTGTTACACTTATTACATTTATTAATATGTTCAAATTGTGATTTAGTGGTTGATTTTTATGGACACAACATCTTGTTGACAATTAACTGATTGTTAACAATAGACTAGCTTGTTGAGTATGATTGATAAATGATTAAGGTTAATCTAATTGCTGTTGATCATGAGCCTTGTTATGGTATTAATAATAATCTAATTTATATTAAATTGTCCTGAAAAGTTTTCTAATATATGAAATATTGTCTTCGAGAAATCAAATTGTGATCAATAAACAATCAATTTATAATTAAGTTGATGTTGATTTGATTGTTAGACCATTAAAATTATATTAATTTGTACAAATCAAACTGAGATTTTCAAATTAATTGTATTCCATTAACATTGTCATTGCAATTTCGTTGATTGTAATCATTTAATTTGAAGGAAGAGATTATGATTATGTAATTGAAATTTCGAGTTCAATTTTGATCATCATAGACAAATCATGAGTTTATAATTAGTAATTTGATTGCATTAATTGTTTCTTTAAATTTTATTGAATAATTGCTCAAATTTTTATTAATATTGTTGATTGATCATTGAATACGATTCACATTTGAAAATAGCAAGATCTGATGAGAAGAATCATTGATCAAGTCTTGAGTAATAAAATTTGATTAAAATGAATTTTAATCAAAAGTTTAATTCTCAATGTAAAGGAATAGCAACTCATCGAGAATGACTAAATGATCTGAGAACTTGAAACTCACTATTGAAAAACTCTCGGATTGAAACCAAATGGAACTCGACTAATTATTGAGAACTAAAGTTACTGAGAAAAGCTGTAACTACCGATTCCTAATTAGGCTCAGAATTTTCACCGAGAATTGATTGAAATTGTTGATTACAAAGATCCGATTGATTAAAAATTCATATCAACTTAATTAGTGGATAATCTTTGTCTAGTCAATTGATTAGTTAATCTTTTAATCCATCGATCAATGGAATTGCTTTCATGTTTTAATTGACAGTTTTCGCGGTTTCAGTGCAAAAAAGTTACATTGTTGATTAAATTTAATTGCTTCTCTATGTAAACACTAATCAGCTAATCACTTTTTGTTTGATAAAATCGTTTTTTGCATAATAATTAACAGAATCATTGAAAATCAAGCAAATTTAACACGATTAGGAAAAAAGGAATTAAATTATTACCCAAGTATAACCACATTGTAAGTAGTTGACTTAATACAATTTAATTAATTATATTAATAAATTGATTCTCTCACTAATTGTCACTAATCAATTTTATCCTTTTTGTATACAGAACGATATCTAATTGTGGATTAGCTGTTATTGAAGAAAATGCATTTAAAAGTAACAAGAAATTAGAAAAAATGTAAGTTAATTAAATTTAATTGTTACTAGTGGAAAATTGAACGAAATTCCAGCAATTTAATTGTCTAATTGTGAAACTCAAGCTAATCATTGAAGTTAATTAATTGATATTCTTGTCATATAATAATGATGGTTAATTGTATGACTACAAAAAAGTGAACATTAATTAACCTGATTTTGTGTGTGTATTGATTATAATCAACTAATCAGTCGGCATGAAAACTAATTCAATCCTTAATACAATAATAATGATATTCAATTTTAATTAAGAGTATGGAAGTTACAATTAGTGGAACAATCAAAAATTATTTGATGAAATTGAAAATTTTTGCAAAACTTTTAATTTTTTGTTTTGCATTTCGATTTAGTTAATTGATTATTTTGTCCTCTTGTTTCAAGGTGGACAAGGTAATCAACTAATTAACAGTTAATTGTGTAAATGTTTGATTGGAAACAATTTACATTATCAAGTTTGTAAGTTCTAATTGTATTAATTAAATTGATTGGCAAATCAAGTGTAAATGTAATGATGATATTAGCGAAGTTTTTTTTAGGAAAAAGAGAAAAATTTGCAAAAATTAACTAATCAGAATCTCATGTAATAATTATCATCATCACCATGATCAGGGTAAAGTCACTAATTAAAAGGGGATTTACCTTTGATAACTATTAATACAAATGAACTAAATTAAATTTGATTGTGACGTTTCAGTCAACATCTCATGATATTATCTTATTTTTTTACCTTCTTAAAGTTGCTATTGTCAAGCCTCAGTTACAATATTAGATGATTATTAGAATCTAAATCAATTTTATCATCTTTATACACAACAATTAAGGTAAATAGACAGAGAGAGAGAGAGAGAGAGAGAGAGAGTAAAACCGACAGGTAACCAAAAACTAGACAGGTAAATGGTATCTAAATGTATACCTGGGAATGTCCTTGAGACAATGATGATAATGTTCAATAGTTAACGATAATAATAATAATGAGTTCACAGAAAAGAAATGGAAATAATCAATTGTCCCTGCTAATTGTTGTAAAAAATTAAGAAAATTAACTCTAATTGTAAAATAATTCTCATTCCCAGTGATCTCAGATTGAATAGATTACAAGTCTTGCCTTGGATGGTTTTTGATCAAACAAATTTACCAACTATGTAAGTCCAATTGTTTATTATAAATGCAAATCAAATAGTCAACAATCAATATCGTCAAAATAATATCAACATATTACTGACGAGAACAAGAAAAAAAAAACAATCAAGTTAATTCCGTTTTCTCATTGCATCACTAATAATACAATAGTAATAAACTATCAACAATCAAGTAAATCATGAAAATCAATTTACTAATTTACTTTTGTTTTCCTATCCAATTTTTACCTGACCTTTTTTTTTGGATTGGGATCTTTACTTTTACCTCACTCATAATCATCATCATGTTACATTATTATTTCATTGATGATAATGGTTTATTCTGTGTGTTATCATCACAACAATTTAATAATGATGATGATAATTCAGTATCATGACTGGCAATCCATTGGCATGCAATTGTAGCAATAAGTGGATCCAGTTGAATATGATGGACGGAGGGTCAAACCTTGGACCTTATTGGGATCAGATCACTTGTATTCATCGGAATGGTTCAAATCAGAATCTCTTACAAGCTTCAATTGATGATTGTGGTAAAGATGATTTAATAATTTGTCTCACTAATTAAAACGATCACAATCTATCATCTTGATTGTCGTCATCTATTCCTGGAGTTGATTGATTTTCTCTCTTTCTTTCAAAACAATCAACCCAATCCTCGATTTTTTTTCCTTACCTGTAATCTTAATTTCAATGTTTACCTGGATTTTTATTATCATCATCTTATCATCATCATTATCATCCTACTCTTAATGATCTCTGTCTGTTTTGTTTTTACACACATGAAAAGATGATGATGCTAATTAACTGTACTAATCTAATAATTTAAATTTCTCTCACTTAATTGTCTTCCCAATCATTTAGAGCTGCCCAAAGTAACTGTGGATCCTAAAACAATTAATATCAACGAGACTCAATCAATTACAATTACTTGTAATGTAACTGGTTCACCAGTTCCAAGGTAAATTAATCGATTACTTTTGCAATTAACTTTTTGATGATCAATTTAAAGTAAACAATTAAACGATCATGTCAAGTTTCATAAAAACAATCAACTTAATCCTTTTGAGTGCATATTAATATTTACAATTGGGTGTTAGTGTTAACCTTAATTGCTGATTATTAGGATTGCATGATTTAAGATTTATTAATTACTGTTAACATCTCGTCAATATTATCAACTTGTTACATGAATAATTAACCAAGTTTTGGTTGACTAAATTGTTACTAGATCATGATGATGATAGCCAAGAGAATCAGTTGTAATTTAATTGTTCATAATTGACTTTTGATTGTCTTAATTACGATTAACAGTTAATCTAATTTGTTTTACAGGGTTTTCTGGAGAATCGATGATTCCTTCTCAAGGATTTCCTCGTCTTTCCTTAAATCACAATTAGAATCACCTGGAACTGGATTAACTTTAACCAATGTCTCCGATCCAATTAATTTAAATCGACCCTATTCCTTAATCACAATTGCTAATCCCAAAGAGGCAAATGTATTGATCATTGAAAACATAACCGGACCCGATATTGGGTCAATTAAATGTATTGGTGAAAATATGGTTGGTCGAGTTCAAGATGAATCAACAATTCAAATTGCAGGTAAATCAAGACAACAATCAGTAAACAATTTACCAAATTATCAATCAATCAATTCTGAACTTTAATAACTTTTTGGGTTTTTATTGGGTCGCTATTAGTTTAATATTAAATTGATTATTGATCATCAATGACACATTATCATTATTAAGAAATGTATGTTAATTGTTGGTTAATAGTTGAGATTGGAAACAAATCAATTACACTCTCAATTAATCACAATTACCTCAAGAGTTGATAGTTGTCTGATTTAATGATTTAAAAAAATATTCAATAGAAATCAATTGATTAGTGATTAGTAAATTACTCGGCAATAATTCAATCTCTTCCTTATTATTATTATTGAAAAGTTTTCAGTCTCGTTATCAATATGATGAAGTTGATTGTTGTTGATTGATTTAAATTAATCATTATGATTAAATTGTGATTGATTTTGAATTGGTGATGATCATTGATTATCATCATCTTTTAATCAGTTAATCAAGACTAATACAATTTTTCATTTGGTTTTGTTATCCTGGTTACCAAGAGATTTAATTATTAATATTAATTGTGATTAAAATGACAAAACAATTTAAACAATCATCGTCATCGTATTTAATTTAAAAACTGTAACTCTCAAGGCTTAAATTATACTAATCAAAATGATTATCATTAATAAATGACAAGGTCAATAGTTAATTGTAATAATAATCATAATGATCACAATTTAAATAATAATAATAAGAATCGTTAATTGTTATCAAGCTAAACACTAACCTTGATTAGTGAACAAAAATAAAATTCATTTATGAAAAAAATTAAAGTTCATTGATTAAGACAATCATAGAAACTAATTAATATCAATTCAACAATCAAATGAGTTACAAAATTAACACAATTAAAGTTTAATGTTAACTAATTATTTTGTTTACTTTTTTTCATGTTTCCTTTTTGTTTTGGTCTCTAATTGTTGACTAATTGTTGTGACAATTTAGGTAAACCTCGTATCGAAACGTTTGAATCTCAAGCTAAATTTCATCTGTGTCTTAATTATCGGATCACTGGTGTACCGAAATTAAAACGATTGTGGTTCTTCAATGGCAAACAATTAAAGTTTAACGATGAAATTAAAGATCTCGAGATAAGATCACCTAAAAATCCTCATCTAATGTCAGGTAATTATCTTGATTAGTTAATTGTTTCAAGATTTGCTTCGTAATCATCATCACGTTGAGCTGATTTTAAGGTTAATTTTTCATTGCTCTGTTAATTGTTACCGAATCATCTTGTATTTATTTTAGCTTCTTGCTTAATGTTTACCATTTAATCAAAAGTCTTGATCAATATGATTACTGATTTAGTAATCAATTAATATCTAGATTATTAGATTGATCAATATTCATGAAACGATTATTAAATTCTGGTGATTTGTTAGCTAATTGTGATCATCATTAACATTTTCAAAGTAAATACTATGTTTTATTTTCACCAGAAATTAGTTTTAATTGTGATACATTGAATATTTAACATGATTACAATTTAACTAATTAGTAAACTACTGTCAATGTATTTGATTAACTTGGTAAACATTGTTTTCGGTTGAAAAGCAATTAGGACAAGAAAAATTTTCTTTTTTTATTTCTCATTACATTTAATTTAAATTACTAATTGTTGACAATTAACTTGATTGTTACTCAGGTTGTCTAGAAATTCAAACAACAGGAACAAAAATACTTGGTAATTACACTTTGGTTGCAGTTAATTCCTATGGTGAGGATAACAGGACATTATCAGTTGATGCAACTGCAGGTAAGACAATTAAAGTTGATCAACACAATTAGAATACCAACTAATTAATAATTGAATTGGTTAATTACTCAGCTGGTTTACCCAAAAATCCGAAGCTCATTCAAGTGCCTAAACCAATTCCACCTCAGGAACGGGTCTTCAATCAGAATCGTGGTTCCGATGGAAACGTTTACTCAGTAAGAAAGGTAAGAATTAATTAATTGTAACAATTAACTTTTCAAGTAAATCGATCACATTGAAAACAAACAACAGACTAAAAAACTCAATCAATTGATTGAATCAGTTTTTTATACTTTTCCATAAATTGTATTACCTTTTTGCTCATTGATTGATTGTTATCGGTTAAACTTAATTGTTACTCAGATTAATTCAAAGCCATGATTAGTATTTGAAAAACTTAATCGATATCAAATTACTGACCAATCATCATTTTCTATTAGATTGTGAAATATCATTAAACGATCTAAATTGTTTGGACTAATAAGTTGTTCACGAATCGTGGACATAGATTATAATTAGAATGGTAAATTATGTTCATTGGATATGATAATTGATTCGTCATGAGAATCGGTTGTCCAACAATTAACTTGAATTCTAGTGGTGAAAAAGAGAGAAAGAGAATCGAATTTGAAAATTAGATTAATAATCATGAAGATCCAATACATTGTAGTTTAAATTTTGTTTTCCATCATAATGATTAGTTAATTTTGTTTTCTTTCGATGGTAAAATGAATTGAATGTTGCAAAGATTTTGCAATAAGATAATCATTTTTTTCAGCTCGACTCGATTTGTTATTATTTCAAGTGACCTTGAAACTGAATTTAAATTAACAATTAACATGAATTTTGAATTAAAATTTACAATGACAATAGGAAATGTAAGCAAATTAGATTGTCCAATGGTTGAATTAAGTGTTGAGCTAAATGGTCAGAGTTTAACTGGAATTATGATCATTTCTGATATGTAATTAACATTTGGCTAAATTGAATTTTGATTGTGATGAATATTTTTTTTCCAGGAACAAAAGTTGTAACAATTGTGAGAAAATGAATCCCAGTTAATTGATTTTTCTTTCCCTTGAATCCAACTGAATTTAAATGTTAGATATTTCTTGGTGATAATTGTTAGGGGATTAGCTTTATTTTTGCTGTAATTAGTACATCGTCCCTCTCAATCATTGCTTACATCACATTTATCTCTAGGGACTCATTGTTTAAAGTATAAATAAAACCTTTTCAATTACAAACACATTCCATTAACATTACATTAATAGTTAATATTTTGTCATTCAAGGTTAATCCTTAAACCCTTAACCTTTACCCTTATGTCCTTTAATTAACCCTATTCAAAATCTCTCATTGTGCTTTCTATCTAAACCACCCTTAAAACTACCACCAACTAAAGCCTCTTCAATTAGTGTTTCAATAAAGTTATTTTGTTCCGATACGATCTTTATACTGAGCTCTCGCATAGAAATCCTAACAAAATGGTGGAGATGACTTCGCTATCTTAAACAATTTAGCTTCTTCTTGTGCGAGAAACCAAACCCATTTCATCGCTTCAAGAAATATAAGTGACCAAGGAAGATTCTTCCTCTGGTGCGTCTTCTTTCCTGTTTCCTACGGTGAATAAAACACTACAAGACTTTGAAGATTCTTCATAGTCTCGGCTTTGACATCTATAGAATTTAGTTCTAAGTGAAATCGATATTGTTACAATATTGATCGGTGTGCGGTTCGGAGGTTCTGAAGGTCACCTTGAGAGATCCAATAATTCATCAAGTCTGAAGACAGACAAAGAGAAGAATCTCTCTGTCCATCTCAACCTGATCATTCATCAAAACAACTAAACTGGTCAACGTGGTTCAGAATATAACCTTGTTACTAAGTACAACAATCTACATTCTTCTTAAAGAAGCCAAATCTAAAGGTCCAATTGCAAAGTAAGATCAATTGTCTCCTTTACCTAATTTCAAATTAAGATAATACAAACAACCTGGTACGTCTTAATATTCAATCAATTACCAAATCAATTGTAAATTGTGAGGTGAAGAATCTTCACCCACAATCATCCTAATTCATTCAAGTTAAGTTCATCCAAACAAACTGGTACATCTTAACATCAACTTTAATTCATCAACCAAATTCATTCAATCAATTTAAAATTAGCTTGTAAGATAAAGAAGTTAAACCTACAAACTGATTTACCCAAAAAAAAAACCTTAATAGTCAAAGTCATCCAAATAAACTGGTAAACATTGACAACCAAATCAAATTGTAAAATTAAATTGTAAGGTAGAGAATCTATACCCACAATTTAATACACCCAAACCCATTGAGGAAAACAAAATTACCTTGTGCTTCTCAATACAACAATTACCCAATTCTTTTGTAAACTAAATTGTAAGGTGAAGAATCTATACCAACAATTTAGCTTAACCAAGCTCAAATAAGTTAAAACCAAATTACCTGGTACATCTTAATTCATAAGCTTAAAAACAATCCTCTAATTAAGAGAGAAGAGGTAAAGAATCTTCACCTTCCTCTCTTACCCCTTATCCAAAACATTGTAAACCCAAAACCCAACCCAAGATTTCAGACCATACAGATTCTGATCTTGAGTTATCTCAAGAAACATTAATCAAACTTAATCTGAGTGAAGAGTTACAACCGAGTCTTTCACTCATTCACGATACAACAGATTTTCAATCTACACACAAAGTGCAACCCGATCTAAAGATAAAAATGAACGAGGTTGAACAACAACAACGAGAAAAGAATCGACAAACCAATGAAAAGCTTACCCGTAATGAGCTCATCAATTTAGCTTCTGAATGGGGAGTCTCAAAAGTCAATAGTAAAAACAATGAGATGCTATTAAGAGAAATAATAGACGCTCATCTAATTCAACACCTTTACGAAAATCACATCATATCTGATCATGAAAATGATGTCGATATTCTACAAAAAATCGAATATAAATGGGAAGATGGTATCGAGCTTAGGAAAATGGGCTGCGATCATCAAACGATAATCAAATTATTGGAAAATGGAGTGAGATCAATTGACACTCTAATGTTCATCAAAGAAAATCAACTACAACAATTCAACATACCAATAGCTCAAGCCTTCATGTTATTTAATCGCTATTGTAAACCAGAGAGATTTGCAACAAGAGTCTTGTGAATCCCTGATCCCAAATCTAAATTACCGTTACCTGCTCAAAATGCCCTTTACCGTATTAATAGGAAGATGGCCTAACAATTCAATTCAACAAACGTTTGCTCAATTCCTCGAAACAATGGAGTTTGACCTACGAATATTGGACCCATTAAAGGAAACATGGATCGATCATATCACTGTTGTCCTCGAAGGTGAGCCAAGAAAAATAGCTGAGAAAATAAGTCAAGAAAATCATCTACTTTCCTACGATAACTGGAAAGAGAAGCTTTTAAATTCAACAATAAATAAAACAGAGATAACAGAAGCTTTATACACTGTTTTACAAAAGAAATATTCAACCAATGAAAATCCAGTTGAATTTTTCAAGAAAATCGAAAGTTCAATAAAAGTCATTTGTCCTGACGCCAAGGATAGAGAAATCTCTATCCTTGTCGCTGGAACTCTACCTGTGGAAATCCAAAATGAAATCATTCCAGAGAAAGAGACAATTTTTGATCTAGAATCGCTAAAACAAAAGTGATTGGTATTTGGCAAAGTCTAAAACCCCAATCAAATCAACTCAACAAAGTCAAAGTGTTATAAGTGTCACCCCAAAACGACCCTTATACCGTAATCAACAACAACAACAACAACAAGGTAACCAACAAGGTCAAGTATCTCAACCTCAGAGTGGTAACCGTCCAATCAACACAAATTTAAATGGTAACAACAACAATCGTCCATCTAATCAATACCAAGGAAAATATTGGTGCGATAGATGCAAGTCAAGTACTCATAGTAATGAAAGATGCAGATTCAACCCAGCGAATGAGGGTCAGAAGAGCATCTCTTCCAACCCAAGTTCAAATCAACAAGTCAACCCAAATCAACAACAATTGGTATCAAATCAAAATGTGAATTATGTTGAATTTGATCAACCAGTCAATGAAAATAATCATGTTATCAACGTCGCTAAATTAATGGTTGGAACCAATTCAGTGCAAATGTCGGATGAATTGCGATTTCCAATGGTAACTTTTAATTTCAATAATGTTAAAGTTCGAGGTCTCATCGATACTGGGGCCTGTACAACTCTAATCAACAGAGCTATTGCCAGCAGAATTGGTTTACTAGCCTACCCTTTCAGTGTTAAATTCCAAGCAATCAACACGTCAACAGTTAATTGTGAATACTTTGTACCAATAAAAGTGTGCAAAGGAAATGAATCAACAATTATGGCTGCTTATGTCATTGATGACTTATCCAATGACATCATCTTAGGTGAAAACATCATCAAGTACACCGAGTTAATCATTAAGGCTCGTGGTCCTCGTCAACCCTATGACTTATATCAATTCAATTTAAACAACAAATACAACATTAAATTGGAAATTCCTGATCTATGTGATGTCCATAGACTATTAACAAAATGGTATGATGAATCATTTGATATGAAAAAGTTAGTTCATTTACCAATCAACCACATCAACTCATTACCCAGTAAACCCAAAGTAAATTTTGTGAAATTCTTTCATCATGAATATCCTCTTGATTCTTCAAATTTGATTAATCATATTGAGGAATTCCAAGAAAACTCAATCGATTTACCAGAAGATATAAACAATGTGAATCAACGTTTATATGCTCAAATCAATCCTGAATTATCTCAAGAAGATAAAAGAAAAATCTATCAAGTCCTGATAGAGGAGAAAGCTTCTTTCTCCTCTACCAAATATGACTTAGGTTGTGTTCCTGCTCATGTCACCAATTTCAAGATTGACATAGGTAACAAAGATATTCCAAAGTGTAAACCATTTCGATCAAGCGAAAAGATGCGAGAAGAAATGAGAAAAATTATTCGTGAATTCAAAGAAAATGGAATCATTGAAAATTCGGACACCGGAGGTGGTGCTCCTGCTTTCGTCGTACCAAAGCCAAATGGAACCTGGCGAATGGTAACATCTTACATCGAATTAAACAAACTCATCAATAAACGTCAATTTCCAATGCCTAA